TATTTTTCAAATTTTCAATGCATTTTATTTTTCGAATGATCAACCAGTGTTGAGTGTGTCTCTGAGAACAGCCAAGTCTGTTCAAAGTGACAGCTCTGCCCCCCCAACCACGTGCCTCTGTGACCGGCAGCTGAGCTCTGCCGGCCGAGGCTTCTCGGTCCGGGCGACAGACACCACGCAGCACCTGGCTGCACCCTGGAGAACCCCGACTTCACTCTCTTACACATTCCAGCTCTAGATGCTACTAGAAAGAATCACCACGTCTAACTGCAGACTGAATAAATTCAATGAGCATCCAATCTCTTTCTTAGAGTTTATTTGGGAGGATAATACTTTCACCCCTAATTACATCAGGTTTTTCTATTAAACGTTGGCCCGTGGGGCAGAGGCTGGTGTTACCTACCTGAGCCCGTCGTCCCTCGACCCTCGACCAGCAGGGGCCTGTGTGGCTGGGAGCCCGGCTCAAGGACGACAGCCCTGTGCGAGGGCCACATGGCTGTGTTCTGTCCAGGAGGATGGGAAGGCGCCTGGAGGAGAGCTGGGAAAGTCCCTCCCCGGCCTCTGCCTTCCTGATGCCCCAGGAACTCTGGAGGAAGCGCGGATCCGAAGTGGTAGAGCGGAGTGGGCCCCTGAGCCTGGGGACACTGCCGGCCAAGGACCGGCCCGGGGTGCCCTGCACACGGAAAGAGCAGCGCAGAGGGAAGGAAAGGGAGCCCCTCCGAGTGGAGCCTGCCGACCTTGGACGCTCTGCTCTGTGCAACCGTGGCTTTCCTTACAGACGGAGAAGGCAACCTTGAACCAGTGCGGATCCACACACTGGCTCTTTGCAATCCAGTCTTTATGACTGTCGTCAGGAAACGCTGAAAACAGTTTTCCCCTTTGCCGTGTCTCTCGGTGGGAAGCCAGGGGACGTGTCCCCTCCTCCCGAGAAGCTCGTGTCCTCAGCACCGGCAGAGCTGCAGCGATCTGCTCCCAGGGTGCCGCAGGGCTGCCCCGATGCTCGAGTGGGCCGGACACGCCAGGGGCCGCGCGGACCGCGGGGAGACGGCGCTGAGGAAGGCAGGCTGCGTGTGAGAACGGTTTCCTTGCGGTCTGCGTTAGAACACCTATGTTTCTCTCAGATTTCACGCAAAATTAGTTACAGAGAAATTTACTGAATGTCACTTTATGGATCGTTTGCGGACCATCGTTTTGAAAGAGCAGATTTTTCTGAAGCCGACTGCTCAGATGCAGAAGCAGCTCACAACAGGCAGAGGGCGGCGCCGGGGACGCGGGAGGCGGGGTGACGGGGTCCTCCGCGGGGTGACGGGGCCCCCTGCGGGGTGACGGGGCCCTCTGCGGGGTGACGGGGCCCCCTGCGGGGTGACGGGGCCCTCTGCGGGGTGACGGGGCCCCCTGCGGGGTGACGGGGCCCTCTGTGGGGTGACGGGCCCTCTGCGCGGTGCTGGAGCCGGGCTGCAGGGTGACGGGGCCCTCTGCGGGGTGACGGGGCCCCCTGCGGGGTGACGGGGCCCCCTGCGGGGTGACGGGGCCCTCTGCGGGGTGACGGGGCCCTCTGCGCGGTGCTGGAGCCGGGCTGCAGGTCCTGGCACAGCCTGGCACAGCCGTCCCACACCAGGGCCTGGAGGCCGCACCCCCTGGCTCAGGCCCAAGACTGGTTACTTCCTGTGCGGGGAACGTCTAACTAGGGAGACTGGGCTCTAACGTTCCTACCCACAGAAACAGCAGCACGTGCTCACGTTCCCTCTAACCCTTCGGACCACACAGATCAGACAGGAGGACAGTGACTCCGCCCCAGAGTGATGGATTCCTTAAGCTGCGATTCTCTTCGGGCTGCTAAGGTTATAACTTGTTGTATTCTCCATTTCCACAATTCAAGTGGAGGAAAAACACTTTCACCCACGGGCACTCGATCTAGACACGCTGACGCGCAGGACACAAGGTCCCGGCTCACCCAGCTGCCTCCGCGTCCACGCGGGGCTCTGCGCCCGGCCTGCCGGTCAGGGCCTCGGAGCGCGGACGCACTTCCCACCGGACTCACCTGAGCTCTGACAGCTCGCTGTCAGCCACTCCTTGGGTTGCAAGGACGCAAAAGATTAACATTTTAATGAAAGAGAGAGGACGTTCTGAGCATTTGTAAGAATTATTCATCACATCTACGGACAATCGACTGTGTACCAGGTACAACCCTGTAGTACTCACAAGGCAGGTTCCTTATCCCCCGTTTCAGAACCAGCCTCCCGGCTGTCCCAGGGTCCCCAGGTCCCCAAAACTGTGCACAGAGGCCAGGGTGGACTCCAGGTCCGCAGGACTGCAGAGCCCTACGCCCTGGGCTCCGTGGCCTCCTCCTGCCCCTGCGGGGACTGGGGTCACACCTGGTTACGTCGAGGGCCTTCCTACCCATCACTCTGCCAAATCTGAGGATCATCATGGTCAAGTAGCAGATGTGAGGACGTGGGGGACAGACAGACAGAGCTACCAAGACTAACGATAGAAAATTATTACACGTGACAAGTACACTTCACACAACAAAGGGACATGGGCGACCCGCCGTCAGATGAGCAAGTCTTTTTCACTCCATTCTCTACAGAACGTGCAAGGAAAGTACACGCAGATGTTTACTTGTGATGCAACCCTGGGAAGAGCGGGGGAGGCTCTAGCTGTCAGCGAACTGTTCTAGTGGGTTCCTCGGCTTTCAAACCAGTGGCTGCCCCTCCCCCACACTGCTCGCGGTCCTCCATCCAGAAGCCTCAGTACCACTGCCATCTGTCCCGAGGACACGGCGTGGCCACGGGCACCCCGAGCGCAGACGCGCACTCCCCCCGCCAACCAGAGGTGGGCACGGGCATCTGGAGACCGCAAGGCATGGAGCAGTCCCCCACCCGTGTCCTGGATCCTTTTCTGGACTAAGGTGTGCGACAGAAAAGGCAGCCAGCATGCAGGAGACTCCGAGTCGAGCCCTGGCCTCATCATCCCGGCTGAGCGACGGGAAGGCACTTCACGTTCAAAGCCGTTTTCTGTCGAGTCGGGAGATTAGTCAGCGGTTCTCGCACTGTGGTGAGTGAACATCACCTGGAGTTTGCTCAGCATCCTGGACATTATCACCATGCGTCACTGGGGCCGGAATCCGCATTTCAACAAGCATCTTGGGGTACTCTGATGCTGGTGGGTCCCCAAAGTGGCACCAGGCAGTCACCTCAGGGGCCTTCAGCTGAACAGCTTGCCCGCCTGGTGGGCTGGACTGTGAGGACGGCATCCGGGACCCAGAACCCCTGAGGCTCATGTCCCTGGACACCAGCAGGCTCAGGGGCGGGTCCTGAAGCCATCCCTCTCCCTCCGCTCCAGGGCGGTGATCCTTCTGGGCTTCAGCAGGTACCACGCCTGAGTGGTTCCAACTGCTGGGTTTCAAATTCCCCTACAGAACTATCTTGAACTGCCACGGAAAATAATCAATTACAGTTCTCCTGATTCCAGACACGAGGCACAGCCTACGCTGACGTGTCAGCCAGTCAACGGACTGCAAGGAAACGACCCCTTCCTTGAAGAGCCAGCTTTGCAGATAAACCGGTATCTGGGAGAGCCGAGGGCACAGCAGGAATCTCCACGAGACGCAGAAGGAAGGGCAGCACCGCGCAGCCTCCGGCCGTGAGCAGTCACCCTGGGGCCACCTCAGCCCCGCTGCTCACCAGCACAAGCAGATGACCCAGAAACTCTGGGCCTGTTTCTTCAGAAGAGATGAAATACCTGTTCTCAGAACTGTGCCTGGGACAGAGTAACCAAGAAACCACGTCATGGTTCTTCGGTAGGGCTTACAAGGTAATGTCAAGAAGATGACAAAATACAAGAAACCAGGAGAAAAGGCAGAGATAATTCCTAAGATTCCTGCTCTTAGAATTGGTGAATTTTTCAGAATATGGGCATGTCCACCCATATTAATTAATTAACTCGGGCTGTTCAGAAACTCCTAAACGTCCGAAATCTACTTTTCTGATGTCTGCTCAATACTGTGTAACATTTAACATACATTTTGTCCTCGTGTTTCCAGCTTAAATAGCATCACCCCACTTAATTGACCAATTGACAAATTGAGCAATTTGCTAACAGCACTCAATTTTTTTTAAATGTTCATTTTTTCTCATTAACCATAATTCAATTAGAAAACTTCCTAACTGTATCTGTGTGTGTACACATACACACACCAGCTTTTACTTTTCATGTCTCAGACACATTTTCTCTCCCTTTCAAGCGAGTCCGGAACCTGCTAGAAGTGAGACCGGCTCACGACCCTGCAGTGAAACGGGGCGTCAGGGGACTCACAGCGCCCCCTGACCGACCCTCCGTGACACGGGGCAGCGCCTCCTGATCAACCCGCGGTGAAACAGGGTGTTGCCTCCTGACCGACCCGCGGTGACACGGGGGTGTTGCGCAGACTCAGCAGCCTCCTGACAACTTGCAGACAGACTGTTCTTCGAGGCGTTTCGGGCTGAGCTGGGATTTGAGCCTGGGCCCTACTTGACCATAAACTCTTCCTTCTTTATTCCACAGCATTTCACAAGTTTTAAAGGTAAACTTTTTTTTAAAGGACAGATTTACAAATCACATGGAAAGGAGTTAATATCACTAAAAATTGCACCAAAAAAAGCTACTCACAAAATTATACAGATGTACACGCAGGCGTCCCTTCCCCAGTGCGTATGTTCTGGACAATACAAAGGTTTGAAAGATAAGGCTCTGCATTGACAAGAGCCAAATCTCACGTAAAACATTTTTACAAAGGGACTCTGAATGCAGGGTCTCCTTCCCGCTCTCAGGGTTCCCATCCGGAGATGGGTCCCACCTGCAGGCAGCAATCATCAGTCAGTTTCCAGTTTCTACAAACATTTTATTTTATTAAATAACTGTTAAATAGTGTTTTTACAAAGCAAATTGCATAGAAAAAGGCAAAAACGTTCTGTCCTCAGCACTTCCTATCCCTCTCCGTCATCGTCCAGTCGCCGCTCTTACCTAGCGCTGGACCTCAGAGCTCAGTGTCCGTCAGGAAGGAAGGCAGCTCCCTCGCGAGGGTCCCCGTCCTCGGGCACACTGTGCACAGGGCTGCTTCCCCGCTGCCCACCTGCCAGGGGCCACGGGGGCCGGGCAGAGCCCTCGTCCTCAGGAGCAGGTCAGCTGCTGCACCAGGTTCTCAAGGCATGTCAAGTAGTAGGCATTCAGAGGGTTTGCCTCCGGGTCTGAACGAGCTGAGAGAGGAGAAGGGGAGCAGGGAGAGCAAGCTCATCAAACAGCAGACACCTGGGAGCGCACACGCACAGCTCACTAAGACGAGGTTCTATTTCACTACTCGACACACCAGCACTAGGGTCTGTCACACTGTGGAGAAACGAAGACGTTACAGAATTTATATCTACTTTTTATTAATGGTTTAGCCGAAGGGTGTGCACTAAAAACAGTGCCCTCCATGACGGACCGTCCTCTGCGATGGACCCTGTCCTTTCTGCCCCGTCCCTCCTCCCACACAGACACGGACACTGACGCGAGTGTCTCCGGCCTCCAGGAGCTCCTGGTCACGGCTGGACACGGAACAGACAACGCACAAGCCACCCAGGGAAACTCAGCCCATAGAAACGTGGCGGTGCCCTGGCCGGTTTGGCTCAGCGGTTAGAGCGTCGGCCTGCGGTCCCGAGAGACCCGGGTTCGGTTCCCGCTAAGGGCACGTACCTCGGTGGCAGTTTGTCCCCGGCCCTGGTTGGGTCGTGTGGGTGGCAGCCACTTGATGTGTCCCTTTCACGTCGATGTTTCTCTCTCTCTCGCTCTCTCCCTCCCACTCTACCTGAACAAAATATCGAAAAACGTCCTCGGATGAGGATAAAAAAGAAAAAAAAACGAGGGGGAGACACAGCTCAGTGCCTGAGCGTAAGGAATGCGCGCGTTCCCGGAGCCCGGCCTGGGCGGGACCGTGTCACCGGCCCCTCGGGATGGGCCACGGGACCTTTCTGGAAGATGGAGTCACCTCCCAAAGTCAGCTCCGTTTTCTGTCCGGGGCCAGCTCTGGCTGGCGCGGGTCCTATCACCTAAGAACACACTGCAGCACGGTGCTGGCCCCTGGCAACGTTCCATAGAAGAAAAAAGGACTTGGAGAAAGATAACAGCCATGTTTTAAAAAACCATTATATTTAATTATTTTTAAAATGTTATCATGAAAAGCACGGACCCGACACCGGTACTCTGTGCAAAGCTTCGACAAAAAGCCCCTCAGACATCACTGTAAACATCAGTGTAGAAAAACTGTAATTTGCTGTGAACCATCCAAATATTTCATTCGGCAGAATTCCCTTAATAGCTTCCAAGTTTAACTGCAACCTCTCATACTGAAACTTACTTTTCTTTGCTAAGGAATATGCTTCATCCACTCTTCTTTTTATTGATGGATTTTTCAAAGTCGTTTTTGCCTGGAGAGAACATGGAACAGTCCGTGAGTTCAATTTATCTCCACGTGCTCGGGACCAGGGCACAACCCTCACTCTGCGTTCTGGCTGCCGCAGCGCTGCGGACGCGAAGCTGCAGGACGGCTGCAGGACGGAGCCGGAGTCGGGTGTCGCACGCAGCCGCCCCGCCTTGACTCGGCCCCTCCTGTCCCTCGTTCGCGCTGCCATCTCCCTCTCCCGGACCTCAGCGCACTCTCTCTGCTTCATCTTGCTCTGAGTTACGTTACACCCCTCAAGCCTGCACTTCAGATCGAGTCCGCCCTGCCCCCAGTCAACAAACACGGCCTGAGTGACGACGGAACGCCATCCCTGTGCCATCCCTGTGCCATCCCTGTGCCGAGCCCCAGGGACACGGGCGGGGCCGGCAGCAGCCCCGCCCCACGCGTGGAGCCACCCAGTGGCAAGGACGTGCCCAGACCAGGGTGGCAGCTGAGAGCACCTGTGGGTGGTGTCTAGGCTCACACTGCCCCTCACTCTCCAACAACGAGGACCCCTTCCTCAGTGGCGTGTGCACTGGAGAGACCGAGGCCGAGCGCGAGTGTGCACGAGGCCCCCTGGGCTGCAGCCTGGGAACCGAGCTCCCCCGGAAGCTCAGCGGCCACACGCACCAGACAGGGGGAGACCCCACAGCTGGACAAAACTTCATTCTTTGGTTTTATTTCAAACCAAATGCATTATTTATGCATTTTCCCTTGACACTCCTTCTAGCAGAAATCATCTGTGGCGACACTGCACCGACACGGCACACCAACTGGGATGCACGGGGGCGCCCCCTCTACGGAGCCCCTCTGGAGGGGCCGGACTCCTCCTCCTGCGCACCCCTCTGAGGTCCCTGCCGTCCACGAGGTCGGTGCCCCAGCGATGACCAGGCTGTGGGAACTGACCTTCTGGCAGCTGTGGGTCAGGGCCCAGAGCGCGGCGGCTCCGATCCGCCGAGCGCTCGGACTCTCGCTTTCCAGGCAGGCGGCGAGCGTGTTCACGACTTTTTCTAACAAAAAAGACATTTTAAAAAAAGTTCAGTCCCAGACAGTGCTCCGTGCCTCATCTCAGACCAGTCAGACACCCGTTTCCCATCAGAATGGACTCAACGCTGGCATCCCCGCGGGCTTGTCTGCCGCACGCGGGAGGGAGGACAGCCTGTGACGGGGCACGGGGACGGGCACGCGGACGGGCGTCCTTCCCTGCCCTGCAGGCGCCCTGGGAGCTGGGCGGGCAGGGCCGCTCCCGTCCCGAGCCCTGGCGCAGCTCGCAGCCTGGTCGCAGGGAACACTCTGCCCTGTGACGGGCGTGAGGGCGGCCACACGACGTGCCCGAGCACAGGCACCATGACAGTCACCGCGGGAAACCAGACGAGTCAGCCTCTTCCGTAAGGACGAGGCCCGCTGGAGGCATGTCTGTGAGGACGTGTGTGTGTGTCAGAGGAGGTGATTTAAAGGCCCATCAACCCCAAGACAGGCCCCGTCTCAGCAAAGCCAGAGGGTGAACTAAGACCTGACCTTCTCTGCGAAGAGGTCGGTGCCAGGGGATGCCAGGATGGTTCAGATGAGGTGCGAAGCTGTTTTATCACTTATTTTTATGTATCGCTACGTGGAATCATTTGCTCTACAGTATGTGGCTTTAGAAGCGTGAGACACTGTGGCTGGGAACTCTGCGCTGGCCACTGCCCTCAGCTGGGCGCATCTCATCACAGGGCAGCCCGGCACAGGGCAGCCTGGCATAGGGCACAGGGCAGCCCGGCAGAGGGCACAGGGCAGTCTGCACAGGGCACAGGGCAGCCCAGCAGAGGGCACAGGGCAGCCCAGCACAGGGCAGCATCTGTCTGCTCACTGCAGCATGTTCCACCCTCAGTGCCACTGTATCTTAGGGCTCGATGAACCCCAGCTGGATGAAAGATTTCATAGTGAAAGCAAACAAGAATGCGATCTCAGTCATTCCACTTACGGTTTTTAAAGAAATTTTAAGAAAGTGAGTCTTTTACGGAAGAAAAGCAGCTGATCCATGGCCAGCCGGGGCAGTGGGGGGCAGTAGGGAGGGGTGAACCCAGCAGGGCTGAGCAAACACCTGGCGAGCCACTGATGACACTGTTTGCACCCGAGCGGAGCGCACGGTGCAGCCCGCACGCGTGCATGGCTGTGTGCGACCGTGCGGTGCGCAGAGCGGGTACGCACCGTTGGCCAGGACCTTGGGCTTGTTGGCGGGACTGAAACAAATGTTGTGGAGGATGAGGAGGGGCAGACAAGGGCCGCGCTTATGCCTGAACTTGCTCATCTCGGTCAGCAGGTCCAAGCCGCCCTCGAGCCTCAGCAGCATCTGCTGCCCATCTTCTCCGAAGGACACGTTCAGCAGCAGCTTCAGCCACAGGACGGTCAGGCTGCTGAGGCGGCCGCTGCCCCCTTTCGGCAGCGAGACAGACAGAAAGTTCTGCAGGAAGTTGGTCTGCGGGTGAACAGAGAGCATGACTTCCTCCCTGAGTCTGCATTCTTTCCCAGTCCCTCAGAGACCAATCAACCAGCACCGTCTCTCCCACCTGAAACCCTCCCGCGCCTTCCAGTGCGCCCTCTGCACTGTTTCCAGGTACAAGGGGAGAAGGTGAGGACAGAATAGTGCTGCAATTTTATCCTTAGTGATTCTTTTCTGATGATGGATAAAGCAGTTACAGTTGGCTCAGTGACTCGGGACTGGTAATTCAGCTCGGGGACTAGGTTAGGCCTCTTGAGTTTTCTCTTTCTGTCTGCCTCTGGCAACTTAGCTGCTCATTAAAAGCTGTCCTATGGGGAGGGAGAAGCAGCAAAACCGCTGATGGTTGCCAGAGGGGAGGCTGAGTGGGTGGGTGAAAAGGTGAAAGGGAGCAGGAGGCACCAGGTTCCAATTATAAAATAAATGAGCCACGGGACATGCAGTCCGCACCGGGCACAGCCACACCCACCACCTGTGTACGTGGCCGCGGGAGACACGCTCACTGTGGGGACCACATCCCAGGAATGTGAATGGCAGGGCCCCACGTTGTGCACCCGAAACAGCGTAACACTGTACGTCAACTATGCTTCGACAAAAAAGTAAATTACAGATAAATAAAAACTTTAAAAATTAAAGAGAGAAAAGAAACGAGACCCAAGCAGTCCTGGAGCCAGTCGAGAGCTCTGGCAGGACTGAGGACACCTGGTCTCTCGGCTGCGTGTGTGCTGACCCTGTGGGCCAGCTCACGCTCCGTTGCCCGCGGCCGCGTGTCCTTCCAGAGAACTCACAGACGAGAAAGCTCCATGACTTGAGTACAAGAGTCATTCTGCCTCCTCGTGAACCACTTCCATAAACCCAGCACACTCTTAGCTCTGGGAAAGACAGCACCTGACCGTCTGGAATCATCTGCATGCGGAGAGAGGACCGAATGGAAGCCCGTGTGGGGAGACCCAGGCCGGCACGGGACCCAGCCGGGGCACCTGGGGTCAGGGAGCAGGAATGTGATCACCGAGCGTCCAGTGAGGGAAGGAGACTCGGTTCTCACGAACGCTGCGAACTTTTGCAATTTATTTTAACCTTCGTGTAAACAAGAGATTTCCTCAAATCAAATCAGCATGTCCTACCTAATAGATGACGTGATCCTATTCACAGTTTAGAATTCTGTTGATACGGACCTAAATGTAGTCTAACTGAACAGCTGTGCCAGACTCTGCTCCGACCCTTTCAAGTACTCCGAGCGAAGCCAGGACCAGAAGTCAGGTTTGGCACTGGAGTTCCGGGGCCCTGATAAAATCACCTCTTTTGTCATAAAGAAGTTAGGTCCAACTTGGAGAACAAGGGACCGTGATTCATGAACCACTCTGACCATGGAAACTGAACCGAAACTGTCACTGCTCAACTCGGTCTTGTCTGAGACCACATGTGACTTCATGACCTGACACAGAGGCCGGACGGCTGCCTTTCCACAGCCCTTATTTCTGAGCGGGAGGAAAGAGCCCAGCCACGAAGATAAACTGAAAGGAAGTGGTTTGATCGTATTCTGGCTTCTGACACTTTTCCTGTATCAACTACAATTGGTTTTAAGCAAAAGGAAACCTCTTAATCCTTTTATGGTCCTTTCAAATAAAATGCCTTGAAGTCAGAGTGAATTAGTCCTAGACGCTGAGTTGTGGACTCTGCACACACGGCCCCGACGGGAAGGTGACGGCACAGCCTCTGTGACGCCGTGAAGGGCCCGCAGCACTCACTCTCTGAATGACGGCCCTGCAGTCATGCGCCAAGGCCAGGTTGGAGAGCAACAGGAAGACCATCTGCTGGACTGCGGGGCTCTCCAGAGGCACCTGGGAAGCCAGCTTCAGGACACACAGCATCAGGGAGCTGCCCGGGGCTCCTCTGCTCGCCACTGGCACGGGGTACTGTCCAGAACTCGACCAGCAAAGAGAACTGCAACCTAAAAACAACAGCTTATCACAACGTCTTCCCGGACCGGCTCGGGGAGCCGAGGGGGAGGGGCTCGGGGAGGCCGAGGGGGAGGCCCAGCAGTGCTCCGAGGGGTCTGGCTCGGGGAGCCGAGGGGGAGGGGCTCGGGGAGGCCGAGGGGGAGGCCCAGCAGTGCTCCGAGGGGTCTGGCTCGGGGAGCCGAGGGGGAGGGGCTCGGGGAGCCGGAGGGGGAGGGGCTGGGGAGGCCGAGGGGGAGTCCCCGCAGTGCTCCAAGGGGCCAGGCCTGCGCCTGTGAACTAACCGCACGTCCGCGCTGAGACTGGGGTGGTGGCCGCAGCTAGGCGAGGGGCCGCTGTCTTCACAAAAGGCCTCGTGACTGACTGCAACAGCGCATGTCAAACACTAGGTTTATTTTTATAAAGAATAAAATAAGCGTCCTGGCTAGTTTGGCTCAGCGGTTAGAGCGTCGGCCTGCGGTCCGGAGAGACCCAGGTTCGGTTCCGCTAAGGGCATGTACTTCGGTTGCAGTTTGTCCCCAGCCCTGGTTGGTCGTGCGGTGGCAGCCACTCGATGTGTTCCTTTCACATCGATGTTTCTCTCTCTCTCTCTCCTTCCTCTCTCTCCCTCCCGCTCTCTCTGAACAAAAAATGGAAAAATGTCCTCAGGTGAGGATAAAAAAAAAAAAAAAGAATAAAATAAGCATAATAGGTATTTTCAATAGTTCCTAAATAAGACACTAATTAAACAGGAACAGATTAGAAGCGGAGGTCCCTTGGTCTAATGCCTCCACTGTACCGAAGAAGACAGAAAGCAGCACAGTGGCTCTGGGCTGGGGACAGGGCGACGCCGCGGCAGGGGTGCCAGGTGAGGGCCCAGCCAGCAGGCCCGGCGACCTGCTCAAGGCCACGCGCCAACTCCTCCGCAGAGTGCCTCCCTCTCAGTGGTCAGCAGCCACGTGGCGTCTGGCCAGGGAGGACAATCATCCCAAACGAATCAGACGTACATCTGACCGACCAGCAAACCACAGGCGACCTGGCTCGTGGAGGTCAGCGTAGTAAAGCAGACCAGAGTCACACTCGTGCCGCGAGGTCCGCGCACGCAAGGCCGGCCACCCCAGCCGACACAGCGCCTTCTTGTGCCCACGCCCCACGGCAGTCAAGGCTTCCATGACTGCGGACAACTCTCCCAGCGAGACGCGAAGGCAGGGAGTTTCTTCCTCAACCTAGTTAACCAGTCACCTTCTAACAGTTACATCAATTGTAAGTGTGAACGTAACACAGATATAGTTTCCGAAGACTGACGTCCAAGCAAATGTTCTTTGCTCAGCATTTAGCAACTGCCTCCTTGTTTCCTCCTCTCCCTGAACCCTAGGTTAAGGCACGAAGGGCAGGGCAGGGAAGGAGGCGTGGACACCACGGAGGTCCGGAGCTTGAAGGTCTGCTCAGGTCAGTTCACGCCGCCAAGCTGAGTGGACCCAGGGCGGAGGCCGAGGCTGGTGTCAGACCACAGAGAACATGTTAATCTCGGCACCGGGTGCTGACTGCACGACTCTGAGCCACGGAGCCCCAGTCCTTTCTCTGTGCACCCTGCTACTTGGAGAGCCAGGGGCTGAGCTGCTGGAGGCTGGCAGAAGAACGGCCCTGTTTCCAGTGCGGATCACCCCAGCAGCCCACCTTGCCTCCCAGCAGGCTTCCTTCCCCGCACGCATGCAGCCACCCCACACCCCTCCTCTCCCCTCAGATCCTCTCCCGTCCACGCTCACCCTCGGCTGGCCTCTAAGGGCGCACGCCCGGGCAGGCGCCCCGTAACACGCTGCCGAATGAATGAACGAATGAGAGAGGCCCCCATGGTACCAGCCTTCACCAGACCAACCGTACCTCCCACTTCCTTTCATCATGCCAGTGTCTTGCTCTCAAATCTATAGTTTTCACCTTTACCTGGTTTTTAAGGTCATGTTGCAGAATTTTCACTCTCTCAATTTTCCTTTTAAACTTATTTCCACTGCTGGGATCAGGCTGGTTTCCGTTTCCTGAGCAATGACTTCCTCTCTTAACAAACACAGACGTGTCTGCCCCCACGACACCCACTGGAGAGTGTCTGTAGCTGACGCACCTCAACAAGCAGGAGAAACACTTCAGACCAGGCACTCGCGCTCCCGGCCCGCTCGGGACGTCACGTGAGGCCGGCGTGTTCGTGGGAAAGCGGGCTGGCTCTGCTTACCGGCGGGGAAGTTCGCGGTGTAGACACAAAGGAGCTGCAGGGCGGTCTGCATCAGTGAGTCATCCACCAACAGCCAGGGCCAGAGAGAGTGCAGGACGGGGGCGAGGTGGGCCTCCAGGGCTGCCTCCTGTGGCGGGGCGAGACAAGGGCAGCGCTGGTCTGAGTGCAGGACAAAGTACAATGAAATCAAATCCTCAACTACTGCCACCAACGTGAGAGGAACACCGACTTCCTGTTCCGAGGAGCACGAGCCCGGAGCCCTTGCCCGGCGCCGTCAGGAGGCCCTGCCCCGGGGAGGCTGAGGAAACAGCCTGGAGCAGGGCAGGTGAGCGGACAGTGCTCGCACCGCTCAGTACCCCGCAAATACTCCGACGTGGCTGGGAAATGGGACTTTCCGGTTAAGTCAACACTCTCACCAACTCGGAGTTCTCCCCGCCGCCCGCCCGCCCTCTGCGTGAACGTGTGTACACGGATCTGGTACATGTGGAGAGACACAGATCGATGAGGGTAGATTATGGTTTTTAAACCATCTGTATATAGTAAAATGCAGTCAAAATATCATGTTAAATCAATAAATTCTTAGGTAACTCGTAGTTTTCATTACAATGGTCAGTTACCACTGGGAAAACGTGAGATAGAATGTAGCTGCACACACAGCCACTCTACGTGGGCCAATCAGGAGGCAGCCTGCAGAGCGGCGGGGTGGGGTGCTCACCCACCGCCCCGCAGGTTTCGCCGCCGAGGCACCGGCAGGAGAGAGTGGGCAGCGAGCCCCAGAACCTCCGGGCTGCTCCCTGCGCCCCCAACCTCGCAGGTGACCTCGCTCGCTGTCCCGGGGCCAGAGAGAAACAGGTGGGCAAAAGCTCCTTCTCTACCCAGCATTCTGTCCACAGTCCATCGGTCACCCTCCACCCTCCGTCCGCCCCGGGGAGCAATGGCTGCTCCTGTGCTGGAGACGATGTGTCCACCCTGCTCTGGAACTCGGCCCGCCCGCCCCTCAGGGCTCCGGTCCATCAGCCAGTGCTTCTCTCCCTGGCTTCGTAAGAACTAGTCCCCCATTAGATTTCTTGTTCACGTTCCAGCCGTTTACAGAAAAACAAACAGACTGCCTTCCTTTAACGCTGTGCGTCCTGAATTAGAAAGCTGCTTCTCAGACGAGCTGCTGACCCGACATCTTTTCTGCCCTGGGGATGCTGGGAAGACCACTCCCATCTTTGCAGTTACTAAGCCCTCGTCTATTACAGGCCTCGTCTCCTTCCTTCCAGGGAGACCCTCCAGCCTGGATCGTCTCCAAACTCTCCAGCATCCCCCTCTCTGCTGTTTTCTGCCTTCTCCTAATTATATTTTCTCAGTGTAAGACCTGGACTTTCACTTTCTACTCTCTTGGGAAATGTCAACAACAGACACAGCTGCAAATACCATCTACACACTGACCACGTGGCGCGGACAGGAGGCTCCCTGGCTCTCGCCCTCGATGCACCCACGCGGTGAGAGCCCGGAGTCACTGCGGGTCCGCTCTTCTGCACACCTGAGACGTACTCCCCGCCCACTCCCCTCCCCCCGCCCCCTGGGGTCCTGTCATCTCTGGCCTGGACTGCCACCCTCCCCTACCTCTAACCTCGCCCACCGTTTAATTCACTTACCTCCCGGTCACCATGACCATCCCAGAATGAAAACACCCCAATGTCACACGTATAGACACTGGGGTGGGGGGAGGGTGGGTCAATCAGTGAATTTCCACAATCAGTAGTGGGAGTGTGACCAACACCCCAGGTCAGTTGGAGCAGGAAAAGACATCAAGAATTTGCCCATAGGACTGTACGCACACTCCAGAGCAATCTCAACTCCCTTCCTTGGATCCGCTCCTACTGACCACTGGGAAGGTGGAGATGCTCTGACTTCCGGAAAGAGCCCGTTCTCACCACCGCTCGGTGCTGCGAGCGTGGACACTTCCCACCCGGTGCCCGAGCCAGCAGACCTGACCCAGAGCACCCCGAGTCCGTTCTCACCGCCGCTCGGTGCTGCGAGCGTGGACACTTCCCACCCGGAGCCCGAGCCAGCAGACCTGACCCGGAGCACCCCGAGTCCGTTCTCACCGCCGCTCGGTGCTGCGAGCGTGGACACTTCCCACCCGGTGCCCGAGCCAGCAGACCTGACCCGGAGCACCCCGAGTCCGTTCTCACCGCCGCTCGGTGCTGCGAGCGTGGACACTTCCCACCCGGAGCCCGAGCCAGCAGACCTGACCCGGAGCACCCCGAGCCCGTTCTCACCGCCGCTCGGTGCTGCGAGCGTGGACACTTCCCACCCGGAGCCCGAGCCAGCAGACCTGACCCGGAGCACCCCGAGTCCGTTCTCACCGCCGCTCGGTGCTGCGAGCGTGGACACTTCCCACCCGGAGCCCGAGCCAGCAGACCTGACCCGGAGCACCCCGAGCCCGTTCTCACCGCCGCTCGGTGCTGCGAGCGTGGACACTTCCCACCCGGTGCCCGAGCCAGCAGACCTGACCCGGAGCACCCCGAGTCCGTTCTCACCGCCGCTCGGTGCTGCGAGCGTGGACACTTCCCACCCGGTGCCCGAGCCAGCAGACCTGACCCGGAGCACCCCGAGTCGTGGAAGAATATTAACACATCCGTCCCAGCGACACGAAGGGACCTTACAGTGAACACGACACCCCCATTCTGAGTACAAAGCTCGGATGTGGGGAATTCTAATGACGTGTGAGCACTACGCCCCATCAGACTGTCCGAAAGGGAAGCTGTCCGTCGTGAGTCTTGGACAAGCACGGACGACGCCTGGAGGAGTGTGTGTTCACGGGGCTCCCTCTCCAGGGCTGTGCGCTTTCCAGTTCATCACGAATGAAGCACAAAAGGGTGAGTCTCTTTAAGGATGTTTTCAATGTGCCTCTGACCTCCGGGTGAGAGCAGTGCCTCGGGGCAGAGCCGGAGGGAAGAGCCTCCCGCGCGGATGCCACGCCCGGCGACACAGCCTTCTGCACTCGGGCGGAGCCAGTCCCCTCCTGGGGCGAACCGCCCTCACCCGCTGCCCGAGAGCTGCCTCACAGCACCTCTGCAGGGCCCTGCCCGGCACACAGCCGCCCCCCATCCCCGCGAGCCGAGCTACATGACACAGGACCGAGCGAGGCCCACGCGAGTCCGAGTGTCGTGACAAAGCGAAAGTGCGGCCACAGGCTGAAGGATGAGGTAGGGACAGCGACTCTGAGACCAGGGCTCAAGGAACAATCGCAATGCCCGAACAGCAGCGCTGCCCATTTCCGCCTGCTGTCGCACGAAGGTCAGAGGTGGTGCTACTTACTTTACCTTCTTCATTTTGATAGAGGCAGTTTCGCAGCAGCTGCATGGCTGTGCTTAGCTCTTTAACAAAACCATCCTCCTGTTCAAACAGAAGCAGACAAACAGGGTGAGGACAAGGGCACACCCCACCCGCAGTGCAGCCTCCCTGCCCCTCGGGCCCCATCCTGATGCAGCCGCGCTCGCCGCCCTGACCACACCACTCTGCAGGGCTGACAAGCTAATGATCTCTGAAAGGTGACCGTCGCTCAGGAAGCACATCGGCTATGAAAAAGCCATTGCTGTTCTATCGACCATGGAGGAACTGAGATACAATCTGCTCCAAGCTTCATCTCAATAAGGTGAAGCAGGCACTGACTGTTTTCGATCATATCGGTGTGCGCTGACTTTTCCATGATGAAGTGAAGGCCTCAGGCTACACAGAGAAGAGGCCAGAAGGAAAGGAAGAATGCAACTCCCTGTGCAATTCAACTATGAAATACGGCTTTTCTTGGCTTCTTCCCAAATGCAGCAGAAAAAGGTATCATGTGACCTGCTCTCCTCGGGCCTGTGCTCTGCACGCGTGTGCATATTTACATGTTCACAAATACACGTCCGTCTTCCCAAGGAGCCAGCGTGGCAGGTCTCTAACCACTGTTACTACCGTTAACACAGTTTTACGTGACAGCAATGGTCATTTCGAGTCGAATAAACAGGAGCCCAGCAGACTCAACGCTGGATGACACACTTGGGCGTCACAGAGGCAATAAGTAACCAGAGGTCAGGACCGTCAGCTCTGCCGCCCCGGGCCGGGCAGACACTGGCTTGATCACCGCCAGGTGTGCGGCTGCGCAGGGCCGAGCGTGCGTGCAAGTCGGGGAGGCGTTCACAGCGGCATGCTTGCCGGGAACGGTCCGAAGTGTCCAAGACTCACCCGCACACCCCGAAATGTTTATAACAACAAACATATGCACTTCAGTTAAAGATCTTCCAAGGAGATCTAAGGCACGCACAAAGTCTGCTAATGCAGAAATCACATTAGCTTATCTGACTGCCTTCCTTCTAAAGCATCGCCCATTTCCCCCAAATGCTGGGCCAGTTCCAAGCACGAGGACATGGCGAGGGCCCCAGCGTGCAGGCCCCAGAGCGCTACCTTCCTCCGGAGCGCCGCCCGCCCCGGCCGCAGCGAGTCCAGGCTCAGCCGGGCGACCACGTTCTTCACCTGCTCCATGCAGCTGTCGACCAGGTGGGCTGAAACACAGAGTCCAGAACGAGGAGCGGATGGGCCACTGCCCTGTGAGTTAGGCCACAGCTATCAATCAAACTCTCAAAAGCAACGTTTCACTTCTGACCAACTCCGTTTTAGTATTTTCAGTGAGAGAACAAAGAATCAAAGGGAGAAAATGTAAGAGAACTAAAAGGCTAAAGCCCACTTGTTTTCAACGTAGGCCGTAATCCCAAGTCGGCTGCACTGGGAGGACGCACATGACCAGGGAAATCAGTGACCTCGTGGTGCCGTCACTGTCTTCCAACTCCAGGGCCTGTGTCCTCTCACTACAGACAAGACACTGCAGTGGTGGTGGGGGGTATTGAAAAACACGGGGTCCCCCAGGGCTGTTATTACCACCATCAAAACTATGTTCTTATTTGCAAGTATGTGACACGTGCCTGTGGTTACCAATATTCAATTATTACAAAACTGAGCAACGTGTTATTTTTAAGCAGCTATGATATTTAGATATTCTCTAAAGTAATGCGTGTCTAACTATCTTCTGGTGGCCCTGGGAGTAGTCGTCTATGCCTCGAGTCCATAGAGAGTGAGAAGGAGCCAGCAGTGAGCCTGCACCCACACGCGGCCAGGGCGCCCCCTCCCAGAGCCGGCTCCCACATGCCCCCCCCCCCAGAGCCAGGGCCCGCGCCCGCCCCTCGCAGAGCCAGCGCCCACAGCCCCCCCAGCCAGCGCCCGCGGGGCCCCCCCCAGCCAGCGCCCGTGGGGCCCCCCCCAGCCAGCGCCCGCGCCCCCCTCCCAGAGCCGGCTCCCACGTGCCCCCCCAAGAGACAGCGCCCGCAGCCCCCCCCCAGCCAGCGCCCGCGGCCCCCTCCCAGAGCCAGCGCCCACGCAACCCCCAGCCAGCGTCCGCAGTCCCCCCACCCCGCAACCAGCGCCCGCGACCCACCTTCCAGAGCGAGCGCCCGCGCGGCCCGGCTGGCCGCCAGCAGGGACAGCAGCGCGTCCGCAGCCGCTGCCCTCAGGCTGTCCCGGGGGTGCGTCCCCTCGTAGCACTGCAGAGACAACAGAACACGTCACGGCCCTGCATCGCGGCCACTGCCTTCCCCGCACCCGCCGGGTTCGTCATGGTCACTGGGACCCTCGTGCTGAGCACAGCAGACCGGTCACCGCACAGACCGCCCACTCTGGAGGTGTCTGCCCCTCCTTGCGGGGATTCCACTGGTCCCCTCTGCTGTGCTCCCCGCCCGCTGGTGCTGGCTCCGCGGTCCGCTCGAGCCGGTGACGCTGGGCCGTGGGAGTCTCGGGGGACACATCCACTCACTACAGTTCCGAGGGCTCCAGCAATGCCAGGGTCAGAATCAAGAAGTCCTCACTGGCTTTCTCAACGTTAGATCGTTCAAACTCCACAACTTCTCCTTCGACCAGTAATTTAAAAAATGACCAGCTTCATGATATCGTGATTAAAATTAGGCTCGATGATAATCTGACATAAAACACACTGCAGCATAGTTTCCAGATGCGACTCCACATCCAGCTGGGGCTCACCCTCGGCCTGTGCCCGGGGCCGCAGAGGGGGGAGTCCCCCGCAGACCCCGCAGGCCGCCCCCACAGGCAGGCCCCTACCTGGCCGTGGTCAGAGCAGACGTCTGGGGCTTGATCAAGACCATGCTGAGTGCGACCGTGCAAAGCGGAGGCAGAAAGCATCAGGGGGTGCTGGCACTGCCTGGAGTGAACCCTGCAGTCCACCACGAGAACCCCAATCCGCCTGTCCACTCAATCTCCACCATTCACGGGAAAACTGCTCTTCTAGGCAATACTTGCGAACTGCGGGCACCAGTGATTTGAGGAAAACCAGAGACTTCCCTGAAAATACTGCTCACCTACTAACCGTGGCAATGGAGGGAGCAGAGGTAAGACTTCCAGGGAAACAGTTGTGTGTACAGATGTACCTTTCATTCCCTTGTGAAATCTCGTTAAAATGACAGAATGGGACACACACGCTCCAAGTTTGAGACGGAGCGTGGACAGAGCGCATGCGTAGGCGGACTCGAACGCGGATTCCGAGCGGGAGGTGAGCAGGCCCGTCTGCACGCTGCGCGGCAGGGGCGGAGGGTTGCACCAGGCAGCCCCGGAGCTGGGCGTGAAGGGGGACAGTCTGCAGACCTCTGAGCAGCAGCGGGATGACCAGAGTCGGCCCACCCACAGCTCTGTGCAGCCGGGCGCTCGGCCTCCCCGACCTCGCAGAACACTGAGCGCTCGGCTGTCAGAGGAGAAGGACTCCAGGCTGCCAGGGACCGGGCACGCCGACGGGGACCGGGCACGCTGGCAGGGGCCAGGCACACGGGCGGGGACCGGGCACGCCGGCGGGGACCGGGCACGCCGGCAGGGACCGGGCACACGGGCAGGGACCGGGCACGCTGGCAGGGACCAGGCACGCCGGCGGGGACCGGGCACACGGGCGGGGACCGGGCACACCGGCGGGGACCGGGCACGCCGGCGGGGACCGGGCACGCCGGCGGGGACCGGGCACGCCGGCGGGGACCGGGCACACCGGCAGGTGAGGGTATTCACTGAAAACAGGGATGAAGCAAACAGTGCAAATTCAGTCCTAACACCTCAACCCTCTCTCCTCCTCCACGCGGCACACCAGCAGCTGGGCTTTCGCCGCAGTCAGGGGGCCGAAACTCCTCTCCAGGGAATCTGACCAGCTCGGGAAGACAGGGTCACAGCGCGCCCCAACCCACCGTGCAGCATGCAGGGGACACGCTCCACGCAGACGCACAGGGCTTCCGATCTACGCGAGTCTCCGGGTTGTAAATACAACCAAGGTTACCAGGCCTGAGAAAAGCCCCAACCAGAAAACAGAAGCCGATGGAGAAGGAAGAGGAGATTCCCCAGGAAGAGGAAAACGTCCAGGACATTTCACACACGCAGGGAGTGGAGGGAGGTCACGGACGTGATTCCAGCCCCGACTCAGGATGGGAAGAACCCCAGGAGGCCCAGCGCGCGGTACAGGAGCCCCGAGCCTTCCTGGGGAAATGGACGCGGAGCCTCCAGGAGAGGGACCGGGCTGCAGGGCTCCGACAGCAGAGCTCCGGGGAAGGGGCAGTCTCTCCTGAACCCAGCGTGAGGCCTCCGCCTCGCCTCCCCTCGGCCACCAGGACGTCGCGGAAGGACAGAGGGGGGCTGCAGAGGGCCGCGCCTGTACCCAAAGGGGGCGTGGCCCAGGAAAGGAGGCGAGGGGACACCGGGCGCAGGAGCCGGCAGGGAGCAGCAGAGCGGAAGGGACGCCCCAGGAGGACGGTGAGGGGCATTCCCAAGGGGACACCAAGCAGGTCAGAGGGGCTGGAAGTGATTTCCTCCAGAGGACGAGCCGACAGAAGTTCGAACACTTCCGAATCCACTGAAAGGACCTCCGATTGCTGACCAGGAACGTGCAGCTTATCGGTGATAACAGAAAACCCAGCAAGTTAGAAGCAATACAATGGCCTCAGGAAAAAGCAAGCCGGGCAGGCAAAGGAAGGTCAGCGTTCGGTCCGCTGTTCACGGGCTGCAGCCCGGGCTGCGCATCTCCGGTCAACCGAAGACACTAATACTGGGGGATCGGGAGGGAACCCACTGTGGCTGGGTAGGTGGGCGGGGTGTGGGAAGAGTTTCAGTCTCGTTTTCCACAGCAGGAAATCAGCACATGGTGTCCGAAACAATAACCAAGACAGAAATCTCGTCTCCACGAACTCGTGAAGGAAACTGATCGGTATCTCACTAGGGGAGGCAAAATCTCCACCAAGCCAAATGTGTTCAACATTCTACGGTAAAAAATCAGCTAAGAGTTTCTTAGAAGATATTCAAACCCTGAAACCACCTCAAAACGGAATTCTGGAAAACTAAACTCACACATTACTTAAGATGTGAGTATGAAGAGCAAACTTTGAACACGTATCCCACACAGGGCGCTGCTACAAAGCAGCCATTTAAACACTTCTCTGCTAAGACATTTTAATTGAAGTTACAGCACAACAATTTGTGAGGAGGACAGAGAATTCAGAGCCAGCTGAAACCCAGCAATAATGTACAACCCTCATTCTGAATCAGAAGAGGTGACGTAATATACCGAAGGTCATGCATCTAATGTTTTTTAGTACAGTTTTACAGAGAATTTAATTATACCTTTAAAGGACACCAATTTTAGAATACTATTCCTTTGGTAACTTAAAGATTAGAGTTTACTTTGCTTCCTATAACACCTGGCACAACCCACAGCTTACACGGACATATATTAAGAAACATTATTCATTATAATGTGTTGCTATTTAATGTAGTCTAATAATGTTTTAATTCACATACCTTCATATACAGCAGAGCAGAGACACAGTGTTTGTAGTTTAATAGGCTCGTTAATAACATCACATCTCACACTGGGCGCACATTTCCCCGAACGAGTCATGGGCCCAGGTGCCTCCTCACTTTGTCTTACACTTGCCTGGCCCTTCTAGCAAACAGCAATCGCCATGTCCTACTGTTCACAGGAACACGCATGAATCATACGTGAAGGGTATGACTTATCAGGAGAACGGCGTAGATAAGCGGTGACTGCACCGCACCATACACAACACGTGATGTGTTTGTGATCTGGGAGAAATGGAGGGAGACCAGCAGTCTCCAGGAAAACCACGCTCGCCAGGGGTCCCTGCCCAGGACCAGGAAGGCAACAGCACGATCCCCTCGACAGCAGCAGACGCCCAGAAACCAGGGAACGGGGAGGGCGGGGCACACTGAGCAGGCTCCCGTCCGTTTTCCTCCGTGCACCATTTTAACTGGGTTCATCATTCCTACACGGATCCCCATTCATCACAAGTCTAATCACATTCCTTGAAACACAGCCCCACCAACAAGCAAGAGACAGTAGCTGGGCAATAAAACGCCTGACTGCAGGTCTCTGAATTCACCGGGTCGGGACTGGCTGCGGGAACCATGGTCAAGGCTCCCGGAGCTGCTGGGCCTTCCAGCCTGGACAGGGAAGGCTGGCACGCTGCCCTCACTGCGGGACAGGGACCCACGTGGGCTCCGCGTCACCCAAACGCCTGCGGCGTGGGGGCGTCAGCGAGAGCCAGGGCCCCTCCCCAGAAGGCTGCTCCACCAGAGCCGACGTTCAGAAATGCATACTGCTTTGGATCAGGGCTGGGGGCAGACTGGTGTCAAGGTGTGAATTCGAGTTGTCCTGCTTGTTATATTCTTTAAAGGGCAAAATAGGGCTCAACTAGTCACTGGGGGAATGAAGCCGCTGTTCTGGTGGTGAATGAGATCAGTGGGAAAGTGTCCAGTTTGGGTTTTAAACGAAGAAAAACTGAGTGGACGAGTGGGGTGGTGGCCGCAGGGACGCCGTGGCCTCTGAGTGACATTCAGAAGTGCTCTGAGGCCTTTCCCCTAGAGATCCAGCTTCACAAGGGGCTGCTGGCGAGGAAAACAAAAACACGGGACCCTTATCAGGCCCTTATCAGCTCGGAGACAAGCAGCCTGCTGGGCCAGAGCCTGGGTGGAGACCGGCCCCTCGCCTCAGGCCGGTCGGTGGTTGGAGCTGCACAGGCGGGGCCCTGCCTCTCAGCCCGTCTGCATTCCAGCGTGGTCCCACCAGATCTGTGCCACAGGGCTCTCCCGGGCAGGGGAGGGCAGGGGAGGGCAGAACCCCCACCCAGCAGCACAGGGACGGTGACCGGCGGTGCTCACCGGGGAAGGGACGCCGGTCTCCTCCCCGCCCCCCTCCCAAGGTGCGCGTGGACGACTGCCCACCTCTCGGCGGGAAGAGAGCGAGGACGCCACGCGACCACAGCCAAGGAGGGTTCTCGTACTGGGAAATCTGTGAACACTCCTGACTGTACACAACTACTGTGCAACTTAGAAAACACTTCTGGTTGTCTGCTATATTTACAGAATAACAATACTTTATAGTGATTTTAGGAGGCTTCTGATGAAACAAAAATCTTGGTTTGTATTTTAGGATTGCAAAAACTAAGTTAAAGGATAAAAGGAGTGTCAGAGCTCGGAAAGGGGACGTTTTCTCACAAATGTGACAACCAGGTCCCAAGTCTATACACATAAACACCTTAAATAATGTGACTCATTCATATAAACCAAATGCCACTTAGGTGAACATGTTGTCAAAGATTCAAACTCTTTAAAAAGGCAATAAAGTCTGAATTATAGCTTCATTCCTGAAATATACCCAGTGGCCATACGACACACTATTGGAACAAACCGCTGAACTTAGATCACCACTACTTCATTTGGAATGTAGCATCGCATTCTGGTCAACATCAGTGGGTGGAACTGGTCAGGAAATGGTTAAGTTAACTTTATACACTCTTCTATTATTTAAATGGTCATGAGTACTAATTACTTTTTAATTCAAATGATTAAAAATATTTTTACAAGACCAAGACCAAAACTAAAGTTTTCTTTAATCTTCACCCAAGGATATGTTTATTGATTTGAGAGAGAGAGAGAGAAACATCAGTGTGAGAGAGAAAGCAATTGGTTGCCCCCGTTCATGCAACGACGGGACTCGAACCCACAACCTAGATGCGTGCCCTGACTGGGAATAAAACCTGCGACCCTTTGGTGTAGGAGACAACGCTCCAACCAGCTGAGCTACCTGGCCAGGGCAGAAAGTAAAGTTTTGAAAAAATTAAGAAATCACGTACCTGAATGATGACTTCATTAAGTTGCTCCAGAGACTCCTGGTTGCCCCGACTGTTCCCGAGAAGCGAAGCCACGGTGGGCCTGGGCCCGGGCTCCGTGTTCCCCTTATCCCGAAGCCGCCGCTTTGCCTCTTCGGTCAAGAGGACAGAGAGGAACTGCAGGCTGGCAGTGCAGAGGGCGGGGCAGGTGGCAGACAAACCCACACACCTGCAGAACATATCTGGAAGAGAGGGTTACCCCTATGTAAATGTAGGAACATTTCCTTAAAAAAAAACAGTGAATCACACTGACATATTTTTAATGAAGTAAAGCAATCAGTAGCTCAAGTATCACAAGAATAACTTTAATATTTAAAAATAATTTAAACAGTACTAAGACAACATAGTGAATCAAGAAATCTATTTAATTTTCATTTCGTTCTATTTATGTTTTATTTTTTTACAGGTCTGAGTGTAAATGCACACACACTTGACATCTGCTGAGACCCAGACGGAGAGGGTTAGGGAGAGATGACTACCGATCTCCTTGGGATCTACTGGAACCCACAAAATCAGGTTCTTAACTTTTAAATTTTTATTTCATTGCTAATCTAAAAAATGTTGCTGCAACTGTACTCTGAATTGTCTAGATTGTCACCTTAGAAGTGTGACTGGGTTTCCGCTTTCAGACATGAGGGTGCCAGACAGTTCTTAGTAGACTGGCGTGGGCATTGGCACGGCGCGGGCATTGGCACGGCGCGGGCACCAACCCTCGCGGCAGCTCGAAAGAGCAGGTGAGCCGATCTGCCAACAGCCGCGGGGCAGCAGGCGGACCAGCCCCAGAGTCCACACTGACCGGTCATGGTTCACATCCTGCTGTGGGCACTGACTGATTTAATCGGAACTTTCACTACATTAATTGTATTATTTTGATAACAATGGGTTGTAAATTTGTCTTAGTTTTATATTATTTTGAATTCATACTTGTGTAAGAGTTATAACCATGAGAATTTCTACCTAGATTTAGGTTATAGAAATTCTTATGTTCTTAAGTAACATAATTTAGTCAGCAATGGGGTTTCATGAGAAACATGCTCATGTAAATAATGTCTAAATATTGGTCAAGTTTGAAAGTTTGAGCCAAGATTGTTATAGACAACTTAAGTTACTGAGCGACCAGAAGATATTTTAAATGCATATGCATATGTGGGATAGAAAATAGACAAACAACAAAAACTCCATGGCAAGGAATACCAAGGACCATTTTTATTCATTATGATTTCACTGACATCACTATTATCAAAGCTAACGGTTTATGCAGATTATTCTTTATTAGCACCATTATTATATAAAACTGCGCGTCTGTAGAAAGACTTTGAATTTCATGTCTTTATTTTAGCACTAGGGAAAGAGTGTCAGATCAACAGGCTTAAATCAGGGGCCGGCACACTTTTTTCTGCGAAGGCTCAGAGAGTGAATGAATACTTCAGGCTTCGAGGGTCACAGGCCTTTGCCATGGAGGTATGACCGCAGCCTGGGCAGGCGGGGTGAGGTCGCTGCAGCCCCGGCCCAGGAAACGTGTATTCACCCATCAGGAGAGGGCCCGCCTACCTGTACCAGCTGGCTTAGGGCCCCGTGAGACCCCGAAAGCCCCTTGCTTTGCGGTGCTGGTGATTCAGGTGGTAAACCCCATGGATGCGGAAGAAAATCTCAATCTCAATCCCTCAATCTCTTCCAATGTTTCTCTCTCTTGACAAAATATGATCTCTAAATGGACCCTATTCCCGCAGGGTAAACTCAGAACGCCTATGTCCAGGCACCTGACAGTTCCCTTGCTTGTGAACTTGTATTTCCCCGTACATCTTACTCCGAAACTATACTCTGTTACAAAATACAGCATACATTTCATTTTATAGAAATGATAAAATAAAATGTGAAAAAAAGTCAATTAAATTAGTGATAACTTGGAAATTTAAATTCAATTTTGAATACATTTAAACTGGTTATTTTTTTTTTTTTCTCTTTATTGATTTTAGAGAAAAAGAAAGGGAGACTGAGCCCTGGCCAGTTTGGCTCAGCAGTTAGAGTGTCGGCCTGCGGTCCGGAGATACCCAGGTTCGGTTCCCGCTAAGGGCATGTACTTCGGTTGCAGTTTGTCCCCGGCCCTGGTTGGTCGTGCGGGTGGCAGCCACTCGATGTGTCCCTTCACGTCGATGTTTCTCTCTCTCTCTCCCTTCCTCTCTCTCCCTCCCATTCTATCTGTACAAAAAATGGAAAAATACCCTCGGGTGAGGATTAAAAAAAAAAAGAAAGAAAGGGAGACTGAGAGAGAGATAGAAACATTGACTGGCCGCCTCCTGCATGCCCCCCCCTGGGGATCAGGCCCACAACCTGGGCATATGCCCTGACCGGGAATCAAACCGGCGGCCTCTTAGTGCAGAGTAGACGCTCAACCACTGAGCCACAACGGGCTGGGCTAAATTGGTTATTTTTTAAAAGTAACATAAATGTTTCTTAGAAGCATTTATGTAAAAAAGGCTTCTTCTGGCTTTGCTAAAATGCAGAAGAGACTTTATGAAAAATTTGTTAAAAATAATCATTTTACTCTGGTAGGCAACTTACATGGAAAACATAAAGTAACTGCACTACACCTTACGTCTCTGTGCCAGAGGAGACCTAACGTCCACGGGGCCACGCACACAGGGTGCTCTCCGCACAGATCCCCGCGTGCAGGGAGCGTGTGCACGTGAGCCAACAGACCACACCAACCCCAGAAACTCACTCCTTGTTCTGTGTTCGTGTCCTATGTATCTCCGTAACGCCACATGCTTTTCTGGTCCCCGACATGTGTTCCAGTGTTTCTCAGGCACACCCTTGGGCCCCCCAACGGCCCCGCAGAGGTCTTGAAGCAAACCTGGTGTTGCTCTCAGGTGCCATGTCTCACTTCCTTCCAGAGAACACGGACTGTACGAGCTCGCACACGTGTGTCTGAGCACACCCCCAGCCAGGGCCCGCGTCCACTTACCGACCGCCCCGGCCCAGCGCTCGGCCAGACCCGCACTGATGGCCGGCAGCGAGGCAGCCCCCGCCTTCCTCAGGAGTGTGGCCAGGAGGCCGAGTAGATGTGTCCACGTCTGGTGAAACGCCGATGTTAGCTCTGCATCTATCCAGTCGGTCAAAACAGGACAAAGGAAAAGAGCCCTTTAAAATACAAAACTCCCCACTTCGTTACACTTACAGGAAGAGGGATGCCCTCGTCAAACAGACAAACGTATTCAGCATGAGTTCACTTCAACTGATTTCTCTTTGTGTTGTTTTGTAAACATCCCTCTCCTCCACCTTCCTACACACACATCTTCTCTTCGACAGCCAGCAGGAAGTGTGGCAAACTGAGTAAGTACTTACTGGGCACATTGTAAACACAAGTCGTCGTCTGTGCTACTTCTATCAAAGTAAAGGTCTCCTGTTTCCTTTTTCCCTCTAGCAGCTTTGTGTAGGGGCGAAAGGGGGAACAATGTACCAAAGTCATGGCAAAGAAGAGAATTTCTTTGGAGAAGCAGACTATTAATTGACCCACAAGGAAAGCGATGATACAGAAGAGAATCGCGCTCTGCCTATGGCTGACCACGTCCCAGTGAACCCTATGGGGTAAGGGCAGCTCGTCCCTTCTCTCTACTTGGCACGTGAGAGGAACCGGAGGGCAGCCGCTATCTTAGGATTGTATGCTCTGCCCGCATCTGCCTGCTCTGCCCGCATCTGCCTGCTCTGCCCACATCTGCCTGCTCTGCTCTCTGCCTGCTCTGCCCGCATCTGCCTGCTCTGCCCACATCTGCCTGCTCTGCTCTCTGCCTGCTCTGCCCGCATCTGCCTGCTCTGCCCGCATCTGCCTGCTCTGCCTGCATCTGCCTGCTCTGCTGTCTGCCTGCTCTGCCCGCATCTGCCTGCTCTGCCCACATCTGCCTGCTCTGCTGTCTGCCTGCTCTGCCCGCATCTGCCTGCTCTGCCCGCATCTGCCTGCTCTGCCCGCATCTGCCTGCTCTGCCCGCATCTGCCTGCTCTGCCCGCATCTGCCTGCTCTGCTCTCTGCCTGCTCTGCCCGCATCTGCCTGCTCTGCCCGCATCTGCCTGCTCTGCTCTCTGCCTGCTCTGCCCACATCTGCCTGCTCTGCTCTCTGCCTGCTCTGCCCACATCTGCCTGCTCTGCTCTCTGCCTGCTCTGCCCACATCTGCCTGCTCTGCCCGCATCTGCCTGCTCTGCCCTCTGCCTGCTCTGCCTGCATCTGCCTGCTCTGCTCTCTGCCTGCTCTGCCCGCATCTGCCTGCTCTGCCCGCATCTGCCTGCTTGCTCTCTGCCTGCTCTGCCCACATCTGCCTGCTCTGCTCTCTGCCTGCTCTGCCCACATCTGCCTGCTCTGCTCTCTGCCTGCTCTGCCCACATCTGCCTGCTCTGCCCGCATCTGCCTGCTCTGCCCTCTGCCTGCTCTGCCCACATCTGCCTGCTCTGCTCTCTGCCTGCTCTGCTCTCTGCCTGCTCTGCCCGCATCTGCCTGCTCTGCCCACATCTGCCTGCTCTGCCCGCATCTGCCTGCTCTACTCTCTGCCTGCTCTGCCCCCATCTGCCTGCTCTGCCCACATCTGCCTGCTCTGCCCGCATCTGCCTGCTCTGCTCTCTGCCTGCTCTGCCCACATCTGCCTGCTCTGCTCTCTGCCTGCTCTGCCCGCATCTGCCTGCTCTGCCCGCATCTGCCTGCTCTGCCCACATCTGCTTGCTCTGCCCACGCCAGCAACAGTCTGTGTGGCTGCCGCCTAACCCCACGCAAACCGAGGCCCTCCTGGTGTTCTTCAGCCTCCATCAAGCATCTGAAACAGCACAGCTTCCATGGAGCCTGCATGACCACCCTCAGGGCTTCTCTCTGTGTTACTATCGGCTCCAAAAAGACATGTTTTCTCATCACCAGCCCCATGAAATAGTGATTCCACAAATATTATATTTACTACCTGTATATCTGTACTTTACACATAAAAAGAGTAAGTATAAAGCTTACTGATTTTATTCAATACAGGCTTAAGGGGGCCAAATAAAATATTTAAATTGGAAGTTAAATTAAAAATTAAAAAGCTATTAATCTTTAACTATATAACTATGCTTGCTGAACAACTTTTAATGTAATCATATATTAAAATGTATCAAATGATGCAAAAATTACAAATCATATAAATATATACTAGAAATGTAATCAATTTTATGGAATTATTCAAAAGTTATATTGTTCCAGAAAAAGAATTTAATTTCTTAAAAACTATTTTAGTGAACTTTTAACTTTTGCTAGATATGAGAAAATAACTTCTAATTTAACCACTTACTAGACAGATATACATTCAGATATCACAGACTATTTTCAGCACTTGGCATAATTAATGATGGTTAACTACTTTGATATAATTAAATAACAGTATAAATACTATTCTTCTTTAATTCTCCAAGCCCAAGCCACACAGAAGCCACAGACCCACGAGAAGGCTCAGAGGCCGTGGGCGGCGGCCGGACGGCAGCCCTGAGCCTGTGACTGTGGGACCGAGCGCTGAGTCCCGTGCTCCGCAGCGTCGCTCTGGCCCTGACCCTGCACCTTTCTTGTGCGTCTTCCGTGTGCTCAATCTGCTCTTTCTCAAATGACACCCAAGGAACCCAAGAAGAGAATTAGACACTTGAAGTAAGATTTTATTGGGCGAGTTGAGCTCTGCGGGGCCACAGCTCACGTGAAGCCAGAACTCTGCCCGCTCCTTTCCCCAGAGAGTGGACTCTGCTCCTGGGGCCCAGACCACCCTCTGGAGAGGGCACAGGCTAACCCAGTCAGCGCGGTGAGGACAGCACCGCCACGCGTGGATCCTCAGTCGGGAGTCACTGCGCCTCTCCCACGGGGACGTCAGCATGAGCTGAGGACCGGCTCTGCTGAGCCTCAACTCCCACCCGCCAGCCCCTGAAATCCAAGGGACCAGAAGACATGAACACAGGCAAAGAGAAGTGCCAAGCGGGCGATCGCTCCACCATACGCTGCTTTACATTGGACATGCATTTCACTGTGTGTTAAGGCTGATAATGATCCTACTGTTTTTAACTGTCTCTACTACTAAGTACTTTATTCAACTTTTCATCAGTTTATTTTTCAATCATTTCAGATCCTAGGAAATTTTTGATATTATATGCTACACTTGCTTACACTTCTTACTGCAAATGAGTTATTAGTAGGTCATGTGGACTTAGTCGTCGTTTGTAAAAATAACGAACACCGACAGCTCACAGCACTTGCTCACACTCCACAGAGAACCTCACCCTCACGGACACGGCAGCTCGGGACAGTCCTTTCTCACGCCACAGGCCTCCCCCGCTGGTCTCCAGGCACCTCTCACCACATCCTAGCTACAAACACATGCTAAAAGCTTCCCAGACACTGGCAAAGAGTAGCTGAAATGCAACCTTGAAGTGGTATCTGGTACAGATGTCATTCACGCCACCCCACACCGACACAAGCAAGCTCACCACACAGATCGTCCGTGCATACGGTGAGAACTCTGATGACGTTTGTGATCAGGGGTTTCAGAAGCTCGTCCTGAGTCACAAGGTCAGGATCGACCAGCAGACACGACTGCAGGAGCCTGGACAGAGAGGCCAGGAACTCGAGGAGAAAGGACACCTGTCGGCAACAGAAGACAACACAGACGCGTCACATGGGAAGTCCATCTCGGGACCAAGTGTCCACCTCTCTATGCACTGTAAGTCACTTCTTTGTAAATAAGTTAACAAAAGGCTAATAAACATTAATCACAGTTTTGAAAGACCTTAAGTAAATACATAGCAGACAAAGCATTATTTTTCTCATAAGCATACTGTTAATGGCCACATTAACCAACATCAACTATACTCACAACAAACAAAGCAATATTTATAAAGCCAACTACTGAATTGCATTTACAAAAAGAAAACCTTAGAAAGGTTTATAAATATAATTTTTCAAGTAGCTAAATTGTAGACTCAATATTCTGGGCAAAGCAGAAAGGGGCATTTCAAAGCCATAAAGTTTGTAATTTTGTAAAGAAAGAAAATTTACAAAATACTCTTCAAAGTGCATAACTGGGGGGAAGGGGGGGTAGACTAACAGCCTAGTTATTGCTACAAATAAAATGCAAATTGTTCGACATTTGCCCTCAACTATCCTTGAACACAGAAATACTACTCTTAATTACAAAAGAAAAATTCAAACTTCCCCATTATTACCAATAAGACCATCTCCGGAATGTTGCTTGTAATATTATAAAAAGTATTCACTGACAAAAGCACTCTTTAAAAAAATAATTCCCTGGATATGTAAAAATTAAAGAATAAGCTGTGATGTCGCATTGATCCATTGTCCCCAGGAGATGAGACAGTCCACACAAATCAACTTCAGGTAGGTGTTCTGAAGACACTCTGCACATGTGCGCGCGCGCACACACACACACACACACACACACACACACACTCTCTCTCTCTCCCCCCCCACACTCTGAGGCCACTAACAGCACCTCGAGGGAATATTTCGAGGCTCACACGTGTTGCCCAACGAGCCCGCAGTTAGTGCTGCGAGTTCCGAGCGAGCACCTGCACAGCACAGGCGCCGAGTGGACACGCACAGGTGAGGCCCTGCCTTCGTGGTGCTCACGGCAGCCTGACCGCGTCTGCTCCCACGTTCTGCACCAGCCTCTCTGGCCCTGCTGTTTCTCGGGGAGGCCAAACACAGCCCATTCCAGCCAGCTCCCTCACCTCCTCCAAGTCCCATGTCACCGTCTGAAAGGCCAGCCCTGATCACCTTGTGTGGAGAAATGCTACCCTCCCAGCTGTGACATCACTTCCGGCCCCTGCTTTAGCGTTCTCAGATGTCACTGATGACATCCCCGGGCACACACGGCTTTGCTCTCGATCACGCTTTGTTCACCAGGGAAGATGCGGGGATACAGCAGGCCTCGGGAGGCCCGTCGGCTGCACGGCTGGACAGTGGAGCCCATCACGCCCACACGCACATGACAGGTGGGCCCTGAGCAGGACAGGTGTCCAGAGACGGTGCGCACCGCCCTCTACCCTGTCACAGGGCGTCTGCCTCACTCAGGAAGCTCAGAGAAGGCAACACCAATCAAGAGACACTGGTCTACTCCGCCTGGAATGTCACCCAAATAGATCCCGTAGCAACTTCTCACAAGTCGATGTGGAGGTAACATTGCCATTAGCAACACTCCACACAGAACTGTGAGGCATCCTTTCCATACAGACCCTCAGGACAGGCAAGAACTTAAGCCTATTAATGTGTTCTGATCGGACTGGGTTCTGAGAAGACACAGAACTGTTCACAGTGCCAACCGAGGTGAAAAAGACAGACAGCCTAACTCATGGGGGGAGGGGGTTACACGTCCTTTTCTTCCTGTGCACGCAGACCCCCGGGCCCTGAACAAACAGTGGTCAGAGATGGAACCAGGAGTACAGTCGACGTCTTTAATGCCAGTGCTCTCTCCCACGTCCAAAGACGTCCCGACGGAAACGCCCAGAAACCTACTTCAGATGACCTCGTCACCCACGCGTGACCCCAGCCTGCTCTTCCTCGGGGAGCGGACCCGCAGCGCGGACGCTCCTGGCACACACTCACCTGTGCCCGAGTGTGCTCCACAGGGGACGGCGCAGGCAGCAGGGCCCCGAGCTCCTGGACACACGTCTCGAGGGGGGCAGCATCCGCAACACTGTCAGGGACAGAAACGCCCCCCAGAGGGTGAGCAGGAGCCCAAGGAAAGACTGATAGTCAGACTGGAAGTCTGAACGTAACCTTGAATAGAGTGCAAGGGAGTTTTTATAAAGAAAGTTGATACATGGTTATGAAAGGCTATTTCATAACAGAGGAAAAGATCTTACCAGGTAAGTGTGGGAAGCAAAGAATCCAAAGAAAAATATCTACGGGAACCTCATCAGGCAGCGTGTTACCCCGTTACCCCTGGAGCAGGGCCATCAGGGACCCTCCAGACCAGGGCCTCCCCCGGCTGCCAAGCCAGTGAGTGGATGGCCTCTAATTAGACCTTGAGGTGGCCTGAGTCCAGTACCTAAGGCCTCTCTTACTAAACCATATGGACAGTAAGAAAATCAGAAAAAGTTATGTCAGAAGCTTACTGACATCAGATAAATGAAAGAACCAAATTACAATTTCCCTAAATTTTATGACAATACTTTGTCTCCCATAACAAAACAACTCCAAATGAATGTTTAAATGATTTCTCAACCCATGGACATATTCTGATTTGATTTCTAGGGAGCTAACCCGCAAACTCCTCCGCTTCCAGTCAGAGCGATCAAGGGAACTAAATGCTCCTTGAGTGTGATGGACACAAACAGGGTTAAAGCCTCTGAATTTTACGGAATCAGGATATTCTGACGAGGGGAGCTTAACGGTCAACCCAACAAACCAATACAAGTGCTTTGACAGATGTGAAATGAAAGCTGTCAGGACAATGCTGGCAATTCTGGCAGAGGCCTGCAAAGGATGGAGGTGCGTCCCGGCCGGGAGGCCGCACAGTGAGCCGCGGACACGGCTGCGGGCCGCTCCACCACCCCGCCTCCACCACCCCGTCTCCACCACCCCGCCTCCACCACCTTATCTCCACCACCCCGTCTCCACCACCCCGCCTCCACCACCCCGCCTCCACCACCCCGCCTCCACCACCCCGCCTCCACCACCTTGTCTCCACCACCCTGCCTCCACCACCTTGTCTCCACCACCCCGCCTCCACCACCTTGTCTCCACCACCTTGTCTCCACCACCCCGCCTCCACCACCTTGTCTCCACCACCCCGTCTCCACCACCCCGTCTCCACCACCTTGTCTCCACCACCCCGCCTCCACCACCCCGCCTCCACCACCCCGTCTCCACCACCCCGTCTCCACCACCCCGTCTCCACCACCCCGCCTCCACCACCTTGTCTCCACCACCCCGCCTCCACCACCCCGTCTCCACCACCCCGTCTCCACCACCCCGCCTCCACCACCTTGTCTCCACCACCCCGCCTCCACCACCCCGCCTCCACCACCCCGCCTCCACCACCCCGCCTCCACCACCTTGTCTCCACCACCCCGCCTCCACCACCTTGTCTCCACCACCCTGAGAGCCGCTCCACCACCCTGCCTTCACCACCCCGCCCCCACCACCCCGCCCCCACCACCTTGTCTCCACCACCTTGTCTCCACCACCCCGCCTCCACCACCTTGTCTCCACCACCCCGCCTCCACCACCCCACCTCCACCACCCCGCCTCCACCACCCTGTGGCCCACTCCACCACCCTGCCCTGCCAGGAGCGTCTCTCACCCACAGAGCAGCTGGATGAGCCGAGCCTGCCGGAGGGCGGTTGCTGTGTCCTGTGGCACGGTCACCAGGAGGCTGTCCAGGAGGCTGCACATCGCGGAGAGCAGGGGCGGGGTGACCAGGGCGCAGGGGCGGGGCAGAGGAGCAGAAAGGGACGAGTCACGAGGACGCCGTGGGGATGCTCCTGCAGGCTGACCTAGAACGAAAACCAGTGTAGAAAGTCACCGTCACGTCTACTCCATGGTTATGTGCGAGTCCCAAGTCCTGCCACTCAGAGGGAAGTTCCTGGATGTGCCAGAGAGGGACGGGTGGGGAATTCCCTTCGTGCTCGGCTGATCTCGACCCAGTGGCCAGGGAATCAGACATCGACCTCCACTGTGTGAGTGTGCGGACATACATGTATGCGTGTGGGCACGAGCGTGTGTGTCTGTGTGCGCACGTATACACGTGTCCGTGCACACAAGTACACACGTGTGTGTCTGCCCGGAGTGACAGTGAAGAGCCAAGTCAAGGAGGGCGGCGCTCGGGCTGTCCCCAGCTTTCAGAACCCAGAACACGCACACGGCCCACAATCCCTTTCCTGCACCTCCGGGGCCAGAAGAGTTTCCCAATTCAAAACAGCTTGGGGTTTGGGAAAGCTGCTGAGTACAGAGCCCGGCCAGGTGGGGTGCCGCGGGGCCGACGAGCACCGCGCTGCCCAGTGAGCACCGGCCAGCTCTCCGAGGTCCGTCGGCCCTGCCGCCCGCCGGGGCTTCCCTCGAAGGCTTGCGGGGGGCCTTAAGAAAGCTCACCTGCCTCCAAACCCTCCTTCCGACCCTCACGCCCCGTGTTAAAGAAGCATTGTACTTTAAATTCAGGTTTACAAAAACACAGAGAATTCCCAGATCCCTCCACCAGCTCCCTACATATCAGCCCTTCACCTTTCATGTCGCACCTGCCTATCTCCTTGTGAACTGCTTGTGAGTACAGACATAGTCCCTCCAGCACTGAATTAGCTTCTGGCCAGGGCTTTGTCTCTCATAATCGCAGGACAAGGGCCAGAACCAGGAGGTCAACGATGAAGCAGTGGTACCAGCTCATCTACAGATCTTCTCCAAACTATGCAACTGCCCACAGCACCCTCTATAGCAAAGGACCAAGTTCCTTCCTTACTGGGTCCAGGCTGGGATCACGCCCTGCACTGAGCGACACGTCTCCTGGGCCCTGACCTGAGGCGCTACCGTCTGGCTTGGTGGCTCAGGACCCTGACTCTCGGTGACCAGCTCAGGCCAGTCCGGGCAGGTCGGGTGCTGGTTGTTCCCCCGCGGAGTCTTCAGCACATCCCATGAGGAGGACTGTGCTTCAGAATGGAAGCATAATCTTTGAAAAATGCTTAGGATCAGATTCTCTTTGTTTCCAGGGGACTACCGTGGGCAAGTGTGTTTCCAAGGGAGGGACAAAACGAAGTTAACAGTCATCAGCTCCCCAATTATCTATGCTTAACTAATAAGGAACCATATGGCAATCAGACTATGTTTTGAATGGCAAATTCCCATTTATTAGTTAAAAGTATTTGTTTTGTTACTTTCTGATATATTCATTCTAATTTATTCCATCATGTCCTGTGACATTTCGTTTTGTTCTTATCTACACATTTTGTTCTGGGACTTATTTAATTTTGTTCTTATCTAGACATTTACTTCCAAAATGTCTGGACGACTTGTCACTTTTCTTTCTGAAAGCAGCGTGTCTTCCCAAAGGGTACCTGGGGCCACGAACAGGTCGTGCGAGGCTTCGGGGAGAGACGCAGCGGAGGGCGCCGGCGGCGACAGTCCCGTGCTCCCAGACGAAGGCGTCACCTGTGGACCAGCGAGGAAACATTTATTCCCAATGATCACTCAGCAGTAGACAATGGAGCACATGCGGCACAGTCACAAGAAGGATGTCCTTCAGCAGAGAGCTTACAACATGACCACACCTGCTGGTCTACCTGAACTGCTCTGGTTCAACCCCCAAACCCGTGCTTGTTTGAAAATAATCCTCAAGGAATATTTACTTGATTATATTTAATAATACACATCAATATAAATATGTTACTTATCACCCTGACATCCACATAACAACTGGTCAACTTTAGAATCCCAGGGTCAGCTACTGGGAGCTGGAGTCCATGTGAGACCCCGCGCTACAGGCAGTCCAGGTCCTAGGCCCAAGGTCACACTTTAACCGGGATTCTGAGACCAGTATGACAGCACAAGTCCACCCAAGTCAGAGGACATCCTCAGACAAGCCTCCAGAACGCTGGCCAGGCGTGTTAGCGGGACGTGCTTTCCCACGGACAGACTTCTGCTGCTGGACTGACTCGCCCCTCGCAGGTGGGGCGGGGCGGGCTCGGCTGAGAGTGGAGGACGCCGTCTCGTGTGTGGCCTACCGCACGTGAGGACGAGCCCAGAGGGAGCTGTTCTCCTGCAACAGGAACCCCTAAGTCTGCTCCTGCCGCCCCCTCGGTCAGCCACGTGGCCTCGGAGCTCCAGTCCCGCCCTCCCTCACCCTCACGTCTGCCACGTCCACAGCCTGAGATTAGAACTCACATCCACGCAGCACTACAAATGGAACTGAGTTTTCTGAACGGAGTACACGGACTTCCAGCCTCATCACCTCACTGGTAGGACAGAGGCAATCAAAGCCTGTTAGTGCAGAGACTCTGGTACTTCAAGCCACGGTGCTCAAAGCCCCGCACTGTGCTTACAAACTCTGAGAGAGAATACCTTTCCGTAGATGTGTTTATAAACAGACATGATAACTGAAGACGCTTTTTCAATCCTGCTGCACTGTAACATAAGCAGTTACAACTGTAAGAGAGTCCCTCTGAAACAGTAAAGTCATTTACCTTGTCAAAGTAGAATTTGAATTTAAAGACATTTTCTCATCTTATAAAGAAAATGCCTCACACGTTCTGCATTACACAAAGAAGTTTGTTCTCTGAATACTTTCCTCTTTCATCAAATGCAGCACTGGTGACTAAAAACTGATTTTTTTAATTAAAAGAGAACAAAGGAATAAAATGCAGGTTTGTGGTATGAAAAAAGACAGGGTGCAAATCTACTAACATTTTTAAAACATGGCAAAGTGAGGCACAGAAGTTTCGAAGGGACTTGAGGGTCCACGTGTCCATTTTTACCAGGGACCCTTAGTCCACAGGCCCAAGGGCAGGAACACTGGGACGCTTCACAGTCTGCAATCAGCAATTCTGGCCAAGGTACAGCTGGAGCCTGAAATCACTGTACCTGTGTAGGCTCGTGATTCAAATGGATCGCGTACGGTGTACAGAGAGAGCTCGGGAAAACCCACTGAAGGAAGCAGCAGAAGGACCTGCAAGAGTCTGGCCTGTCCCCTAGGCTCTCTCACTCGCATACAGGACCATCGCAGACCAGGACACGGCCACGGGTCCCATGCCGCACCGCACTGACGGAAGACAGCGGACATCCCAGAGCTTGGCTACTCCGCCCCTGTGCTCTGCGATGCTCGGGCAAACCCTCACCTTCTCTAGGACGCTGCTCCTTTGGCTGTGCAAGGGCACCACCGCCAAGTGGTAGCATTTAGCAGCTGAGCGTGGGCAGCAGCACACAGCAAACGAGCGTGTCCTCATCAGGCCCCCGCAGGCCGAGAGGTTCACTCTCTCCACACATCAAGTTTTGTTATATATATAAAAAAAGATTTTTGCCAAAATTAAGAAAACATGTTTTAGTACAAATATAAAATAAGGCGCCCAAACCCATTTTACTTATTTCAGTGATAGTTCCCTGATTAATAAAATTGCTGAAATCTAGTTCAAAATGTTTTCCGTCAGTTTCTTTAAATGTCTGCACTTCATAGAAATGGCTATAGCTTTCTAATGAGTATGGAAAACTTCAAACACATCAAAATGAGCACAAAACACAGAAAAACCCACAACAAATATGATCTGCTCTTCCTAATAATTTCTAAAAGCACATTATTTATAGCTAGTAGGCGCCTTGCACAGAGAACACACGCTTTACAGTCACCCGCCACTGCAGTCATCCCACTGTCAGATAGGAAGTCCTTGTTAGAAAAACTGAGTTATCACTGACCTTCAATAGCTAAGTTGTATTAATAGAATCAAATTTTTATATATAAAAATAACCCCGCACTTGTTAATTTTCATTGTACACAGCCCAGTGGCCCAAATTACTAATACTCAGAAACTAGAATCTCTTATTTTCCTTCTCGCTGAAACATGCAGGTTCTGCGATCCTGGGTAATCTACGGGGGGTTGGAATTAATTTAAACAAAGAACACCATTCTCGTTTTGTCTCTCTACTGTCACGAAAACTGCCGTCTCCCCCAGCTTGCCAGGTCTCCATGCAGGGCGGGGACACCCTGCCACTGACCCCCCGTCCAAACGCCCACAGCGAGGTCCTCGGCCTGCTCTCCATCTGGGCAGGACCCTTCCACTGTCACCCAACAAGTGCGAAGCCCGCTGCTCTGCCGACCGGAGATCTCACCCGTTTCCCTCTGCTGAAATACCTGGCTGTATCTTCACAGCTATCACGTCTTCTTTCTTCACATCCAGAAAAGGGCTCGGCTCTCTTGGCTAACCCGTCTAAAATCTCTCAGCAGCTTTTCATACCGTATCTTTCCCCGTGTTTTAAAAATGTGAGTAGGTTTGTATCCTGTCTTTTCTCGTAATACAATCCTCATTTTCTTCCACTGTTCTCTTCTACATTTTTTTTTTAAAGACCAAATTCTGGTCATAAAGCTCTTGCAACATGCTGGTATGTACTAAACATAAACACTTATCTAGTTTGGATATTTCTGAGGACTAGAAACATGATTTCAGGATAAAAACAACCACTGCCTGGGGACAGGGACGGAATCGGACAGAAGCCACCTCTGAACAGGCTTGTTCTCCAGGGCAGCACCCCGAGGGGAAGCGACACCCTTACTCAACGTGCGTTTTACCAAACAGACAAGTCCCGCTCCCCCCGCACCACAGGCTGAACTGACGTCTGGTGGGTCACACCCCTCAGCCCCTCACGTGGGGTTATCAGCACCGAATGGACGGAATGATCCGACCCAAGAGAGAAAGCTTTCCTTGAAAGACAACATGGAAAAACAAAAAAACAACCAACAAACTGCATCTTTTGTTAAATTGGCGAGATATTTCCAACTAAATAATTATATAACCAGATAAACTCATTAGCGAGATTTACATCCATGCAACTAATACTCGTTTGTAATTTCAACGGTTCCTTATTCCTGAGAAAGCTTTAGGTGGTCTAAGTACTGAGAGCTTAGGTCTAAAGTAATACTGATATAATCAATAAACTCTCCAGATTTTTCTGTTGGGACAAAGATCTTAGCATGGTCAGGAAAACTGACAATTAGCAGAATTGGGGTACGAACACTACTTCCGTGAATAAAAGTCCCCAGTTTGGTAAATAAAAGCCACCAATGCCCAAACTCTTCTGTTTGGAATTCAAAAAAAAAGAAAGAAAGGAGTTGACTGTAAAAATACTAACAGATAATACTAGTCTTTGGAGAAACTCCGGGAAATAAATTTCACACAGGACTATACATAAAAATTCTTTTAAAACATTTCCTTGGAACATGTTTCTCAAAGTGTGTGTGACATCCTCACACAAACAAGTTAAAGGTTTGTACATGAACAGAGGTGCTTCCATTTTAATAACTATTAAACAAATAACATATTTCCAAAGTTTTTCTCGGAAAATCTAGTATCCTAATCTGTAAGATTTATATATTACTATAAAATTGAGAAATGCAAACATTTGATTTGCCTTTTTTTTTATGCCTACGACTTTTTTGTATACAACTCGATATCTACAAAATAGCTAAGACAGTTCAAAGTTAATCAGAGTAATCATTATTTACCAGGTACCCACTATGAGCAAAGAACTAAAAAAATGTACAAAGATTTCCAGGTTAGTCGAAAGCCCTTCAAACAAACAGGGTAACCAAAGAAGAATTTACTTTTATGCACATATTACTGCTGCCCATCTGTGAACTAAATTAACTCTTTTTGCACTTAATCATATGTTTTCTCATCTCGAGACAGAGACACGCCCTGTTTCTAGCTGGGCAGGAAAGCATGCCATCTAGTGGGACCAGGGTTATTGTTCCACTTTTCCAAACAGTCGTCCCCGCCACTTCGCACCTCGACTTTCACGCTTACTCTATCACGGTTTCTAAATAGATTCATTACAAAGTTGACGGAGACAGTGAAAATGATACCGCGTGCTCGGCTGTCTGAGTCAATTATACACCGTGTATTACAATTAAGATTAAAATTACTGTGCGTGTGGACTGGAGGCCTACGGATTCGAGCGCCCAGGGATCCTTCAACGCCAGGTGCACCCGCTCGAGCCTGGAACGGATTCACCGCGATAAACAAGGGACGACTGTACAGGTTCAATTAACACTAAAAATCAACTCTTCTCTTTTCAGTCTAGAAAAAAATGAGACTCTTAAAACTGGAGCGAAAAGTACAGCGTCCGGAGAAGCCGCAGCGGCCCCGATGAGCACTGTGTGAGAGCCCATGGCACACGTCTGCTCCTGGGAGCACGGGGGCAGGCGCCTCGGCCGTCCCCGGTCCTACCACAGTCACTGTTCCCAAAGCACCTGACAATCAAGCGTGACACCTTCCAGTTGAGAATAAATGATTCTGTATGCTTGTAAAACAAACGAAACCTAGATCTCAGTTATTATTTAGAAATACTTAGTGTGTCAAACTTTTTAGAACAGAGAGACTTGAACGAAAATAGGAAAAAAAGGCAGGCAGGCAGGCAGGCAGGCGTCCATGAATTTCGGGTATTTCGTGTAATCAAGACGAGCTTCTGCCTGAGGCGGTGTGTGGAAACCTGTTCATCAGGACCACCTGGAATCACTGGACTGGTCCACTGCGTCCAAACCGCCTTGCCCTCAAGCAATGTCAGGGTAATCAGGCATTATCCGTCAGCTGGGGGCTGCTCTCTTCTAACTACTACTGTAAACATTTTAGGGCTCTGGTACCATCACAGAGACAGGAGGGTGAAAACCCATCGGAAAGGACATTCAGTGTAGTGACAAGAGCGGGCAGACCCCCTTCTGCTCAGACAGCGCTGCAAGTAGATCCCAGCCGCTGTGATCAAACAAGACCATACACTTCCTACCAGACTCTCCACTATGCAAAGTCACCGTTTCAGAGACTGCAGGAAGCACGTAGGATTCTGTGCAAGTACCATCGTTTCCGAGGTGGAGAGAGAGCTGGGGTCTCGATCCTGATTGGACATTCCAGACGGGGCCTTCCAAAGCTTCAGTGAGTCATCCAGCCCTGCGACAAGAGGAAACTGTCAACACGAATAGTCTCCTGGGTACTGTAACAATTCACAGAAAAACAGTCATCACATGAAATCAATCAAGAACTAAGAAAAGAAGTTCGCCAAGTTTTTATTTGCTTAATTTATATATTAAAGCTTGTTTCACAGAAAAGTTAATGCAATTAGTTGACTGTGCATTAGCTTAACCCAACACGCTGGATCAAGAGCTCCAGTTTCCAAACTGTCACGTGCCTACGAATCGCACAGAGCTTGTCAGAGTGAGTTCCTGGGCCCCACGCGGGAACCCTTCCATCCCCAAACCAGGCGGGGCTGGGAAGGTGCGTTTCTGAGAAACTCACAGCAGCTGTCCCTGCTACTGGCTCGGGGCCCTGCCTGAGTGACACAGATCCAAAGACACCCAAAGGTTAAATGGACCCCTTTCCTACTAGGAACATGTCTTTAGAATGTTCAAAATGTCATCTTCCTCTTAATTCCTCCAAGAAGTGAGCAGAAAAGCAAATCAGAAATTTATACTTAAATATTGCAGGATAAAAAAACCTGTCTGCAATTTACTCTTAAATCTCAGAACACTCACACACACACACATATACAGGCACATAAATAAACTTTACTCATAACACATACACATACACATACACATACACACACAGCAGGGGGGGCAATGCAATAAAACGTTAACACTTGGGAATTCTTGTACCTTTTCTGTAAGTGTGAAATTATGTCAAGATCTTTTTTTTTTTTTAATGAGATTTATTTTCTTTCTTTTTTTTAATTTATTTTTTATCCTCACCAGAGGACATTTTTCCATTTTTTGTTCAGGTAGAGTGGGAGGGAGAGAGAGGAACAGAGAGAGAGAGAAACATCGATGTGAAAGGGACACATCGAGTGGCTGCCACCCGCACAACCGACCAGGGCCGGGGACAAACTGCAACCGAGGTACATGCCCTTAGCGGGAACCGAACCCGGGTCTCTCCGGACCGCAGGCCGACGCTCTAACCGCTGAGCCAAACCGGCCAGGGCCGTCAAGATCTTTTTTAATTACTTTAAAACTAATTTTAAAATTCAAGTTACTTTTATTATTGAATCTTTAGGAATAAATATAAGACACAATTACATTTACATGTGCTAAGACCTCATACTTAGGAAATTCAAGAGAATCTGCAAATAGAAATAAAAAGTCTCAGCAAGGTGTCTCGACAAATGAGCAACATGTCAGAAACACACACCTTCGGACACACTGCAGAGCGAATGAGGACACGCGGCAGGAAAGCTTCACCCGACTCCCTAGAAAGACTCTTTCTCAAGTTCAGGACAACAGGAAATTGTAAGACTCTGCTCAAGGGCACGAAATAGCTTATGAAACATTTATATGATTTCAAAAATGGTTTCCATGAAGAATTTATAATGGAGAAAAACGCTTAGGCAACGTTTAGGGACAGAAGGGAATACAAAAATGTACGTAAGCCATGAATGCAATCATGTAGAACCAACAAAAGCTGCACAGACAGGAGACCGAAAGAAAATACACCCTAATGCAACAAAGGTAATAGCTGGGTAGTGGGACCAAACAAGAAACCAATTTTTCATGTTTGCCTGTCATTATTTTTCAAATGTTTGGTAACAAGCACACCGGTCTTTAACAATTTAAAAAGTGTTACATTTTATGAAAATAGAAATACAATACACTTACCATTTAAATCGCTGCCTTCTGAAATACCATCAGGGGCAGAACAACTGAAATCACACGTGTACCTCCCCAGGTGACAATGTCTCGCCATCTGGTGGGCATGTTGGTAGAAACGGCAGTGGTGCAGCAGAGCCTGCAGGGCGGGCTTTCCTGTGAGTGACAGGCCAGAGTCCTCATCATGGACACAGGGGCCCTAAGGCACGAGGGAGACAGAGAGAGACAGTGATTCATCAGGATTTCTCCACCAAGCCCCACGGTCTCCCGCACTCCCCAGATGCGACCTTGGTTCCCCCGCCTGCCCTGCCCTCGGGGCGGCCGACCTAGGGCATCTCTTCACACCCTCCAAGCCCTGAGTGCCTAAGAGTCCGCTGAGGGCAGACGGCCCCACTCGTCTCGAGGGGCCATTTAGTTTAACACTCTTCTATTAAACGGTACAACTTGAACCAAGTAATTATATACTTTAGTCATAAACACAAAAAGCTAATTTGCAACCTACACAGAACAGTAAGTATTAAAATCTCAGAAATAATGGGACCCAAGTAATGACGTTCACAATGGTCTTCGTGCCCATGGAGCCAGATAAGATGCACAGGCCGTCAACATGCACAGAGAAAGGTGTCTCCCTCCCCTCCCCGCTGAGCCAACCTGCCGTGGGGAACACCCCACGCAGGCCCACCCACTCCCCACCAGGAGGCTGAGAAGAACCTGCCACCACACAACTGTAACCTCTGCACTTCGACTGATTTTCTGCTCTGCCACACACTACTTATCCTGGAATACCCCATGGCAAAAATTAAGCAACAGGATTAGTTTAAAGCTCCCAAGTAATCCCATTATTAGTTTATGAATATTTCTATTTTTTGGAAAATAATGATAACATGAAAATTTTAAAACAGACAAGGGAGAAAAAAAGAAAAGAGAAATCTAAGAGCCAACAGGACCACACGGTCAGAACATTCGAAACGCACCGTGAACCGTGAGGTCTGTATGTGCCGCAGCGCCGAGGAGAGACGGATCTTGAAACTTACTGTCCAGGAAGATAAATAATTCACGAGTCTGAGGTATAATTACATTAATAAATTTATTTCCCTTAACCCTTCTTTTTAAGGATATTGTCATTAAAATTAAACCTTACTTCAATATTAAATACCTTCTGTGGCTATAAATGTGCCCTAGTTGTGTTCTGGGGAACCCACGCAACACTGTAGGCTCCCTCTCCACAAGCAGAACAACTGACACATTCCCGAGGAAAGAAGACGGTGGTCATGAGACTGGACTTCTGAGGTCTGGGGCACGGGGACTGAGGGGCAGAGGGCACAGGGGGACCCAGGGGCAGAGGGCACAGGGCCACCTCGCACTGGTGCATCTCAGGCCCTACAGCCCTTTCATCCATTATCTTATTTAATTACCCAGGATAAAGTGTTCATCATAACCACACTGCCAATTCTAACACAGCTCTAAATATTCCATCTTTTAAGCAAGTTATAATATCCTTGAATGTTCCAAACACATCAAATACACAAAAGATTTGCAATAGTTGCTTAACATCACCATTTAAAGCCAGCCCCCGAGGGAAGGAATTAACAACTAACAGGAGACTTACAAACAATTCAGCGAAGTTTACCAGCTTAATTCCAACTGCCTAACAAACCTCAATAAATCAATAAAATTACTAAAGTAGCACAAACACTATTTCTCTAAATATATTTCCCAATAACACCCAGAACAACTTAAAAATACTTTATTACACAAATTATGTAAAAGTATTCAAAATGTGCCCAGGCCAGTTTGGCTCAGCGGTTGGAGCATCAGCCTGCGGACCAGAGTCCCGGGTTCGGTTTCCGCTAGGGACACGTACCAAAAAAAAAAGTATTCAAAATGTTTATTTTTGCAAAATCGTGTCTACAGAAGTGCTTCCTGGATGAGTGACAACCACAGTCCAAAAGTCACAAAGTATAACAACAACGGGTGAAAGGAAGCAAACTGTGTAAATGTCGAAAACAAGCCTTTCAAGAGCTCTTGAATCTGCTGACTCTTTCTATTGATTTATTTTTACTTAAAAAGCTTCGTGCTGACACCAGCGCAGGTGCTCTGTAAAGGCCGAGCCGAGGGCTGGACCTCAGCGAGAAGGAACGGCGCCAGAAGACCCTCCCCCTGAGATCCACTTTTCCTTAGAAGTGTTTTCTAGGTGAGTGAGAACTTATACCTGTGGCTAATGTGGGCTTCAGTAGCTAGCCTATAACTATGTATAATCATCATAGTGATAAAGTGGAACATAATCACATTTAATCTTCACTTAATGTATTTTAAAATTTACTTTCTCTAGTTCTTAGCAACATAAAAAGAGAAAGAAGTTATAAAATAAAGATAAATGATGCCACAAGAGAAATACAGTTAAAATTAAATCTACCTGATAAAGTTTTAGAACCTGTGCTTTCTTTTCTTCTTTGCATGGAAATCTCAGTGAAAATTATTGGGTCTGAAGTTAAACTAATCCTGTTATGGAACAAAGATTTACTATCCCAGAAAATAACCACTGAGAGAGAGAAATGTACAAGATGAGACAAAGAAACCCGATTCAGGAGGTCTACTATGTGACTCCTATAATTTCTGCAAAGATAAAAGAGAAAAAAAGAAAAAATGATTTTAAAAATGAGTAAATATGAAAAAAAAACTCTCAGAGCCAAGAGATACAGAACATCTACATCTTAAAATTAAGGAGCTTAAAGGATGTCAAGCAAGAGAAATGAAAAAAGACAGCCAACGATAAAGAGGAGACGGCAGAGGAGAAAGTCAGCCGTGAAGAGTGAAAATCAGATGGTCTCCAACTTCTCATCAGCAGCACAGGATGTTAGAAGACAACAAAGCAAAATCATTATGAAGAACAATGTCAACCTAATATCTGGTAAGTAGCCCAAACTATCAATCCAGAGCAATTTAAATAGATTTTCAAACACGCAAGAACTCGTGACGTTGACCACGCTTACAACTGTTTTATAGGTAAGAGTACAATCACTTTGAGGCTGATTACTAGGAAAGAAAAGTCTAACTTAAATATAAAAAGATGATTAACAGCTTAGAAAAACTTGAGATATGATATAAACTCAGAGTACAAAAATAAAAATAAACTCCAAGGGGGGAAAAAAAAAGCACCCAAATAAATGTTTTAAATCACATCTACATCTACCCAAGTCCCAGGCAGCTTCTCCTCTGCATGCCAGAGTGGTCATGCTCCTGGAGGCAGAGATAAGAAGGTGTAACCACAGCCCAATGAGTGGATCTGCAGTGAATTATTTACTTTGTAGAATCGGCCTACATTGATCAATGGAGGCTGCAGAACAGAATATAAACGTAGTCAACCTTCACAAAGTAAAAGTAAAGATAAAACTGGCAAAGATTAGCAATATAAGTAGGGAGGAGCAACCAGTGGAAGGACAGGAACATCTTAGCCACATCTTCTTGCCTACTGAATGGAGCCCAGACACGTCACCCACAGGCAACAGGACCGGAAACCGCCAGGCGACCAGAGGAGGAAGGAAGAGCAGTAATACAACTGTATCGGAGGAGACTGTTCAAATGAGCTAAGTCCTAGGCATCGACCTAGCACAGGAACAGACACATTACTGCAAACATGCCAAAGAGTTAAAATCAGTAGGAGGTAAAGCTGTCTCTGTGAATGGAGAGGGGTAGTGAATTTCATTATAAGCTCTATTAGCTTTTTTAACCACGTGTATTTATTACTTGAAAAAGTCATTTCTTTGAAAAATTCAAACAATTCATTCACAATGTTTTTAACTTCTCAAATAAAACCAACTGATCTGGAATATGTACACATTACATAAGCATTATTTGTTTTCGATTTGATGTCAGCTAAGCATTAAGCCTGAGTCCACATTCTCCCCTGGCCCAAACTTCCTAGGGGCAATGGACAGTGACCACAGAGCCTCACTGCCGCCCAGCCCAGCAGGCACAACAGGGTCTGACGCAGGCTTCCCAGACGCCTGAGGTGCGGGGGCCAGAACAGCAAAGCCTTCCGTGCACAGGCCAGGCTCGCTCCACAGGTCCCCCAGTAACTGACGGTGCTGGCACCCTGGGGAAATCAGCACCGTGCACCTGTTCTGCCTCGAGGCGTCCGCATCCTTCCGGCCTGCCCTGGGTGAGGGCCGGGCCAGGTCGCCTGCAGGGCTGCCAGGGGAGTGCGGAAGGACAGTACGCAAGCAAGGAAACCCTTCAAATCATAGCTGCCATTACAGAGAGGTTGCAAAGAAACAACTGTGTCATGGAACACTCCAATTAATGTGAAAATACTGTTCTCAAGGATGCAATAAGCTGTACTATTAATATTCAAACACAGTTCGTGCCAGTGTCAGAGTGCTAACACACCCATGAGCTCTGGTTCAAAAGGAAGTGCGACAAAATAAACACTTAAGAAGAAGAAAGAATATTTTCCCAAAAAGAAAGAAATATTTTGATATATAACAAAATTTTAAAATGCTATCATGCAATCCAGAGATTGGAAAAAATGACCCTCAATTACCTAAGAAATTCTTAACTACATATAAATTATGAATATAGTTAAAATGATGTTGCTTCTCTAATACTAAGTACTCACTACTTTGTGAAATCAATACTCACAACGACTTGGAATGAATACACTAAAAGACGAAGAATGTGCACTGATAATTATCACGTCGCCTATGGAAATGATCTATACAACCACTAGAAATGGCCCACTATCTAAAACGCACGCAAACACGTATGCAGACAGTTCACAGCCGTGTCCACTGAGCGCATCCAAGCAGTGACACCCTCATCCCCACGCCCAGGACAACGAGCGTATCCAGAGCCCCAAGCTCCACCCACAGGAATCAGGGCTCTCTGGGCGGGTCTGATTGCAGGCTGGGGCTGGAAAAGTCTAGAACATCTGGCTGCACCAGAAAGTGAGGACGTGCTCAGACACTGGTGGAGACGCGTGGGAAGGACACAGATTCTCCATGAAGGGCCCCTCCCTCTGGCCAAAACTGGAACAATTTAAACATCTAAATAAATAATGACAGAAAGAGATTATAACCCCTGAAACAAACTGTTTCCTGGAGTCCATACTGGTGCAAGTCTCTGTAAGTGAATAAATAAATAAATGGGGAAGAGAGGAAAGCCCTTCCTCACAGTGAGATGTAATAAGCGCAGAAAATGATGGATCAGAAGATCACCTCTTGGCAACTGTTCTGTAATAACTGCTTCAGACAAGAATCTCAAGTAGAAGTTAAAACTAGTGGCGGAAACTTGATGAGAAACAGATACTCACAGTCTAAGGACCTCCCTGCACAAGGGAACACCGACTCCACAGTGAATAAACAGGCAAACCTGACCTCACCGAGTGAGCAAAGCCAGCATCACCGTGACGGACGGCGAGGCACGTCTGCTGACAAAACTGCTCTGGGGCCATGCACAGCCCCAGCCGTCCTGTCAAAGATACGTCACCTAAGACGTAACCTAAAGCGACTCACGAGAGAACAGACACACCTAATTAAAGAATATTACGGCAAGTAAATAGGCCGCACTCCTCAAAAATGCTCCGGTCACAACTGTTACACATTCAGCAGCCATTTCAGATAAAAGAAGCCGACAGACACGACGACTGGCCACCCGTGCCGAGTGAACCCCGTGTTAGCTCTCATGTCGGTTCAAAGCCACTTTACACTGCAGCCCGGCCAGGGGCTCGGCGGTTGGAATGCTGTCCCACACACCTAACGGCTGCGGGTTGATTCCCAGTTAGGGTGAGTGGGGAGGCAGCAGGCTGTTTCTCTCTCTCTCTCTCTAATCAGTAAAAACATATCCTCGGGCCCGGTCAGTGTGGCTCAGTGGCTGAGTGTAGACCCTGCACCAAGAGGTCACTGGTTCAATTCCCAGTCAGGGCACATGCCCAGGTTGTGGGCCTGATCCCCAGTGGGAGGCACGCAGGGGGCAGCCAATCAATGTTCTCTCTCATTGATGTTTCTATCTCTCTCCTTCTCCCTTCCTCTCTCTCTAAAAATCAATAAAGAAAAAAAAATTTTTTTTTTAAATTTCCTCAGGTGAAGATTAAAAAAAAATAGTAATAAAATTACTTTATAATTATGGAACAGAATCTGATCGAGCACAAGAAAATTTCTACATTTTCTTTTAAGAAAGATCCTGTTGCCTTGTATGAAATTTCATCAGTAATGAAATATATATATGCTGAAACTTTATGATCAATTAATCTCAAATATCTATTAGGTTGATAATTGTTTAAAGTCACCCACCTGCCAAGTGTAATCCTTCATAATCACCGACGGCATCGGAATTACAAGGAGATTCTGAAGAATGAACGCAGCCTGAAATTTGAAGGGATAAGTCAATACTGCCACCTTGTTGTCACCTCTGAAATAACAACATACCGCAACTGAATAACAAAAAATGTATCACTGGTCCGTTGCACATGCTGACAGGTCATCACGAGAAACGTCAAGTGCATTTCTTGTTAGGTGACGATCTAACAGTAGATGAAATCATTTCATCAGAAAATATATATTTTCCTATTTCAGAATTTTATTTTTTTTTAAAAATGACCTGTAAAATATAAACTGTTCTGATAGCACTTAGAAGATATATTTCCACGTTTCTATCAGCTGAACACACGCACACTCGTGCACACACGCACCACACACCCTCGCCCCATCTTTCTGCCTCTCATGCAAGCTCCTCTCGGCAGAAGTTTGCTGACTTGACAAGGGTCACGGAGGGATCCACAGAATGAAATTCTCAGCCATCTCAACTGCAAGTCAAAGAGCTGATCGTTAACACTGGGCAGCCGCGAGGACCAGCAGGACCTGCCGGCGGGACGTCAGCACAGACACGGCCTTTGGGTCTGGGACTAGGACAGGCTGCCGGTGAGCCAGGAGCTGCTGTTCTCCTCATATGCTCCTGAGCGCGATTTCTAAAACTATCTGCACCAATTATCACTTTGATAAAAGCAGAAATTAAAAATAACAACACTATAGAGTATTTGGACAGCCCCTTAACAAAAGCTTATAAACATTAGAGACCCCCTAAACACTTAGGTGATATAAAAGCACTTTTTTCTGTGACCCTTTTCAATGTATGATAAAGTAAGAGCTCATTGAAACACCACAGCCTGCTTGGGCTCTGTCAGAATAAAGGTCCCCATGTTCCTGGACTAGCCCTTTTCCATTCTCTGCCACCGTCTGCTGTCGGTTTGTACAGGCACAGGACAAAGCCGTCAGCCTCAGTCACCAAGCGCATGGGGGGGGGGTAGGTGTGGTCATGAGGGAAAGGGGGCGGCGCTAGCCCAGGCCTACCTCCCTGCGCACCATGCTGCATTCCCACTGGTCCAGGAGGATGTTCACCACGGTCCCCCAGAGCCCGCCAGAAATGTTCTGACAGCTGCTGGCCAGGGCCACGCAGCCCGATTCCAGGGTGGTCAGTGCTGATCCTAGTCCCAGCGCAGTGAACCTCACCTGTCCAAGGTAAAGAAGAGGTTATCGCACCACAGAATCCGACTCCCTGGCACAGATTCTGTTTCTCTGGCACACACAGGACCACGCTCTGCAACGCTGTCCTGACGACCCTGCAGACACTGACTGGACACGGTGCCCTGCAAGTGTGTGAGTGAACAGAGCCCTGGGCCACAGTTCAAGACGGCGATGACATCGAACATGTTAAATTAAAGCAGATGTCACAAGAAGACAAGACCAGGTATAAAGTAGAATAAAAATGTAGCTCACGAGACTTTTCCTAGGGAGAGCACGGGGCACTTACCTATCTCTGATGAATCAATTCCTGGTTATTCCTCATTTTTAAAGAGACTACCTACTGTTCTGTTTTACATTCCTTAGTGTTTCTTCCAAATAAATGGTTTTAACTTTTTTGAAACTTCTTTTCTAAAAGTATTGGAATTATTTTGATAAGACATTTAATATTTTCTCCAAAATAACATTTTTAATGTTTCACATAAGACTGCTGTGGTGTAACAGGTTTTCCCCAGCCCTACAGCTGCTCGGGCCAGCATGTTGGGGGACGGCTGATCCCTAAATAGGTTTCACTGATAACTGCAAGGTAACAAGAACATGTAGTCATGATATAGTCAAGCTATAAGTTCATGGGAAAATCTTGGAAGAAGTCCAAGTTTAATGCATCTAAACCACGTCGCCTCTAGGTTCAGATTAAATAATAGCTCTGTTAAAAAGGTTTCTTTTTAATAGAATATAATCATTTCTTGCTTGAAATTAATGGACGGTGTGTATAGTTAATTGTACTGTATCATAGACTGAAACGTTGGCTAAGAGCAGATCATAGAATTCCACGAACAAACCAAGAGACAGCGAGACGGCAGGACACCGCTGGAGGTGACGGGTGTCATGACGCTGACTGGCGCTGTCCCTGCGCCTGCTGCGCGCGCCCTGCGGTGGGGCTGTTCCCTCCACGGGCACTGACTGCCGCTGGTTCCCTGCGCCTGCTGCGCGCGCCCTGCGGTGGGGCTGTTCCCTCCACGGGCACTGACTGCCGCTGGTTCCCTGCGCCTGCTGCGCGCGCCCTGCGGTGGGGCTGTTCCCTCCACGGGCACTGACTGCCGCTGGTTCCCTGCGCCTGCTGCGCGCCCTGCGGTGGGGCTGTTCCCTCCACGGGCACTGACTGGTGCTGGTTCCCTGCGCCTGCTGCGCGCCCTGCGGTGGGGCTGTTCCCTCCACGGGCACTGACTGGCGCTGGTTCCCTGTGCCTGCTGTGCGTGCCCTGCGGTGGGGCTGTTCCCTCCACGGGCACTCAAGCGCCACCTGGCAGCTGCCCTTCTAAACCAGTTGAAAATGGCTGGGCTTTTCCAATCATGTCCACTGTTCTTTCTAAAAGTTGTAGATGCTATAGTCTTTGTTTTTCTCTTTTTAATCTGTACCCTAATGAGTGTGACTGAAGACGGGGTGCTGTGAACTGAAACCGCACACTGAAGCCACAACTGCTATCAGGGGACTATTTGAGGACAGGGTTTTAGAGGCCATAGAAGTTCAACGGGGTCGTAGGGGTGGGTCCTGGTCTGCTGAGAAGGGGCCATCTAAGGCGAGAAAGGGCCATCACCAGAGCCCAGCCACCTCAGCGTCTTCTTCTGGGACTTCAGCCTGCAGGCCCGCGAAAGAGAAAACTGTGCTCTCCGAGGCTGCCCACCCACCCCCCACCCCCGTCTATGGTACAGTATTTTGCTCTGACAGCCCCAGCTACAACGGGATTAAATAAAGCCTCAGGTGTAGTCACTAAAATGATCTCATTTTGGAAACTAGGAACACAGAGATCACATGTTCTGTTTCATCTGTTTTGTTATCTACCCATAATAAACTCAGCTGTCTTCACACTGACCTCTGGGTCTCGGTCAACCCACAGGGGGATCAGCCAGGCCAGTCCCTGCTGCACAGGACACTGCTCCTCCCTGTGGCCGCCCAGCGGTAGGAACCACAGTGACAGCCACTCCTAAGTAAGGAAAAGGGAGCAGAAACATACCAGGTAAGCCCTTAAGACCAAAACAGAGGGAGTTTAAATAACTCTGAATTTTAATAAACAATATAAAAATGTACTTAAGACTTTGTTTTAATTCATTATTTATCCAAAACAAAAATACTAGCTTCACCTTAAAAAGTTAAATACACAATTTTCCTTCAGAACAGCTATTTTCCCCATGATTTAGAAACAATGTAGTCTATAATGCAGATTTCAATCAAAATAAATTTCAAATAAAATTCAGATTTGTGTAACATGCAACTTCTAAGAAGATCTTAGTCAAAACTCATTTTTGTCTCCGAGAAAGAAAGTGGAAAGGCATTTGCACACAGTGAAGGTGAAGGCGCTGCACTGCACTGCACAGTGAAGGTAAAGGCTCTGCACTGCACTGCACAGTGAAGGTAAAGGTGCTGCACTGCACAGTGACGGTGAAGGCTCTGCACTGCACTGCACAGTGAAGGTAAAGGCTCTGCGCTGCACTGCACGGTGAAGGTAAAGGCTCTGCGCTGCACTGCACAGTGAAGGTAAAGGCTCTGCACTGCACTGCACTGCACAGTGAAGGTGAAGGCTCTGCACAGTGAAGGTAAAGGCTCTGCACTGCACTGCACAGTGAAGGTAAAGGCTCTGCACAGTGAAGGTAAAGGCTCTGCACAGTGAAGGTAAAGGCTCTGCACTGCACTGCACAGTGAAGGTAAAGGCTCTGCACAGTGAAGGTAAAGGCTCTGCACAGTGAAGGTAAAGGCTCTGCACTGCACTGCACAGTGAAGGTAAAGGCTCTGCGCTGCACTGCACGGTGAAGGTAAAGGCTCTGCACTGCACTGCACTGCACAGTGAAGGTAAAGGCTCTGTGCTGCACTGCACGGTGAAGGTAAAGGCTCTGCGCTGCACTGCACTGCACAGTGAAGGTAAAGGCTCTGCACTGCACTGCACTGCACAGTGAAGGTAAAGGCTCTGCACAGTGAAGGTAAAGGCTCTGCACTGCACTGCACTGCACAGTGAAGGTAAAGGCTCTGCACTGCACTGCACTGCACAGTGAAGGTAAAGGCTCTGCACAGTGAAGGTAAAGGCTCTGCACTGCACTGCACAGTGAAGGTAAAGGCTCTGCGCTGCACTGCACGGTGAAGGTAAAGGCTCTGCACTGCACTGCACTGCACAGTGAAGGTAAAGGCTCTGCACAGTGAAGGTAAAGGCTCTGCACAGTGAAGGTAAAGGCTCTGCACTGCACTGCACGGTGAAGGTAAAGGCTCTGCGCTGCACTGCACAGTGAAGGTAAAGGCTCTGCACTGCACTGCACTGCACAGTGAAGGTAAAGGCTCTGCACAGTGAAGGTAAAGGCTCTGCGCTGCACTGCACGGTGAAGGTAAAGGCTCTGCGCTGCACTGCACGGTGAAGGTAAAGGCTCTGCACTGCACTGCACTGCACAGTGAAGGTAAAGGCTCTGCACAGTGAAGGTAAAGGCTCTGCGCTGCACTGCACAGTGAAGGTAAAGGCTCTGCGCTGCACTGCACGGTGAAGGTAAAGGCTATGCACTGCACTGCACTGCACAGTGAAGGTAAAGGCTCTGCACAGTGAAGGTAAAGGCTCTGCACTGCACTGCACAGTGAAGGTAAAGGCTCTGCACTGCACTGCACGGTGAAGGTAAAGGCTCTGTGCTGCACTGCACAGTGAAGGTAAAGGCTCTGCACAGTGAAGGTAAAGGCTCTGCACTGCACTGCACGGTGAAGGTAAAGGCTCTGCACTGCACTGCACAGTGAAGGTAAAGGCTCTGCACAGTGAAGGTAAAGGCTCTGCGCTGCACTGCACGGTGAAGGTAAAGGCTCTGCGCTGCACTGCACAGTGAAGGTAAAGGCTCTGCACTGCACTGCACTGCACAGTGAAGGTAAAGGCTCTGCACAGTGAAGGTAAAGGCTCTGCGCTGCACTGCACGGTGAAGGTAAAGGCTCTGCGCTGCACTGCACGGTGAAGGTAAAGGCTCTGCACTGCACTGCACTGCACAGTGAAGGTAAAGGCTCTGCACAGTGAAGGTAAAGGCTCTGCGCTGCACTGCACAGTGAAGGTAAAGGCTCTGCACTGCACTGCACTGCACAGTGAAGGTAAAGGCTCTGCACAGTGAAGGTAAAGGCTCTGCGCTGCACTGCACAGTGAAGGTAAAGGCTCTGCGCTGCACTGCACGGTGAAGGTAAAGGCTATGCACTGCACTGCACTGCACAGTGAAGGTAAAGGCTCTGCACAGTGAAGGTAAAGGCTCTGCACTGCACTGCACAGTGAAGGTAAAGGCTCTGTGCTGCACTGCACAGTGAAGGTAAAGGCTCTGCACAGTGAAGGTAAAGGCTCTGCACTGCACTGCACGGTGAAGGTAAAGGCTCTGCACTGCACTGCACAGTGAAGGTAAAGGCTCTGCACAGTGAAGGTAAAGGCTCTGCGCTGCACTGCACGGTGAAGGTAAAGGCTCTGCGCTGCACTGCACAGTGAAGGTAAAGGCTCTGCACTGCACTGCACTGCACAGTGAAGGTAAAGGCTCTGCACAGTGAAGGTAAAGGCTCTGCACTGCACTGCACGGTGAAGGTAAAGGCTCTGCACTGCACTGCACTGCACAGTGAAGGTAAAGGCTCTGCGCTGCACTGCATGGTGAAGGTAAAGGCTCTGCGCTGCACTGCACGGTGAAGGTAAAGGCTCTGCACTGCACTGCACTGCACAGTGAAGGTAAAGGCTCTGCACAGTGAAGGTAAAGGCTCTGCACTGCACTGCACGGTGAAGGTAAAGGCTCTGTGCTGCACTGCACGGTGAAGGTAAAGGCTCTGTGCTGCACTGCACGGTGAAGGTAAAGGCTCTGCGCTGCACTGCACAGTGAAGGTAAAGGCTCTGCACTGCACTGCACTGCACAGTGAAGGTAAAGGCTCTGCACAGTGAAGGTAAAGGCTCTGCACAGTGAAGGTAAAGGCTCTGCACTGCACTGCACGGTGAAGGTAAAGGCTCTGTGCTGCACTGCACGGTGAAGGTAAAGGCTCTGCGCTGCACTGCACAGTGAAGGTAAAGGCTCTGCACTGCACTGCACTGCACAGTGAAGGTAAAGGCTCTGCACAGTGAAGGTAAAGGCTCTGCACTGCACTGCACAGTGAAGGTAAAGGCTCTGCGCTGCACTGCACGGTGAAGGTAAAGGCTATGCACTGCACTGCACTGCACAGTGAAGGTAAAGGCTCTGCACAGTGAAGGTAAAGGCTCTGCACTGCACTGCACAGTGAAGGTAAAGGCTCTGCACAGTGAAGGTAAAGGCTCTGCGCTGCACTGCACGGTGAAGGTAAAGGCTCTGCGCTGCACTGCACAGTGAAGGTAAAGGCTCTGCACTGCACTGCACTGCACAGTGAAGGTAAAGGCTCTGCACAGTGAAGGTAAAGGCTCTGCACTGCACTGCACGGTGAAGGTAAAGGCTCTGCACTGCACTGCACTGCACAGTGAAGGTAAAGGCTCTGCGCTGCACTGCACGGTGAAGGTAAAGGCTCTGCACTGCACTGCACTGCACAGTGAAGGTAAAGGCTATGCACTGCACTGCACAGTGAAGGTAAAGGCTCTGCGCTGCACTGCACAGTGAAGGTAAAGGCTCTGCGCTGCACTGCACTGCACAGTGAAGGTAAAGGCTATGCACTGCACTGCACAGTGAAGGTAAAGGCTCTGCACAGTGAAGGTAAAGGCTCTGCGCTGCACTGCACAGTGAAGGTAAAGGCTCTGCACTGCACTGCACTGCACAGTGAAGGTAAAGGCTATGCACTGCACTGCACGGTGAAGGTAAAGGCTCTGCACAGTGAAGGTAAAGGCTCTGCACTGCTCTGCACAGTGGAAGTAAAGGCTCAAATGCACTGCACTGCACAGTGAAGGTAAAGGCTATGCACTGCACTGCACAGTGAAGGTAAAGGCTCTGTACTGCTCTGCACAGTGGAAGTAAAGGCTCAAACGCACTGCACTGCACAGTGGAGGTAAAGGCTATGCACTGCACTGCACTGCACGGTGAAGGTAAAGGCTCTGCGCTGCACTGCACAGTGAAGGTAAAGGCTCTGCACAGTGAAGGTAAAGGCTCTGCGCGCCCCGTCCAGCAGCGGCTCAGGCGGCGCCGGCGCTCTCACCGAGCTCTGGGCCTGGGCCATCATCTCGTGAGACAGGTGAAGCAAGCAAAGGATCGTGCTCTTGGTGACACCTTTTCCCATGAAAGACATGGCATTTCCCCCACGTTCCACATAAAAAGAAGTGATGACCTGGAAAACAAGAGTAAGTGATTTCTCAGCAGCTTTACTGAGCGATAAGTAAGGCTAAAAACATCACTTGCTACTGAATTGAATCCTAAGCACATAAAGTGTAGTAATATTCTCAATTCAGATTTGAAAATGGTTAAGATAGTAAATTTTATCACAGTTAAAACAAATACTGTTAGTTTAAAATGTTTTTCCGTTGGAACTTATACAAAGAATGTGATGTGTCCTCCTAAAATATTTTTGTGATTTAGAACATGTGTGTAACATTCTTCAAATGTTTGATATCCTTTAAGTAAAACAGTTTATAAACATCCTGCAGAAAGCACACTTAGAAATTACTAGCGACATAAAACTCTCACTGACTACTAGGGTTAGGCTAGATTTTCTAGAATTATGGTTTAAATGTAAGTGAGCATTTTCCCCACTTCTGAGCAATCTGATTTCTGTTTTACATTTAAGTATGTTTATTTCAATCATTAGCTGTCAACTCTTTTCCCCACGTATCTGAGGAGTCTGACACGCTTCTATCAGTAACAAAGTGTTTCTTGTCCAAAGGGATCTGCCCTTCACATTACAAATGATGCTATAAATTAGAGGCTTCTAGACAGAATTATATTTTCAAAGCATTAAAGAAGCTTACTAAACATTTAAGGACATCAACTCAAACTACTCCAAATATGGGGAAAAAGTTACTTAAGAAAAAGAAAATTACACACATAAGGACGCGATGATTCGGATATTAAAGCCTGAGAAGAGTTTCGTAAGAAGGAAGATGCAATAATTCTAAAACTTTTCATAAGAAAATAGGTAGAATAGTATTTAAAACATTAACCAATTAAATCTGTTAACATTATAAAAGAAATAATATATCACACAACCTAGTTAGAATTTTTCTAGAAACTCAAGGCTAACATTTAAGATCAATCAATATATTTCATCATCTTAAATGGACTACAGAAGAAAAGAATCATGATTACCTTAAAAAATAGAGAATAAGCAATATACATTTATGATTTAAAAAAAACAACAACAGCTCTTGCAACTAGGACTAGACGAAAACTTCCTAAATCTGGTTTTTCTTGAACTGACTGAGAAGCTTCAATAGAGCGCAGTGAGAGGTGGAACGTTAAGCCTTCCCTCTGCGCCCGGCAACAAGGACGCATGGTTAGTACGTGAAGCCCGAGTGCAGTCCACCGCTCAACACCCAGGGAGAAAATAAAATCACAAGTATCCACTTTCCCCAAGATAAGACTGTCCATAGCAGCAATATCCACAACTGCTCTAAACTATAGATAGATAAACACCCTTCCACACTGTGGCGGAGGACTCACAGGAGGGAAAGGGAACGAACTCCACCTCCCAGCAGGGAACGCGTGACTTTGTGAGCATCATGCTGAAAGGAGCCAGACATCTGACTCCATTTTGCAAACCAAACAAATCAGGAATTAACGTACACGTGGACCCAAAATTAAATGGTGAAAATACCAAGACATGCGCAGAAGTGCGTACCAGAAACCCAAGTAACAGCCCCTCCCGGAGGGGAGCAGAACGGGGAGGGTCTGACCAGCGCTTCCAGGGTGCCCGCTGTGCTCTATTTGGGGTTGGGGGTCATTGTGTGGGTATTACTACGTGGTAAATGGGCTACATTTACATTTTATGAATTTTCTGCATATGTGTTCTATTACACAAATATAAAGGTTACACAATATAAGTCGATGAACAAACTACCCTAACGAGAAGACGTAAATGTGAGACTTCGTACATTTTTCTTGAAGATTACTGTATTCTTAAAAGTGATGTACATGTTTGTTAATGAGAGCCGCTAGGACTCAGCTCGCGCCTGGCACACAGGAGGCAACCGGCAAACAGTGAAAACCGCTGCTTGCGGGCTGCTGTCAGGGCTGCTACCGCCACCGCCACCGCCTCCACCCCCGCACTCACTTCCAGGAGCCCCGACAAGTACTTCCCGCAGAGGGCGAGCGGCGCGGCGTGGGGGGAGTGTGCGCTCCACCCCGGCAGCGCTGTGAGGTGAGCCATGCCTCGGAGGGTCCTCTCCAGGGACGGGAGGCCGTAGAAGTGAGGAGCGTCGGTGACTCTCAGGCACTGGAGCAGCTGCAGAGCCAGCCGCGTTTGGAAAACAGAGAACAGTTCCAAGCACTTCCTGCGAAGGCAAAGGAGAAAGAAATCAGCCACAGCACGAGATGATGGACTTCATGGGTGACTGTCTCATGGGCGGTTGAGGCTCCTAACAAATACTGTGTCAGAGAAGCATGAACTAAAGGAAAAGGCAGAAAATATTCCTGATCAAAAAGAGTTAAAAAAAAAAGGCAGAGCTAACACACCATCTTGGGTATAGAAGGCAAAACACCAGCAATAATTACAGTGAGAAATACATAATGGATATTGGTATTGCCACCCCCCCCCCAAAATTGGAATGGAAAATTCAATGCATATTTTAAATAAGTTTAATTGCTATATACTAAACCTGTACTTTTAATCATTCACTATCATTAAAAAATTGAATTTTTAATTGACTAAAATGCATTTTTGCCCAGAAAGCTAAAAGAAAAAAAATGTTTTAATTCATTTGTCATCTAGTTTCTACAAAACCATCAGAACTATCAAGAGATATTTTCTATTAGAAAACAAAACCTCTGAAATTAAGTAGCTAGGCATGGATCCAAAGATGTAACTCCTGGAAGAAGTAATATTACTATATAAGAAAACACAGAATAAAATCTAAAATTTCTAGTTTTACAGATCTTTAGACTCCAAAACTGACAATTACTGACTATATTATTACCTATTCCATCCCAATGCGATAGGTGTATATGTATACAATTTTTAAAGGTCATAATCTTTATATATCTGTCATCCAGATGCTTTTAAAGTTTCAGAAATATGTATATAAATTCTTATTTCTCACAGGTCAGCGACAAAGTAATCAGACTACTAGCATTATAGACGTTCTCATCCTGCCCTTATATCACTGGTGCTGAACTGGAGGGGGCGTTGTCCCATGCACCAAGAGGTTGTGGGTTCGATCCCTGGTCGGGATGTGTGTGGGAGGTAGCCAGCTGACATTTCTTTCTCACATCAATGTTCTTCTCTCTCCCCCCTCTCTAAAATCAATAAAAAAATATATTTAAAACAAAATAAAGTTCTCATATTTGACATCTATGGATCTGTTTCTAATGACTTTTTTCTCTTAATTATGGGAAACATTTTCTTGCTCCTTCACAATGCCCTTCATTTGTGATTATATATCAAACATTTGTATAAAAGAGCTACTAAGAGTAAAGTACATAACAATTTCTCATGGTAACAGACTGCCCTTTGGCACAAGACTAGGGTAAGGGGCTGATCTTTTGGCTCTACTCAGGGGGTGGGGCTGACTCAGGTGCTTCGACACCTGTTTGTGAAGCATCAGGAGTATGAGGTGGGGCCTCCCCCCAGCGGGGCCTTGGGAGCGGAGCCCAGGAAGAGCTCCTCAAGTTAAAAACGTCTGCATCAAAGGACACTACCAGGAGAGTGAATGGGAAAAAATCTGCAAGTCACATATTTGATAAGGAATTAGTGCCCAGAACATATAAAAACTCAGCAACAAGAACAAAAACCAAACAACCCAATTCAAAAACAGGAATAGGACTTGAACAGATGTTCCTCCAGAGATGTTAACAACAAGCGTTGGCACAGAAGGGGGGGAAGGGCAATGCTCACGCATCGCTGGAGGTAATGTCAGATGGTGTCGCTGCTGGGGCAACCGTGAGGTCTCCCTCAAAAGTCACACGCAGATTATCACATGAATTAGCAATTTCAGTCCTAGGGATAATCTTGAGAACCGACACATGTTCACACAAAAACTTGTCAATGAATGTTCACAGTGGCACTACTCAAAATCCTCCAGGTGGGGGCACGCATGCTTACCAACAGGTACACAGACCATCAAACCGCGGTATATCCACCAGGGACTACTCAGGCACAGGAAGACATTTGCAAACCATTAATGCAGACACATCTGTCAAGCCACAGCAAGGGCATGCTGCGCAGGCCGCTGCGTGGAGGACTAGGGGCTGGAGAACCACCGAATTCCCGAGCGCGACCGCAGCAGCTGCACCAGGGCCACCGGGACAGCCCAGACCACCCCACTGTTACCATCCAAGTCTGTCTTCCTCTTAATGTGAAGCAACTGAGAAGTACACTCTTCAGAAAAGCAGAGAAAGCTCGGTTCCCTGCCAAGGCCCCGCACCCGCAGGGAGGCACCAGCACCTGTCGGTGGCCGCCGCGCACCCGAGCAGCACGGCCCTGAGAAGGGCCATCAGCGCTTTCTGGAGCTGCTGCCTGACAGCGGTCCGGGCGTCGTCCGCCTCCTCGCGTGCCTGCGACTCTGTCAGAACCAGCAGGTCTAACAGCGGGTTTGGACTCTGGAAAACGAAACGGGTAGAGAACAGTCACTCTCCGAGCGGTGCGCGGGTTCCCGTGCAGGCCGTCCGCGCAGCCGGCAGGTCTGGGGTGCTGCGTCCCGGCCGCTCTGCACGCTCAGGTGCTGCGTGCGTCCTCCCAGCAAACGCAAAGCGCGTCTAGTCCAGAAACCCCGGCAAACACGGCAGCAGCACGACCCGTGATCGCGCCACAGAGCGCAGCTTCCAGCACGCTGGTCCACCCTCCTCTTTTTGCACGTGTGAGTATAAATAGAATTCTGTATTTTTAACAAAACTGAGGTCAAGTGAAAAAATCCACTCGTAACCAATGAAATGATGAGGAAGGTTACACTAGCTCAGTGCTTCTGGGGCACATGCCGCTGTCCCCAGCGAGTGTGTCAGGCGCCGGCTCCGCAGGGCGTGAGGAGCCTGGCACCCAGCCCACGCCGAGGGTGCCACTGCTGCCCCCTTGCCCAACCTGCTAGGCTAGGAACAAGCAAAACTGATGCTACTCAAAGTTTTTCCTGTTTTCCATCTTTAAAAAAGTATAACTAAAGAAATGTAATAGGACCCAGCTGATGTGGCTCAGTAGGCTGAGCATCGTCCCATGGACTGAGAGGTCCCGGTTCGATTCCCAGTCAGGGCACATGCCCAGGTTGTGGGCTTGATCCCCAGTAGGGGGCGTGCAGCAGGCGGCCCATGGATGTTTCTCGCACATTGATGTTTCTCTCTCTCTCTCCTTTCTGCTCTAAAAAAAAAAAATCAATAAAAAATATATTTTAAAAAAAAGAAAGGTAATACGGCTGTTTCTGATGTTATTGAGAGAACAGAAACTATTACATTAACCCAGCATTAACTGATATAGAGTTTCTTAACCATCTATCTATAATGCCATAGGCAGTGTGCTGAAAAAAAAACAAAAACAAAACGGCATTTCATTAAACTTTTTGATTACAAGAGAAAACTGCATTTTCTTATTTTACACACAAACGGAGGTTTATAAAGAGGTTATGTAATTTGTCCAAAGTCCTAAGAAAGGGCAGAGCAAGGATTTAATCTCAGAACCATTTCACTGCAAAGCTAGTTAATATTCTGTTCCAGCACTGTCAGTCAACAGCGCATATACAACATACGGAGAGAGAGAGAGTCAAAATGTAATTAGTTATTATACAATCCTTCACCTAAAGAACTCAACTCAAAAATAACCATATTCTCGCCCTGGCCGGTTTGGCTCAGCGGTTAGAGCGTTGGCCTGTGGTGGCCTGTGGTCCAGAGAGACCCGGGTCCAGTTCCCACTAAGGGCACGTACCTCGGTTGCAGTTTGTCCCCGGCCCTGGTTGGTCGTGCGGGTGGCAGCCACTCGATGTGTCCCTTCACGTCGATGTTTCTCTCTCTCTCTCTTCCTCTCTCTCCCTCCTGCTCTATCTGAACAAAAAATGGAAAAATGTCCTCAGATGAGGATTAAAAAGAATAACCATATTCTCTTTAGGAAAAAGAGATGAAAAGTGGGAGGGGAACTCCTGGCCGCCGCAGGGCGCAGGGCACACTTCCGTCAGGGCACAGCCGGGCAGCGTGGCCTCGGGAAGCAGTGGGGACAAAGGGTTCGCTTATACTACTGGTTTCACACCGAAACAGCTTTGTCTCCCCAGCTTTTCCTTTCTTCCTGAGCAAGAACTTCCTCATTTGGATCCAGTAAAACCACATGAAACATAACTACAACTTCCACGTTTCATATATGAATAAAACAATCAAGACACATACTTAATATAATCATAAAAATAGATATGTATTAAAAGCCCCACACAACCAAAGGTGGACTTAGACCCACAGTCCCTCCAACCCCCATACACACTTGACAAAGTAAACAAGCTGTTTTTATTGCAAAATCATCTTGGTAAAACATAACTTGACTATCAGGAATTATTAATTCTGATATACAAAAATTTAATAGAAGCTACTGATTCATATATGAATAGCAATACAGTATGTTTAACCTGGAATTAAGATTTCTCCGAATAATCCCATTCTGCTTCTAACTTGCTTTTGGTAAATTGCTGAGACTCCCCCTTGAACCTGTCTGGATTTCCATGGTAGCAGAGATTCAGCGAGCCGCAGCGCCCGCTTCTGAAACAGGAGACGGATTATCGTTCCTCGAGTACGGCAGAGAAGGGGACACACGTCCCTACGAACGCCTGGCGATCTCAGGTGCTCCCATACCTGAGGGCTTTGTCCTCAGACGTTAGTATTCGATCCTAATTTTAAACCAATACGTGGGCCGTCACTTTGTCACTGCTGACCTCCAAAAGGCAACAGTTTCTGTAGTGACGGCTCTGAAGCAGTTTCCATCCGTCACACCCAGTTTTGCGCCACCACCAGCTGCAACAGGAGAACGCAGGCCCTGCCTGAGCCTGAGCGCCCCCGTGCCCGCGGGGGTGGCCAGCAGACACAGCGTAGCTCTGAATCACGGTCCCACTTTTACAAACTCCCGTCAGAAAGCTCATTCTGTGAGGAAGATGTTCAAACTCACCACTTCTAGGTCATTTTATACATTAGCAAAATATCATTACGTGGACGAAGGTATAATGGAATAGATTTGTCTTAAGGTGTGTACTATCTTCTTCATCAATGTAGGCCCTCTTTTCCAATTTTTACGTTGTTCTTTTGGTTTTGTTTTTTGTGATTACTTGTACAAAGGTTTATCTTGGTTGGGTTAAGTAAACTCGTATAGTGTTTGGAAAAAACATAGATAAACCAATAACAGAGGGGTTAGCTAGCTTCTTGGCCAGTTTCCTCAGAACAGTCAGCTAAAGAGATGAGCGGGGGGGGGGGGGCCGGAAGGGGGCCGGGGGGAGGCGTACATCGCAGCAAGCACCCCCCGACTCCTTCCCAACCTCACCGGCACCCCACCCTCCCTGCTCCACCTGGCTCCGCCCCTGCCTCTCCACATCCCTGTCCGCACGCCCCCCCAAAGTCCCCGCTTCGAGATACACCTGCAGCGGGGAGCTCAGAGAACAGTCTGCTGAACAGCACGCCTGAGGCCCCTTCACCTGCAGACTTTCGGTGCGCGAGCCTGGTCACAAGCACGCCAGGCCCTGCTGCTATGGGCCCTGCACCACAGCACTGGCTACCTGGACACCTCCCTTCCCCGTAACCTGGTACTCAAGATGTTCAAATACGGCCCCTGTCGACCCTAAAACCCAAATTCCCTAACAACACTTACAGGTCTAAGAAGTAATTCTAGGAGCCAGGTTAGAAGTTCCACCGATGCATGTTTTCCTTGCTCCTTCAGCAGCTTACTTAGAAAGCGGAGGATATCGGTCAGCAGTCTCTCGTCTTCAGTGCAGGCGGGAAGCACCTGCAAGAACCTGCGACACGGAGGCAGCAGTCAGCTGCCAGCTCTCACAGCGGGTGGCAGCCAGCCAGCAGGCGCTGAGAAGGGTGCGCTGATGTGCCGTCGCCACGGCCACAGCGTGAACGCCCACGGCTCCACCAGACACGGCTGTGGACAGACGCACAGCAGCATTTCTCCAGCACGGACGTAGGACACACAAGCCCGAGCACAGACAGTGAAGAGCTGTCAAATAGTTAGTTAGACAGCGGTGACTTCTGCATAACCGTTACCTCGATTTTTGTAATTCATTCATTGTAATTTTACATGATTCAGCATTAGAGTGGCTGTGTCTGACCATCTGAGAACCCCGCCAACGTCAGCATCGGCTCTCCCAAGGCAGCGCTGGCGGAGTCAGAGAGCTGACTCCTGGGAGCTGACCTGGTGAAGGAATCTCCGAACTCGATGTTTGACGAGCATTTCCTGCCAGAGCCACCAGAGCCTGCTCGTCTGGCGGCTTCCAGTGCAGCGACCACCTGCCGGTTGAACGTGCTGCGCAGGCCCGCCCAGCAGCCTCGCGGACCTCCAGGAGCCAGCCCAGCAGCCACCCACGAGCCTGCCCACGAGCCGGCCCAGCAGCCGCGCGGACCTCCACGAGCCCGCCCAGCAGCTGCCCACGAGCCGGCCCAGCAGCCGCGCGGACCTCCACGAGCCGGCCCAGCAGCCGCCCACGAGTCCACCCAGCAGCCGCGCAGCCCTCCGCACCAGGCGTCAGCTTCAAGAACTCACGGCACAAAGGACCATGAGACCCTATGCCCAGGAGCAAACCACAGCAGGCAAAGTGAAGCCGCCTGCAAAGGGCTCCACGTCCAGTCCTCAGTCCGTGATTCTGGAGCCATTTGTAACACGGACAGGAACACACACTGTTCAGGTCTTAGCCTAGTCATTTACTTACACTAGATAACACAATGGTCTCTGATAAGGATACTTTAAAAATTGTTAAGCTTAACAATTCCTTCTACAATGCAGTAATTAAGTTAAAATGTTCCCTCTTTGGCTGTTATTAGATATCTACTGCAGGTGATAGCAATCCTTTGGTGGTTCTTTCTAGACAGCACTTCTCTCAGGACAGCAACAGCAAGAGCACAGCCCGTGCGCGTGTCCCCCGGGGGTGCAGACGGACCCAAACCCAGGGCAGGCCGGCCTTCGAACGGGCACACCTGAGCGCCCACTGACCTGTTCAGTGCGGTGTGCCAGGCCAAGGACTTCAAGGCAGCCCCGTACGGGCCAGGGCCGCCCTTGAACGACAACCTGTCGTTCAGGAAGTAAAAGCTCATGCTGGTGACAGCAGCCCTCACGTCCCCGTGGGCCGCAGCCTGGACGATGGCGTGGAGACAGTCCCGCAGGCCACTGGCTGTGTGTGTCACCCTCACAGCGAGCGTGTCCTCTGAGGATAACGTCAACGTGTCTGGAAATCTAAACAAGTAGAAAAAAGCTACTTAAATAATAGCTCACTTTAATTGTCAACTTACACCAGAATTGTTTTATCTTCATTTTCTTTAATTAAAGGTTGACCCACAGCGGAAAGAAAACCGCGTGTGTATCTGCCCACGTTGGGCTCTTACACCAGCACCCCAAGTGCTCACACGGACCGTTCCCTGCTTACGCAGCCACAGAGCAATTCCACTCAAATGAGAAAGTACTGACAGCTGAGAACGTTAGGGTATCAGAAGCAACCATCATCGTCACAGTCATGACGACAGTCTTACATGGACGTACTGACCTTTCGCTCTAATCCACTTTCCTACTGATTTACATCGATTAACAACTGAACTCTGTATCATCTCTGAAATAGCATAGGTGCTCTGTGTTTTTTCATTTTCTTGTGTGATAGTTTTTAAAAAGTAATGAACACATGTGATCTTTAAAACAAAATAAAAACTATATTCAGTGCCAAAGGAGAAGCAGATGACAACAAGTAAAAGAAGAAAAACAGTACTCGACTTAAGGAAAATGGGGCCTCACGGAGCAGCCCGATCGGCGGCTTACTCTTGGACTGTCACTTCGGAGCGCAAGTGCGCCAGCAGGCTGTCGGCCCCGTGGTGCCAGGCCAGGTTCCAGGCTATTCTCAGCATATCCGAGACCGGCTTCAAGGCCAAGCACTCGACAGGCAACGGCAGCACCGTGGAGTGAGGACTCACGGCATGGTGGCCGAGTGCACGTACTGGAAGGTGGTACCTGGAGAGAACGTGTGCAAACAATTACGATCTTTCAAATTCTTAGGCTATTCAAGAGGACGCCGCAGCTGAGGGCTGGCTCTGTGCCTCCCATGCTACAGAAAACCAGAGATCAGCTTCCAATCATTCTTTACCTCCTCTAACCCCCACAGCACTGCATTACACTCTTTCCTGAGGACTGACACATTCCACGCTGTACCAGGGCTGTGTGCAGAGATGACTAATGCCCCTGGAAACCGAGCCCCGTGGCCACAGTGAACCACACGTAACAGGGGGACAGCTGAAACACGAGCGCCTCCTGTACGCAAACACGGTGTGTTGTCTACCAAGCGTTCAGTATAGGCCATGGGATGTGATACCCACTGTACGGATCATCGAAATGAGTCTCAAAGGGGCTAAGTGAATTGCCCATGTTCACCATTATTTTCACTGCAGCACATAGCTGCCATCATCAATAAACTTAATCACTGTGTCCTCAAGAGAACCCAGAAATATTTTTAGATCTAAGAACTGGTTCAATAGCCGTATCTCTTAACCAATCAAAGTTAATTTAACCGTGTTTCACAGGACAGCAACGCCTAGCGTGTTCAAATGTTGAAGAATAACTTTGCTAGTAAAACACATCACAAACCCCTAATTCATGCATTGTGATTAATGTTAGATAAATACAATCGGGTAAGATTTCCATGGGAAACTTTTGTATGCTTTTTCATTTCATGCATCTCAATAAGAGACAAAGGTAGAGTTCTATATAGAAATCAGTCTGATAATTTAAGTAGAAATAATGCATTTTAAAACCTGAAATTTTCCACAAAGGTAACCAAGGTTCCTTACAGAAATGGCTCATGCTGGGTCTGAGGAAGTCAGAAATGAACCTTGGACATCACTCTATGCCAGAGCAAGAAGGTACTAAAGACCCAGGGGCTACGCCGACAGGACTTGTACCAGGAAAAGAGGTGAGGCTGTCAGTCAGGGGGCAATCCTTCAGTGAGTTAGAAAACAAGCTGAAAATAAAGCCTAAAGAACACAGGAGGAAGAAAGTAAGAAGCCAAGGGCACTACGACATGAGCAGTTTCAGAGCGGCAACACACCCACCAGATGGCGATGATTCTAGGTGACATTACTGCGAGCAGAGGGGTGACGAGCCCTCGTCTTTCCTGTGGACACGTGGTCTTGAGTGAACTGTGGCTCTTTCCCCAGGACAACCAAGCCGATGTGGACGGTCCACAATCTCACTAAGCTGCTCTGAGCGTGAGGATGACCCCTGCATCTGGACCGGGCGATGCGGCACAGCGGAAGCCAGAGCGCCGAGCGCCCGAGTGCTGTCGCGGTGACGTGCCTGTGGGGCCGGGAGGCGAGGCCTGTGCACACTGACTAGAGGCCATCTTCCCAGTGCAACACGGGCTCCTACGCTGAGACAGCTCCCGGCGCCCACACACGTCCTCTCATTCCAAGCAGACCTGCTGTAGTTGTGTGATGTTTACTGTTTAGCAAACCCAAAACCACAAAGAGGGGGTGACATCTACAATCTAGAAATTTCACTCCTAAGAATGTATCCAAGAGGAATTCTTACACACATATATCAAGAGACCTGCACAACTATGCTCACAGGAGTGCACACAGCAGCAGAAACACAGGGTCGCCCCAAACACTGACAGGAAAATGGATTGGAGTATATAGTCTAACAATAGAACATTATACAACAGTGGAAATGATTAGACTTCACGCAATATATCTACCAAGCTATGAAATGTTGTTTTTAAATTAGTCAGTTTTGTTAAGATATTGCCCTGGCCGGTGTGGCTCAGTTGGTTAAACATGGTCCCAGGCACCAAAAGGTGGGCACATGCCCGGGGGGTGTGCAGGAGGCAGCCTAAGGGTGTTTCACTCTCACATCGATGTTTCTCTCTCTCTCCATTTCTTTTCTCTCTAAAATGCAATAAAAAATATTTTTAAAGAGATATAACATATTTACCTTTAACATATACAGGTTTTAAGTATGTAGCCTGATAAATTTTTATATACATAGTCATGTGTAGCCACCACCCAGAATAAAATACAGAACACTTCCATCCTCTCAGAAAGTCTGTCTCCTTTTCCTGTCAATTAATTACTCTCCTTACCCTCTTCCAAGAAGAAACTACTGTTCTGACTTCTCTCACCCAGACCATCGTGATCTGCTGAAGAACTTCCAATAAATGAAGTCTACAGCGTATGCTCTGTGTTCTCTCACTCGGCATCAGGGCTACAAGACGCTGCTGCGTGGAGCGTTGTTCCCAAAGGCTGTGTGTCCCACTGGCGTGCACCGTGCACGCACCGCTCTCCCTACTGTCCGGCCAGGGCTGCCTCTGGCTCTGCAAAGCTGGGTGGACACTCACACAAGGACAGAGCGGGCGGTGCGGCTCCAAGGGCGGGTCGGTGCGGAGCAGCGGGCACGCGCTGCTGCTGGGGGGAGACCACTACAACCACTGCGGACTGTTGGGAAGCATCTACGGAACATAAATATCCTCCGACCCATGTGCTCAGAGCACACGCCCATCGCCAACGATGCACCGCGGCACGTTCTCACCCCGAGCCCTGCAGAGCACGGCCGTGACCGACACAGGCACCTCTCTCCACGTGGAGCCAAAGGAGCTGATACAACAGTATGCCCTGGTCATAAAGTGCGAAAGTAACGTATAGTAACAGAAATCCAGACAGCACCGCCTTCGTGCATGGTGGGGAGCAGTGAAGCGGGCAGGGTCCCGGCATGCTAGCAGTGTTCCGTATGTTCATGTGCACGCTAGCTACATGGGGGTATTTGTTTGGAAAAAATGTAACAACAGTACTCTTATGATTTGTGTATTTTATGTTGTATCTACAGTGCTTATATAGGAAGGGGTCCTTAAGACTTAAAGAGGTAGACAGTACAATAACTAGGAGGAAAGTAAAATGACGTCTGAAACATTTACAAATGGCTCAGGAGAGAAAAACGACATGTAAGTGAATAAATGAGGGGGGCAGAGAGGGAAGGCTCAGGGGTAACCGCTGCTGAATGTGGCTGAAGACGACGCTGGATGAAATGCTAGATGAAAACTGACAGACGGCAGACTCTGGTTTCCATTTCTGTAACACGTTCTCTTTCACGAAAACGAAGAGAGCAATCCTTACCTTCTGAACACGGACACGGGCAAACTGAAGGCTGCCGGCGAGGCGGGCTGGCTGGGGGCGCCGGCGGACCTGGGTGGGGAGGGCACCAAAGGGCAGCGCTGAGTGACGGCAGCTCCGTCCAATGACACAGCTGGCTCCACCGCCCACCCGGACTCGACTCCCAAGGCGCGTGGCTCTGCCACGCAGCACAGCTTGGACAGATCTGCCCGCCCAGGTCCCAGGGAGAGCGGATCAGGCTCCCTTCAGGAAGGCCGCACTTAAACGAGCCACAGCATGCGGGGCTGGGCTGGCAGGTGGGGTGTCCCCTCCTGCTCAGGGTCAGTGGAAACAGGTATCATCATCCTAAACATCTCCCTAGAGGCTTTTTTTAAGGTAAAGTATTAAAGAAAATAATGAAAAATGGAGAGTACTGACTGAAAACTATCACTGACAAAAGTTACTGCAGGAATTTTAAATACAGTACTTCATAATGTTCAAAAAATGAAAGTTCAGGGTAACTTTTTAAGCCAATGGACTTTTTAATACTGCTTCTTCAAACCCCCAATCGTCCGTGGTATGTCTCCCACAGACAGCAAGCATAAGCCTTGTAAGTCAGAAATGTCCATGCGCTGCCCTGGCCGGTTTGGCTCAGCGGTCAGAGCGTCGCCCGTGGACCAGAGAAATGTCCATGCGCTGCTGTAAGGCTGCATCAGAAATCTGAGATGAGAAATAGTGAGTAAGAAACCTAAGTTCTTAGCGCTCACCACACATCCATTCTTGATACTTCGTCAAATAACAGGAGACAAAACAATGCTCCGACTTCAGTCACGACAGTACAATCTTCATGAAATATCAAGGAAACTGAAATAGAAGGTAGAAGCGTAACATCATGAGACACAGAAAGGATGGACTGAAGTTTAGCGTCTTCACTGGAGGAAGAGATGCGCCCTCAGGGCAAGGGCCACACTGACATGGGCGGGGCCCTCCAGGGTGAGCGTGTGCACCACCTGGAGGCTGCGACGAGTGTCTGCGGGCAGGTGTGGGGCGGTGCCCCCAGGGGACACAGCCGCTGCTGGCGCGGGAACCAGCACACCCACTCAGGACACTGTCCACTGTCACTGCCTCAGGAGCTAATGGACCGCGTCTCACTGGCTCGGTTGCTCACTGAAAGGTCTCCTGTGAACATAACCGTGGACCTGGGCTGACTTTAAAGCTCTGTTCACGCTGGTGCTGCTCCGGCTGGCTGCCTCGCCCGCTACAAACCACCCGGAACGCCCGTGACGACCATCAGGAGCCACACCGAGGCTCGGGACGGGGGGCACCGTCCGACCAGGCAGGCGCAGCAGCTCAGCTCCGTCCTCAGCGACAGGTGCTGGCCGGGCACTCAGCAAGGCCCCTGTTCAGGCTGCAGGAAGCACCCACAGAACTGTGCACACTTCCTGCCGCGGCGGGTTTAGGGGCTCACAGAGTTCGCTATTCTTAAGCGCAACGAAAGGAGCCGTCTCCCAGGGAAACAGCACCACGCGGGCTCCTGCCAGCAGCGCTGTGTTCTCACCTCTGAGCAGCAGGGTCAGGACGGAAGCCTGCTGCGCCAGGCACCGGCGGGCGGCGGGGTCGGCGTACAGGACCTTCCGCAGCAGCGTGAGGCTCGGCTGCACCAGGCACTCCAGCAGCTGCCGGGGGGGGGGGAAGGCAGTCAGTCTGCGGCCACCCATTCTAAGGCGAGACAGCAGGCTCTAACGTGTCTCGTCACAGTCTCGCCGTCTCATTCTAAACTTTATGCTTATTAAAATTGTGTAAAACAAAAATGCAAATATATTATTTTCCACTGAAAATAAGCTTTGTATACACGTGTGCTCACACATCCTACAGACATTTAAGATCAGTCTTCTTCACGGAGACCCCACTCTCAGCAACAGACAAAGGAGCAGGCAGAGGGCATCAGCACAAACGCCCAGGACTCCTGCAGACTCAGCGGCATTCGCTGTCCGATCTGATTAATGAAACACCATCTGTGAAGGCGCCAGGGACGCACAGCAGTCTCACCTCGCCGTCCAGACCCACGCACGCCTGCAAGTACTCAACTATCTTGTCAATTAAGCGTAACTTTTTCACGACCGCATGCATTTTAATATCTGTAGACCAAAAAAAATTACCAAAAGTTAGAGAACATTTTCTCTAGTTTTAACAATACAGAACAGATATCCACATAACTTGTAAACCGTTAAAAAGTTATACCTTGTGTTGAAATCAGAGGATGAAACTAAACTTTTTACTTAATATACCTCTAAACATTTAAAAACTTTTCAGTAACAATCAGATCTGACTACTGAACTGTAAAAATAAAACTGTTAAAAAAAATAATTAAAAAACTAGGTCACACTCTGAAAAGTACTAGAATTTTATACATACAAATGAATCATTTTATTTGTATGTGACAAATTACTATCTTTGTATTGTTTCATTGACAATTCTTCTCTTTTCTAAATCCATCACCTCAAAAGTTTAGAATTCTTCACAAGTAATGTATAAATATGGCTTGCAACATCATCATTTTTCTCTTAATAAGATCGCTAACCTGAAATTGTAAATAGCAATATAAAGGGAAAGGGATCATAACATCCTCTGTACACTTCTGAAGAGTATGGACTCCTTTCAACAAGTACACATGTGCATGTGTGCACTGCTGTGGACTCAATATTCATGTCCACCCCAAATCCAGACGTAAAACCTCACCCCAGTGTGATGGTATGAGGAGGCAGGACTTGGGGAGGAGACTAGCTCGTGAGGGTGGAGCCCTCATGAATGGGGTTAGTGCCCTCATGCCCCTTCTCCAAGCGAGGTCACGGGAGAAGCTGTCTCTGAAGCAGCAAGCGGCCCCCCCAGACACCCGTCCGCTGGCTCCTCGGTCTTGGACTCCCAGTCTACAGGTCTATGAGCTACGGACGTCCTGTTCGTAAGCACGCGGTCTATGGTGTCCTGTGCAGAAGTCCTGACAGACTCAGACAGACACACACAAGATACTACTGGCTCCAAAGTTCTAGCTGCTTATAGATTAGTGACAAGTGTTAACAATCTGCAAACAAATTTTCTTAATTTGCCCTCCTGCATTCTTCAAGCGCACACACTGAGAAATGAGCACGCACATCCGCACTGTGGGCACCATCGCAACCATCTTCAGCTGCCCCTTGTTTGTAAGAGCAGTTGACACCACCCTCAACATCGTGAACACCAAATTATACGCTATATTTTTGAAATGTTAATATTTCTAAAAGAATACTTTCTAAGTTTTTAATCTTTTTGGTCAAGGCTCTCCGCATTTTGTGAAGACTAGTTTTCCGCAGTCTGTGTTGTGTTATTAAAGGCACACAGGTTGCACAGGTTTTTTCAAGTTCCTCTCCCCCAGTTCCCACTGATGCCAGGGTGGAAATATTAACCACGCCCCAGCTCCCAGGCAGAAGGAATCTCTGTCATGTCAGTACAAAGCTATCATTTCTCTCAAATATTAGAGGTACATCACATACGTCACATATGGGGGGGGGGGATCTAACCCAAAGAATGGAATGAAAACACTACAAAGTTAACTGTGTATTTTACTGGTTCTTTCTTTTTTAAATAAGCCTTTAAGGAAAATACAGTTACAGTACATTATCATTTTACCTCCCCACAAGGTACTGTTTGATTGATTTCTCCAAGCAACAGGGAACAAACTGAAAACACCACACACCAGGGAAACAGGGACAAACGGACACACCATACACCAGGGAGACAGGGACAAACGGACACACCACACTCCAGGGAGACAGGGACAAATGGACACACCACACTCCAGGGAAACAGGACAAACGGACACACCACACACCAGGGAAACAGGACAAACGGACACACCAGGGAAACAGGACAAACGGACACACCACACACCAGGGAGACAGGGACAAATGGACACACCACACTCCAGGGAAACAGGACAAACGGACACACCACACACCAGGGAAACAGGACAAACGGACACACCACACACCAGGGAAACAGGACAAACGGACACACCACACACCAGGGAGACAGGGACAAATGGACACACCACACTCCAGGGAAACAGGACAAACGGACACACCACACACCAGGGAAACAGGACAAACGGACACACCACACACCAGGGAAACAGGACAAACGGACACACCACACACCAGGGAAACAGGACAAACGGACACACCACACACCAGGGAAACAGGGACAAACGGACACACCACACACCAGGGAAACAGGACAAACGGACACACCACACACCAGGGAAACAGGGACAAACGGACACACCACACACCAGGGAAACAGGACAAACGGACACACCACACACCAGGGAAACAGGACAAACGGACACACCACACACCAGGGAAACAGGACAAACGGACACACCACACTCCAGGGAAACAGGGACAAACGGACACACCACACTCCAGGGAAACAGGGAAGCAGGCAGTGCACTGTTGGAATCAGGACAGTGTCTTAGACGGAAGATGATTCCACCGAATGACATTCCACAGGTGTGAACACAGACCAGGGGTCAACAAACGTTTTTCTAAAGAGCCAGATGGAAACAGTGAGCTTTGCTGAACACATATGGTGTCGTCCTAAATCCTCTGTTTTGGTTTGGTTTTATAACAACTCTTTGAAAACGTAAAAGCCGTTCCCAGCGCGAGGGCTGTGAAAGGTGCCCCCCCCCCCCGAGATCACCTTGCATGACCACAGCAAGCTGTTCGGCGGCCGACTTCCTCAGGGCCAGGTCGACGTCGTCCGAGGTAAAGATCTCATACACCTTTTCAACAGCCTCCAACTGCAAACCAAAAGAGAACAGTTTTCTCACTGACTTCCAGTTCCCCAAAAACTCTACAGTTCACACCGTAAGAACAGCAGCTCAGAAAGTCACTACTTAAGTAAACGGCACGTTTACATGTAAATCTGCAACAACAATGTGCCAGGTCAGGGAGCAATAGGATCTCAGAAAAAGAGCCATCGGGTCAAATCACCTCTGAACGCCCAAGCGGCCTGAACTTCAGGGAAACACCTGCAGGGGGAGCAGGCAGCCCTGAGGCAGCCCGGCCTGGGGACTCAGACTGCCCTACCCCAGGGCCGCAGCGGGAACTCCTTTCCTCCGACTGAGACCACAGAGCACAGCCCTCTGGGGCTTGCTGCCCGCATTCCAACAAAGCCACCCGTGCCAGACCTCACGGGCGCACGTGCCAGGGCAGAGTCAGAGGTGGCAGGCTCCGGGGACTAAGGGGAGGAGAAAGGGCAGCTGGCACCCCCTCCCGCCCACTGCTATCTGGCCCCGACATGGACCAGACCATCCGAACAGCAACCCCCACAGGGCACAGGAGGACAGCCAGTGCTCAGCTCGGGGAGTCCCGCTGGGACAGCACATGGCCGGGGAGGGTCTGCAGTCCCCCTGCCTCGGCAGCCCTGAGGCAGCCCGGCCTCGGGACTCAGACTGCCCCGAACACCTAGGATGGGAAAACACGGAGCATGTCCCCAGCTTGAAAGACTCTGTCTCTGTGGGCAGTAGCCCCAAGGCTTTGGCCCTGAGATTATTTGGTGCTGATCAGAAAGGGCTTAATGCTTAAGGGAGGGGTCGTGCAAGGGAGGCAGAGGCGGAGGTCAGGGTGCTGGGTGGGGCCAGTTGAATCAGCCGTCAGTCCGTCCTCCGTCCGTTCCGTTCCCATTCCCATTCCACCCGCCAAGGGTTTCCTGGCTTCTCGCCCCTGCAGCTGTGCTTCCGGTGCAGGCTGCTCTGCCCCTGTCCTGTTAATGCTTCCCTCCGACAAAGAGGCTGAAAATTTCTGTCATAGAAACTTTTTCCTTTTCGCTAGCGTGGACAATTTCCAAGATAAGAGCAGTGACACATGGTCCCGAGAGTCGTACAGAAGTTCTTCCCACTGCAGCAGCCGATGCCGTGCTGCAGACACGCTCAAACTCACTGCGTCCGTGCGTGCCGCAGGGGAAGGGCACGGTGCCTGGCAGGTGGCAGGCATTTATCTACTCAGTAGGTGACTGTGTGCACGCGCCAAATAAAGCCAGAACACAAAGTGGCATCAATACCCACGCTGGGAGACCCCCTCCCCTCCCCGGGCGCACGACACAAACCAGAGAAGGACACGCAGGACACGTGACCTGCACACGCAGCAAACAGCCACACAGTAACACACCCGAAGTCACAGTCACCTTGATGATCAGCTCTTTCCTGTCATCCAATCTGAGTTCGATGGGCTTTTTCACGATAAATAAATTAGCAGCTCTGGCGAGAACCCGGGCATCCATGGCAGGGCGCTTTCTCTCGGCGCCCTCCTCCCTGGTGAGATGGCAGGCTAGCATCTTCAGTGCCAGGGAGCGGACCCTGCGGAGACACAGCAGGAAACACAAGTGCCCATCAAGTTCAGAGGCCTGCAGTCACCACGATGACCCTGTGGCAGCACAGGAGCGGCCCTGCGTCCACTGCACTGTTACTACCTTACCTTCTCTTGTAGATATTTAGCGTATAAGTACCACCATCCTTCCGCGTTTGTTTTTATTAATAAACAACGTAAATAGAGAACAATAATCATCGCACATGGAGCAGCAGACTCGCCGAACTGGAACTTCAGTGAGCACCACTGGGAACCTCCGCCAGTATCAGAGTCCCCCTGCGCAAGGCGTCTGCCAATCAACCCGTAACTCTGACTCGTCCAGTGATCTTTATCAACACAAATGATCGCAGACCACGAGCAGAGGACACGTTAGGGTGAGCCTCCAGGGAGTATCACTAATAACTAATATCACAGCAATGCGTACAGATCTGATATTAGGGAGCAAATAGATTCCCCTTGAATATGAACATACTTTGGAAATACTGTGGACAATATATGGGAAAACTCCACTTAATCTGGAATGGACTAGGAACAAGGTCCGCTGAATGTGACCTTGCTTGTGGCCCCGCCCATCCGCTGCCTCTCGGCCCAGTGAGAAGAACCCCTTTCCTTTCCCTCACCCCCCCCAGTTCTAGCTGGTCCCAGACTGGGCTAATTACGACACTTGCTTAGGATGTCCCTGGACCTGGTCCTGTGGCCAAGACCTGGCCGCACTTACGAAGGCTTCTTCACGAGCAGGAGCCGCAGCAGGGACTTGAGCCGGGGGGTGCAGGGCAGAGCCCCTTCTTCACCCTGGGCACTGGCCTTGCTCAGGAGGAGGACGCAGCTCCCTAGAGGGTCCTCTGTGTCGGCGTGGCCCTGGCAGGGTCCAGTGGGAGAGACATGAATGAGGTTTACACGTTGCTGGACTTTCTAACTTGAAAATAAGAATTCTTATTCTTAATCTTAATTCTTATTCTTAATAAGAATCACACTGACCTGAAGGGCATAAATTTCTTTCAATTCAGTTGAAAAGTCACTTTTCAAAATAACCGACATGAAGTAAGAAACCTATCTAAAACTGTATTTAAAAAATAATACTGAAGGCTGGTGTGGATCCATGGTTGAGCATCGACCCCTGCACCAAGAGGTCGCCGGTTCGATTCCTGGTCAGGGCACATGCCCAGGTTGTGGGCCCGATCCCCAGTGGGGGGCGTGCAGGAGGCGGCCGATCGATGTTCTCTCTCATGGATGTTTCTGTCTCTCTCCCTTTCCCTTCCTCTCTAAATCAATGAATAAAAAAAATTTTTAAATAATACTGAAGAACTCTGGGGAAATATGCCAACCTGTTCCCAGGCCTCCAGACCTGCCCCCACAGGACAGGGCCAGCGTGGCTGACACACTTGTGTGGAGCCGAGGGGCGGGAACGGGACGTCCCTTGCTCCTTGAAGCCACGAGGACTGCTGACAACACTGTTTCCGAGAGCCCGTCAATCAAAGGGAAATCCTAGCTACACATGGCATAGGAAGGGCCCACGGAGCAGGTTTAGTTACAGGAAGTCTGCTTGCAAGCCGTGAGCTCCGCCCTAATGCCTGCAGCAGGCTGAGCTCCGCCCTCCGCATCACAGAGCCCGCCCCGCACGCTGCACCCCTCGCACAGGTGCACGAGGTGGACGCCAGGAGCGGTCCTGCTTCCTCTACGGGAAACAGACAGCCCCCACCTCCTGCTCACTGTCCCGGCGCCTCCGCCTGCTCGTGCCGTCACAGCCCCGCCACGCGTCTCAGTGCGGTCTCTCTAAGACAGCGGGCGGGAACGTACCTGCAGCACTGGGATGACAGGGCTCAGGGACTCCATGAACCGCTCCCAGGTCGGCGGCGCCATCAGCAGACGTCCCTGCAGCAGGTGCAGCAGGATGGCCCTGGCAGCAGCATTCACCTGCCCAACAGCAGACAAACACCCCCCTGGGACACCTGTGAGCAACACCGCGTCCCTCCGGTGCTCCCATTTCTGTAGCCTCGTCTTCGCTCTGCTCCCAGCCAGTCTTCCCCTGGGGATTCCCTTTCCCTTCAGGCCCTTCTCCCCGGAATAAAACGTCAAGGAGATGACCTGCTGACTCTAACTACTGGATCGCTCTCTACATCTCAGTGAAAAACCTAAGGAAACAGTTTCATCTCTCCTGTATTCAGATGCTCACGTTTTAACATTTTATTTATTTATTTATGTATGTATTTATGTATTTATTTTTCATTAAGCCAGTCAAATTTAGTAGTGGGGGTTAGTGACACTAACTGTACTAAGTTCTGATAACCCGCTACTATCGGACCAGCCTTAACATTTTATTTATACACACAACTTGACCGAACCCATACATCAAAGACAGGTTTCATGTGTTTCTTGTCGCACTCGAGTCACACTAGAGTATCACCTTGATTTAGCTGAGTCTTAGAGCCGCGGTTCTCAACCTTCCCGACGCCGCGACCCTTTAATACAGTCCCTCATGTTATGGCGACCCCCAACCATAAAATTATTTTTGTTGCTACTTCATAACTGTAATTTTGCTACTGTTATGTCTCAGGCGACCCCTGGGAAAGAGTCGTTCGACCCCCAAAGTGGTCACGACCCCCAGGGTGAGAACCGCTGGTCGAAAGAATTCCGTACTTGCTCGTGACACACCGTACCTCATTTCTGGGCTCTTGGATGCCAAACGCCGAGATTTCATACAGGACTTTCGGGTGGAGGAGAAAATGAATTCCACTACAGAGTGAAGACACAGGTTTCGTGACATTATGGACACCTAAACATTCCTGTAAAAGTAAACAAAGTTTTTAAAAATCAGTGACACTGATTTTTCAAGAGGATTCCTCTTTCTTCAGTTTAAAATTCAATTCCAATTTTATTTTTCACTTCACTGAAACTTTTCTTTTACCTCGAGAGGTTGAAAAAAAATTCTCTTGGCCAAGTTTTTGATTCTGCATAAGATATGTATTATGTTATTTTCTGCAACAAGCAGAGTTTTGATAAATTAAATAACCAAATCTCTTAAGTTGTTCATAATGACAGACATAAAGGAAATAAATAACACAATAAACTACACACCCAAAAGAATTAAAGCAGGAACTCAAACACGTGTATTTGTATACTCATGTTCATAGAAGCATTGGCTACAATAGCTAAGAGATGGAATGAACCTGACAGATGAATGGATAAACAAAATGTGGCATATACAAACAACAGGATATTATTCAGCCTTAAAGGAATGCAATTCTGATCTATGTAATACATAGACGAACCCTGAAGATACTAAGTTAAGTGAAATAAACCAGACATGAAAAGGGAAATACACGATTCCACGAATACAAGGTGCCCAGAAGAGTCAAATTCAGAAAGAAAGTAGAACGGTGGTTGTCAGGACCTGAGGGGAATAAAACTGAATAGTTATTGTTTAATAAGTACAAAGTTTGAATCTGGAAAAATGAAAAAGTTCTGGAGATGAATAATGTTGATGATTGCGTAAAAGTGTGAATGTACCTCATGCCACTTAACTGTACAATTAAAAATGGTTCAAGTGGTAAATTTTGTTCTGCATATTTTACCATAATTTTTAAATAGCAAATTAGATATACTAAAGAAAGAACCGTGTGGTGAACGACAGCACTGAAGAATTCCACGCACACACACACACAGAATGTGGAAAACACAGCCGAGAGCCGAAGACACAGCGGGTAAATAAGGTCTACACTGCTCTCGTGAGCGTTCCCCTGGGGAGCACAGCAAGGCTAAGAGAAATAATAATGCTGAGAATTACCCAGAAATAAGGGCAGACACGTTTTCAGATTAAAAAGCGTTAAACAAGGTAACTTTTTAAAAAACATATACAAAGACATATTGTAATGAGTCAAGGAAAAGATTGTAAAAACCAACTAGACAAAAAAATTCAAAGCAATTATATTAACTGATAGCAGACTTTTCCCCAATGACAACAAGGACAAAGCAGCATCACAAAGCGCAAAGGAAAAACGGCAGTAAACCTATAATTCTGTCTCCAGCAAAACTATCATTCAAGAGTAAGGTAAACAAACTATCCGTCAAAGCTAAGCTAAAGTCAAGACGTTTTCAAACATATGTGCCATTAGTCACAACAACCATTGAAAATATTGAAAAACGATTTTAGTAAAAAGTAGACTGAACCTAAATATTTATTAGTAAATAAAAGAAAGTGTATTCAAGCTAAAGAGTAGTTAAGATGAATGAACCAGGTAGATCTCAAATCCTACTATTACATGAAAGGAAAAGACAGCAAAAACCATGCAGTACAATGTAAAACAATGACACAGTGTCATCAAGACATGCATATATAGTAAAAGTACACAGAACAATGGATGGGGGGGTAGTGGCCAACTTTATAAGCCTGGTCATCTTGGTGGAAGGGGAAAGGAGGAAGAGAAAGGAAAGAAGCTTCAGTTATAATCATTATATTTGTATTTCTCTGAATAAAAAAGGATCCGAGGTAAAAAGAACAAAATGTAAACATGTTATACACAGATAGTACTCACAACAGTGTTCAAGAGGACATTTCAAGAGTACAAAGAAACATATTTTTCAATACTGTCCTATACACAATATTTTTTTGAATATTGAAATAGTTAATATTCTATGTACTATTCTATGCTGAAATATTTTATAATTTAAAAACATGAAAAACAAATATGTTTCAAAAGAAAAAACTTTACTAAGAAAACAGACCTGAAACTAAATCATGGAAGCCATAATAACCTAAAACTGTTCCTGAGCCCAGAGATCACTTTTAATTACCTGGTACTTTCCCTTACAATTTTCTCATCATTTAACAACACAGAATAAATGTAATTCTGAATAAAACCTCTGATACAGCAATTCAATTGCTAGACTTACTAAGTTAAAGAATTTAATAGCACAAATTTCTTAGATTTGACCAATGGCTCCATCTGCTTTTATGGCAGAATTTCTCATCTGCCACCCGTTCTGGGAGGTCGTGAAGGGGGGCGTTCCGAGCCAGCCAGCTCGCAGACCGGAACGCCCCCCTTCACGACCCCCCAGAACGCCCCCCTTCACGACCCCCTTCACGACCCCCCAGGACGCCCCCCTTCACGACCCCCCAGGATGCCCCCCTTCACGACCCCCCAGGACGCCCCCCTTCACGACCCCCCAGGACGCCCCCCTTCACGACCCCCCAGAAGGCCCACCTTCACGACCTCCAGGCAGCAGCCGTAGGCTTCGGCTTTCACCTGCGGCAGCGGGTGGGACAGCAAGCGCAGCAGCACCTTCTGACTCTCGCCCTGCAGCAGCGGGCTGGCCTGCGCTGACCTCCAGCTGGGGAGAGAGGATGCCCGGACATCCGAGGCAAGAAAATTACCTCATACTGGAATCAGTATCAGTATTTACCTAAGCACACACTTGTGTCAAGGCAGAGAATATTCTCTCAAGGAGTACAAAAAAGTCTTTAAAAACCTATACCTGGAATGCCAATTGGTACAATCATTATGGAAAACATAGGGAGGTTGCGCAAAAAAGTTAAAAACAGAACTACCATGTGACCTGGCAATCCCATCTCTGGGTATATATCCAAAGAAAATCAATCAGTATCTTGTCCATCCATCAATGAATGAATAAAGAAAACATAGTGTATTTATTCAATAAAATAAGGTTCAGCCTTTTAAAAAAGGAGAAAATCCTCCCCAGTTGTCACATGGATAAACTGAAAGGACATGATGCCAAATGAAATAAGCCAGACTCAGAAAGATAAAAGGTGCATTATCCCGCTTACATGTGGATCTAAAATGGTCAAATCCATGGAAGCAAGAAGCAGACTGGAGGGGGGAGGGGGTGCTGGTCAGAACCCAGCCAGGGACATGCAGGATGAACAGTTCTGGGGTCTAATGTACTGCATGGTGACTACAGCCAACAGTCCTGCCTTGTACACTTGATCTTTGTAAAGAGAGTGGATCTTAAATGTTACCACAAAAAATGGTGATTGTGTGAGGTGAAAAATATATAAACGATAAAAACACATATTTAATTGATATTTACCACCATGGAATGTGCTATTTGCAAAAGCAATGAAAATACTAAGTTCTAATAGAAATCTGTTCCTATGTACCCCAAATAAACTTTCCAAAAATCCATTAAAAAAAAAAAAGGATAGGACATAACAAAACACATGTATATTATAAAAAAAACTTCAATTTCAGTTATTATTTAAATTTTTAAAGATAAATAAATAAGCAAATATGCTTGAATACCTGGTTTGAATGGACACCAAAACAAATGTATAAAATCCAAGGATAATTCACTTAGACTGTAGCATGATAGTTTAAGAGTTTACTCTTGAATCAAACAGTCAAGTGTCCTAATACAGATGTGCATGTACAGTTTAAAGGTATACAGCTATACATGTACAGTTTAAAGGTGTAGAGCTGTACATGTACAGTTTAAAGGTATATAGCTACACATGTACAGTTTAAAGGTATACAGCTATACATGTACAGTTTAAAGGTGTAGAGCTGTACATGTACAGTTTAAAGGTATACAGCTATACATGTACAGTTTAAAGGTCAGACACACATAAAAGCAATTTAAATTAAAAAATAATAAGATTTAAGACCAATTTCATTTTCACTGCTCCTAACTTCACACATATGCACATACACACACACACACAACAATGTCCTATAATGTAATCACATTAAGAAAATATTACATCTTTGAACAAATGCAGATGACCTCCTTTATTAGGGGGAAGTACTGATGATAGGAAAAGCTATGCAAGGCTTGGTCTGCCAGCTCCACTAATTCTAAAAGATTCTTCTCGCCCTAAAAAAAAATCAGAATAAAACAATAAATGTCAAGTTCACATATAACAAAATTCTCCACAGCTAACTAAGCAGCTTTAAGAAATTAGATTATTCAGAGGCCCTGAGATTGCTCACATTTGCTTAAGTTCATTTTTTCAACAAATACCTAAAACTGTCAGTCTGGGAAGAAAGATGTGGGAAAATAGACTGTCATTTACCTCTGAGCAGGCTGAAACTCACAGCTGAGTGGCCTGGTCCTTCGACAACTTGTCTGTAGCCCTATCTCCCTACTACTAGCTCAAGGCAGGCCCCACGGTCTCACGCCCCCCAGCCCTGCGAGCATCTTGACGGCCCGAGGACACGAGGAACCCCACACATGTGGCTGACTGGCAATGCAGAAAGCCAGAGATTACTCAACTTCAAGACAATTCAAAATTCTGTCATGGAGGAAACAGGAAGCCAATGCATCAAGAAATGAAAAAAAAGAGAAAATAAAAACAATAGCGGATAAAGAGAAATTATAAATATGGGCTCCAGACGGACTCTACTGTAAGTCTCTCCCCCCAAAAAAAACTTTGTCCCAATTTTTACAAGATCTACCAATTTGTTATTTTAAGACAATAAATAACTATTGCAGTCAATGTCTACTTTAAGACTCTAACCCTTTCACTGCCAACATACTAACGAACATCCTAACAGTGTCTCTAGAAGGAATGAGAAACAATACACAATGATTGCTGTAACATTGTAGCTAAAGGCATCCTGTGCCTTAGAGCTAGTTCATGACTTTATTTCACAACAATATCAGGCTCTTTGAGTAAATAAGGGTCTATAAATATTAAAACACAATGTCTACAAGTAAGCACTAAAATGGCCCTTATAATTCTGTTTATGTCGAGTTTTTCTCTTCATGCACAGTCCACCACTTCAAAGAGGACAACGCACTAATAGATCATAAGATACTGAGAATGACCACTGACTTTTTCATACCACCGGTTTCATGATATATACACCGTCCATTAGTGTAAAGTGTTCATTTTACTTTCCTACAAGTCATATCCTCACTTGACTCTGATAACTGACCCACAGTAATAACAGATCCTCCGAATAACAGATGCAATTGTTGCATGTCCCTCAAACTGAGAAGTGCATGTTGCACGTTCTACATACTTCATCAAAGGGATTTAAGAGAGGGATTAATAAAACTTTAACCTCCTTCCCGACGTCAGACAGGAAGTGACAGGCACACTGAACTGAACGGACGGCCTCTGCCGCTCGCTTATAAATGCTGTAGTTCTCAGAGCTCAGCTGCTCCAGGTAGGCCACGGCAGCTTCGTGGATGTGCGGGTACTCCAGAGACACAGGCATGTCCAGGGAAACCAGAAACAGTGCTGCTGACATAGACTCTGGTAAGAAGTGGCTTGCCTTGACAAATTGAAAAAAAATCAATTAAAAAAACATTTTAGATAAACATAGTAAACTATAAATGTAGTTCAACTTTTTTAGTAATTCTCTATCTCAAAGTCTATGCTTTTCTAAAGAAAACTCTATTCCCCAAAACATCATTTATCTGTACGGCTTTATTCAATACAGTATTTCTATGCCCAGAATACGTCATGTCCAAATGTCCACTCTTTTCCAAGCCTGACACACAGGACACCTCCTTCTTCCCCACCCCAACACCCAGAATTCTGCTCCCGGAGGCCCTGCATCTTGTTTCTACCTCTGTAGTTTTCAGAACTGAGCTGATCCAAGTAGGCCACAGCAGCTTTGTGGATATTCGGATATTCCGGAGAAACAGGCACGTCCAAGGAAACCTCACGTGACTCTGATACTGACCCACAGAAATAACAGATCCTCCGAGTAACAGTACCTCTGCTACTGAACTTAAGGCAGGAGGCTTTTTCTCTGAGTATTTTGTACACGTGTAGACAAATCACCAAATTAATGCAATAAACTCCTGAGGACAAGAACACTTCGCCACCACAGCAGAGCACCTACCCCAGGTCTCAATGAGTACATTCTGCTTTGAATACACTAAGTCAAATACAAGTAAAGATTGATTTGAACAGAAGTTGATTTTTATTTGGTTTTGTTGGTATTTTAGTGGGAAAGGGAAAATTCAAGATATAGTTAAAATAGTTCTAGAACACTCACGGAAGACTGATCCTTAATTAGTATAGTCAACAGGCCCAGATGAAACAGTATGTGTTTTATAACCTTAAATCAATGGACTTAAACTGAAAGAACTGTTTGTTTTTAGTAACTGTAGCTTCATGATAGAATTCTATGCATCAATTCAGAAAATAAAAAGGATTAAAAATTCAGCGTTCAGAGAAAATCATTGGGCAGAGCTCACCGTTATGACTGAAATGTTGTCATGATTTATTTCACAGGTAATCTATTTTAAAGATAATCATTAACTGCCTGAAAGTCTAAGATTAAGAGCTGAATCAGCTAAACGATGCTTTTAAATCAAAGCTGTCAAGTAAATATCAGAAACTGTCAGGAATCAAAGGTTAGCTCACTAAACGTGAAGAAGGCGCCCGACCGTTAGGACAACAGCGACTAGAGAGCCCAGGGAAGCACCACTGTTCTGCGAAGCTCTCTGGCCGCCCATCACTCAGGGGCTGGGCCCGTGCTCCTCGGCCGCTGCCTGCAGGGCCACTGCGGGGCCACGGGAGGCAAGGCGGAGCTCTGCCCACGCAGCTAGTGCCCGGTGGAGGGGAGCGCCTGACATGCGGAGGAGCTGGGCTCACAGAGATCCAGACGTGCTGGGAAGGTGGAGGGAGCACCTGACATGCGGAGGAGCTGGGCACAGAGAGATCCAGAAGTGCTGGGAAGGTGGAGGGAGCGCCTGACATGCGGAGGAGCTGGGCACAGAGAGACCCAGAAGTGCTGGGAAGGTGGAGGGAGCACCTGACATGCGGAGGAGCTGGGCACAGAGAGATCCAGAAGTGCTGGGAAGGTGGAGGGGAGCACCCGACATGCGGAGGAGCTGGGCACACAGAGATCCAGAAGTGCTGGGAAGGTGGAGGGAGCGCCTGACATGCAGAGGAGCTGGGCTCACAGAGATCCAGAAGTGCTGGGAAGGTGGAGGGAGCGCCTGACATGCAGAGGAGCTGGGCTCACAGAGATCCAGAAGTGCTGGGAAGGTGGAGGGAGCGCCTGACATGCGGAGGAGCTGGGCTCACAGAGACCCAGAAGTGCTGGGAAGGTGGAGGGAGCGCCTGACATGCGGAGGAGCTGGGCTCACAGAGACCCAGAAGTGCTGGGAAGGGGGAGGGAGCACCTGACATGCGGAGGAGCTGGGCTCACAGAGATCCAGAAGTGCTGGGAAGGGGGAGGGGAGCGCCTGACATGCGGAGGAGCTGGGCTCACAGAGAGATCCATAAGTGTTGGGAAAGGTGGGAGCAGAGAAGTGAGGAGGGCAGGGGCCTCTCGGACACAGTGACATTTAAGGAGACCTGGAGGGAACCGCGAGCACGAGGCTGAGCCGGAGGACACGTGGCAGCAAGGGCCAGCGCCGCCTGCCCAAGGGGTCGGTGTGCTGGAGGCAGCGAGGCCAGGCTTCAGGCCATCGCGCAGCCCTGCCCTTGCGGAAGCACTGGAAGGCCGAAGGGTCGTTGGGTCTGCAGAGAGCAGAGGGGCTGGGAGCCCTGAGGCTCCGCACAGCCCCGGACAGGAGGCAGTCTGGCCTCTGGCGGCAGCGGGGCAGGTGAGAAGCCTTCAGATCCCAGACATCCAGAGAGAACGAACTGTGCGTGGGCATCGGCCCTAAGTGTGGGTGAGACACAGGCAAGGCTGACTCAGGTGTTCGCTAATCAGCCGTCAACTAGGATGAAGGTGCACTTGCTGAGCCGGGGAAGGTTCCGGGAAGCACTCGTGAGGGAAGTAGAGTTAGGTTTGGGACAAGCTAGGTTGACTATCTCAACTGTTCGCAAGTGAAGACGTCAACAGCACCCTGGACACGGGAGTCTGGCCGTCAGGTCACACACGTGGTCCAGAAGTAGAAACATGGCAGGTGCAGCGAACAGATGGCACCTGGGACCACAGTCCAGGAGGCCGAGCTCAGTCTGGGGCTCTACCGTCCAGGGGCAGGAAGACAGAGTCAGCAAAGGAGACTCCGTGAGTTGGGCACTGTGCCAAGACAGCAAGTCCTCCAGGACCTAAGTCCGAGGCACGGTGCGCCAGTTCAACAGAGCTTTCTGACTCGAGCCAGAAAACTAAAACAGCTGATGTGAATTAAACAAGCAGCAAGCAAAGGGCCTTCACATCGCATGGAATAAATATTATTCTCCTTTCTTTCCCTGGCACCCCCACTGAGGAACTCTGACCTTCCCACTCTGCACACGCACATCCAGAGCAGTTACCGCAGCAGCTCACAGGGCCGTGCGAAGGGGGCGAATCTAAGCCCTCACGGGCCGATGGGCTGTGCGAGGACTAAAGACACCTGCCTCCAAAGCCGACTCCAGACAGCTGCCCTACACACGGCATGAGGCGCAGGCCAGCTGGACTGAGGTGAGAAGGCATTCCGCTGCAAACTGAGCACTCCTACCGGACAGGAAAGAGTCAGCATCCCCTGTGTGTCGGGGGAAAGGCTATCATGCTGTTTTCTCTAAACCTTCCACTTAGAGCCACCAAGTATTGTCTGAGGGCTTGTGAGAAAGGCAGACCCTCAGGCCTAGCCCAGCCCTGAGTGATCAGAATGTGTGAGATCTGATTAACTGAGCCGGTGACCTGGCCACACCTTCCACTGTGAGGGCTGCTCTGGGCCAATCAGCTTCACCGAAGCGTTCAGTCCAGTCCCGCAGGCTCACTGCAGGTCACAGTCACAGCACGAGCTGCTCCTGGCCCCGCAGGGTGGTTAGCTGTCACAGGGTGGTTAGCTGTCACAGGGTGGTTAGCTGTCACAGGGCCGGAGGCTCTCTGCCCCGGCTCCACAGGGGCCGTGACTTCACTCCTTGTTTCCCCGATGCCTTCCACAAATAAAATTACCTTCATTTGTTTTACCAATCTGATTTAATCGACTAGAACATTTTTTAATATTACCAATGTAGCTTTGTATCTTGTATATGGATATTCTCCAAAATCATTCAAAATCCACAATTATCAATTTTAAAAAGACCTTCAATGTTACTTTGTAAAACTTTCAAATTTGAGATGTCTCTCCAGTTTCATATTAACATTTTCCAACATTCAAATTACAAATCGGATAAGTAGGAACTCAAATATTTAAAAACCACTTTCAAGGAAGAAAGTTTCAGAGACCAAATTCCCCTCCAGTTTGCGGTGGGCTGGCGGCTGGCGGCAGGCAGAGGGCAGCATAAGCTTACAATTGCATCAGCTGAAGGAGAGATGCAACAGCCCTGCAACCGCACTTTTTGTTCAGATCTCGTTTTAAAGTTCTTAATCAAAGCAATTACAACATCTATAAATCAATACTTCAATTACAATGTCTTCAATGACCTGATTAACTGTTACAATGAACTTCCAAGTTATATATTTAAAACAGCTACCAAAAATTACAGGTATTGATTTGCCTTCAAAAACAAAAACAATAATAAAAACTACCTTCAAAAAATGGGAGAATTGGCTTTACATTTTCCTGACACTGAAGTAAGTCAAAATAAAGCGAATCATTGATTTCAATATTAACTGATTCCTGCACAAATAAAAAATCTACAATCAAAAAAGCAACAAGCTATATGATACAACTGATAATTAAGTTTTCCATCAATACTTCAACCTATGGATAGATTATCATTTGTAAAATTTAATAAGTTATTGTAGCACTACTAATTTTTCAATTATATTATATTACTATGTAAAATAAGACATATTTTAAGTACAACTCCAGTCTCACAGGACTAGAACTTTTCAATTTATAATGTGCAGGCCTTGAAAAATGATGACTCCTTAAAAGCAAAAAATTCTTCAGAATCATAATAACTAATAAATAAAAATCAAAATGAACAGAAATGGTGTTATTTTTCCCCAAAGCAAAACACTGTGTTTATAATTTAATGTTTTATTCTTGTTTTCCCAGATGACCTGACAATGTTACATAAGTAACTTATTAAAGAGTGGAGTTTGGATGACACTGCTCTGCAGAATTCTAGGGGACAAGAGGGTAAACGGCTGTAATGAGGCAACAAAAGGTCCAGGAAACAGTTCTTCAGTAATTTCTCCTGCATCTTCATTTAAGCATGACGCACCCTTCTTTTTGCAGGGTGCATGAATCATTTGTGCATGAATCATTTGTGCATGAATCATCTGCGGTATCTTTACCACTAACATTCAAATTCAGAGATGTAACCTGAATTTAAAATAATTTAAAAGAATACTTACAACTATTAAAATCATCTTTAATGTAAAATCATATAAGGGAATAGTATTTTGCAACAAAGATGAACAAGCCACTGCTCCAAGCAGTGACAGTGATGCCCTAGAAATACATCCTGGGCGCTAGCGTTGCAGCCCCATCCGTGCCGTGTGTAAAAGCAGACACACTGGTCTGTGGAGCCGGCAGTGGAAAGGAGTTCAGCCTGGAGGAGGAAGCAGGGGTGATGGAGGGGAAGGGCCTTTGAAATGCTAGTAACGTTCTATCTCACGCTCTAGGCAGTGCCACTGTGTCCACACTGACACATTCACTCCGTGAAAATACATTGAACTGTGTACCTGTCTAAACAGAGGTTACACTGTAATTTTCAAAAGTTCCTAAAAAAAGAAAACTTCAAAGAATTAATGTTTTTCCTGTCAAATGATCTGTCGAAAGCGTGAGGCACTCACCCGTCTCTACGTTTCCGAGCTCACCGTCCTCCGTGGGAGGATCAGAGGCTTCCGGCACGTGCCTGTGACTGCACCAAGCCAACGCCAGGGAGCCAGCGGCCGCCTTACCTTCTCCACGGGGAGCAGCGTCTGCAGCAGCCGCACGGCCAGCAGTGCGAGGCTGACAAAGGCCATTCGGTGGAGCGCGCGCGCGGCCTCTGCTTGTTCCAAACCCACGCTGCTTTGATGGTGGCACATGGTTTCTCCCAGGGACCCCAGCACCGTGAGCAGCTTCTCTTTCTACAAACATTTAAACATAAAAGGGAAAACAGCCAATGCGGGGGCCAGTATGCAAATGTCATGGAGAACAATTTAAACTATTATCATTAAACAATCAAAACCAACGAAAACGCAAATATTCCTCTCCATACCTCTCCATAAGAGCCGACACCTGCCGAGAATAAGCACACCTAAATTTATAAAAAACTAAGTTTTTAAGCATTTAATCTGATGACGTCTAATAACGAGTAAAACTAAACAATATACAAAAGCTTATGAACCATCCAGTTCTCCTAGTGTCCTGCGCGTCCCTGCTCCACCTGGGACATCTGCATGTCACTGTCAGTTTAGGCTCCCTGTCCTGAGGCTAGACACAGAGCTGGAGTAACGGGACAACACGTGTTAGTAGAGGACCTGATCCTTACCCTCAAAATGACCAGAGAAATAAAACAGGGAAAGTCAAATAATTTTTTTAAAAATTAAATATCCAACTGTATGAGCTTTCTTCAAGTAATAAGGCTTCAAGGGAAACTGTTCCACCGCCATCAATTTCTAGATAACAAACTACTCAAGTAGAAGTTGTGTCTTTCAAATCAAAAGGCATACGTAAAATACAAAGAGAAAGCTAAAACCCGGCAGACTAACGTGCGAATCATGACCACACAGACCAATGCTGTCCTCGACATGAGGGCACGCCGCAGCGGCAGGGACAGCACGGGCCAGCTGCGGACAGGGGTGCTGGAGTGTCCCTCTCACCTCCCACTGGGCATATCCGGACATGACAGGGGGCAGACCCTATGAACTAAGGACAAAAATCCTGGGCATGTTGGAAACAGTTTCAGTCAAGGACGAATATGTGAGAAACAGAACTAAAAGGTATGAGCACCTATAAAAATTACATCAAGGGTCAAAGCCGCGATGAGATCAGATCCATTAGGAAGGCTAGTGTCAAAAATAATGGCAAATAATGTGCACAAAAACTTAACAAAAATATAAAAAATATGAATAATTTAATTTAGGGCAAAAAATTGGATAAAGGGGGTCATTTTCTGTTGATGAAGTACATAATTAACAGTGAAGACCCAAGATGAATGAGTCTTTGTGGTCCAAATAACAGACTCCATCAAGCAAAAACTATTCCTGAAATGAAGACGGATTTCACAGGTTTTCAGTCTTTTTGAACCTAATCACTAAAATAAATAGGTATAAATTTTGAACATTTCAAAGAATACAACTCCTGAAGTATCCAAGGACGCTGACCAATACTAACCAGTTACTTAATGGCAAAGAAAACCTCAATATATATTTAAGGCTATATTCTCTGATCCCCCCCAAAAAATAAAACTAAATTAAACCAAAAAGAGGGCAATGCTTACAAAATTAAAACAACTTAATCACCACTATAGAAATAACTGGTCTGGAGAAAACAACTTGGAAACCCAGTTCCTGTCTTATTACATTAGCAAGCAATTCTCTCACCCAGTACTTCCCCATTAAAGGGATACTTTATATCCTTGCAACATGCCTCTGTTACTCAGGATCAACCTTGACAATTCACAATGTAAATTACTGCAGGGCTTTTCCTAGAAGTCTATCTACCTGTGAAAGTGTTTCAAACAACCTTGCTTATTCTAATGACGAACTGAGTGCTTCCCAAAACAGAATAAAAAGGAAGTACTATGTAAATCGGTCTTGAGATTTTCACTATTTCCAGCATTTCTTCCAAGCCAAAAAAAAAAAGTGTTTTCCTAAAAAAAAAAAATGCTTTAAGAAAAGAAAGGATTAAGAAATAGTAACTGGTCCAGAGTTTTGATCTGTTGGGCTAAAAATAATGTTTCAATGCCTGTGAAGTAGTTGACTAGGGGGGTCAGTTTTCACAGGATACTCGCAGCTTTTAACAAAGGTAAAGAATTAGAACATCAGATTAGCAAAATATTCTCAATATCCCCCTTAGAACAGAATGTACAGTGCACTCACGACTCCTCCACCCTGCACATCATGAAACAGACTGTGGGCTCTGGGAAGCATCTGAAATGGGGACTGGCAAGGGATGTCCTCCATCCGCTTGCACCCCTCTCCCTCCCCCCTGCGGGTCCCAGCAGCAAGTGAGGCCTCTCCAGCCACTCCCCTGCGGACGGGCAGCTCGCCTGCCTTCACAACACCACCACCCACTCAGCACCTTGTAGCCAAAAGCAGAGCCTCAGCAAGCCCCTGGCTCCTGCATCGTGTCCAGCTCCGTTCTAGGCTGTTTTTGCTTACACCCCCACCAGCCCTACCCTTTGCCACCGAGCGGCACCATCCGCTCGTCCTGGTCACTCTCTGCCCTCGCCAGGTGAAACCGCCAACCTTCATGTGCCAGCCAAGTCACAAATCATACCCGAAGACTCAGTTCAGTCACGATTTACAAGAAGCCCTGAGACCCCAGGTTGGGAGTGTTTTCAAAGCATCCTTGGCAATAAAACACGATTAACAACACAGAACCGACCTTGAGAAAGAAACTAGAAATGGGTATCAACCTTGTAGGGCTGTGATGATGAACTGGCCCCAGACACTGCTCAAAGCAGCGAGCACACAGGAAGCCGCGCAGCTGCCCGGTCCTACTGAGCTCTCAGTCCTTGCGCCTCCTGTTTCACCGGCGTCACGATGAAGGATCTGTGCCCGCGAGAGAGAAGCTGCCACTCACATCGCGTACTGCACAGCCTAGCATACGACAAGCGATCAAACATGTCTGGTGAACTGGAATAGCTGTTTCTGACTGTGCAACAGCAGGGAAGGCACATTCGACAGAGACACTCACCCAGTTACAAACCCAGCCTAGTTCAGCCCCTCAGTGAGCCCTCAAGGGGCACAACGCCCACTCTCTATCCTTTCGGCCCACTTGAATTCCAACTAGCAAGTCTCCCCCAAGCCCGCGTGGGAGTGGCCAGCTCACAGCAGAAGAAAAGACTGCTGTCCATGGCATCCTGATGCCAGGAGGGACAGAGAAGAAAACGTGAACAGAACCCAGCCCCAGGGTCTGGGCTTGCATGGTGGCAGGTGAAGATGCTTCTCCCTTCGCCGACTTACCATGTGAATGAGGAAAGACTGTTTCCAGGGGAGCAGAGAGGGGAAGGCACACTTCAGGCCAACCCAACGTTTACAGTGCTTATCAATGAATTTGTTATCTAACAAAATATAATAATTTCACTAAAAATATTTTTTCTTTATTTACTTCAAGTGAAATAAAAAATTCAACTTGGGCCCTGGCTGGTTTGGCTCAGCGGTGAAGAGCATCGGCCTTCGGACCAATGAGTCACAGGTTCGATTCCAACCAAGGGCACGTACCTCGGTTGTGGTTGGTCCCCAGCCCTGGCTGGGTCATGGGGGACGCAGCCACAGGATGTGTCCCCTTCACGTCGATGTTTCTCTCTCTCTCTTTTCCTCTCTCTCCCTCCCACTCTACCTCAACAAAAATGGAAAAATGTCCTCAGGTGAGGATTAAAAGAATTTCAACTTGGAAGATTACTTTTGACTGTGCTTACCCAGACTAAGTTATGGCATTTCAGAGATCTGATTCTATCTCCTCAGGTATTCATTTCTGAATTGATACCAACACATTTATTATTTTGTTCCTTTAATGACTCAACAAAAACACTGCTTCCATCTTTCTTTTTAAACTTGGCAAAAGTAGAGACATTAAGAAATTCTACCTAATTGTTTATTTTTATCAGTATATAGTCAAAGTACCGAGATTTTTCCTGAGGCATTCATTCTTTTAAATAAGTAAAAGTAAACCAAATATAATTTCAAACAGTACTGTTTTATTTAACATTTCTAACATACCAACTGGCACTTACAACAGATTTAACCTTTAAAGTAAAAATAATTCATTGAATCATAAAAGATCAGCAGCCAAAAGTTAAAAGCGAGCGACTAACTTTTACAGATAAATGTTCTGGCCAAGAAAGTGTAAGTTAATTTAAGAAGCAACTGATAAAATAGTCTTCACACATCTAAGGAAAAACTCACTTGTTGAAAACCTTCAATATGTGAAAATCTTCTAAAAGTACTACAAAATAGTATGGTAACCTTAAGGACTAAAGAAAGACTAAGAACTGTCATTCCTATTTCATAAATAAAGAAATTGAAGGACTTGAACAATAATTTATACCAATTGTAAAATACTTCATTTTTTCCTCTTTTCAAAAAATTTTTGTTCTTAAAAGTTTGGTTTTTTTACACATGGGTGTTAGTATTAACTAAACATCAGTATTTTATTTTTCACGTTCTAACCTTTATTCACAAAGATTTCAGGAAGCGTATAAGAAAGTTTAATGAAACAAAAAGACAGACCTAGGTCAAAACAACATAAAGAGAAAAAAGCTTTGGTTTTATATATATATATATATATATATATATATATATATATATTTATATATATAAATATATAAATATTTTATATATATAAATATATATTTATGACTAATTTATGACTAAAAATATATACACACACATATATATGACTAATAAATTTTGCTTCAACTTCTCTGACAATGCAAGAAAAAAGTAAAAGGTTAAGTTTACCAATTTACGTTAAAAGAGTAGACAGAACACCAGTTCTCCAAGCAAGCTTATTTGATAATTGCAAAATAAAAGATATAAAATGATAAATAATTTATGATATATTGAAATGTAAAAAAGGATACAATTTATAATTACATGGAGACATACCCTGGTAGTTCACAGATGTCTTAAATATTATGTTACAATATAACACTCCTAGGGCTCTTGTACATGTGTTGATTGCTCATGCAAAATATTAATCAAAATATTTCTTTAAAAAAATGTAATAACATATTTTCCAAAAATATCTTCCCTGAAGAAATACAAATAGCAAAGAACAAGGCACCCAGCAATAAAATGAATAAATGCAACAATATGGCTATATCTCAAAGTAATCAAACTAAAAGAAAAAGAAATGAAACGAGAAAAGCATACGACGAGCACATTCATATAAAATTCTAAACAATGGACGCTCATCTACATCACGGTGTACCCATGTGCCAGGATGTGCCAACAAACTGTAAGAAACATGTGCAGCTTTTTACATGTCAATTATACTTCAATAAAGTCATTAAACCCACATAAATATATTCACACACACACATTTATGAAAAAATGATAAGAAATGTGCAAAATCCACGTGAGAAAAATACTCCTAAAAGACAAAAATGTAGAATTCTAAAACCGAAAAGATACAGCACGTCTTCCCAAGGTCTAAAGAGAATCTTTCTAACTTTGATTCAAAATCCAGAACTATAATTTAAAAGAAAAAAGTAAAGAAACAGATAAATCCAGCTACATAAAAATAAATAAATGAATAAAAGCTTTTGCATGGCCAAAAGTATCATCAGGAGAGTTTAAAAAAAAAAAAAAAAAATGAATGGGAGAAAAATTGCAACTGGTTTCAGAAAGCCAAAGTCCTTAATACATAAAGAGCTCTCAGAAATCAATAAAAGAACAAAAGATCAATCAATGACTGACCCCCCCTCACACACACACAAAGTAGTAAAGATTTGGATAGTTTACAAAAAAAGAAATAAAAATAGCTCTTAAAATTACAAAAATATGTTCAACTTCGCTCATGGAAAACTACAAATTAATATTATACTGACAAAAATCTGAGGCTTGACCATAAACTCTACTGCTGAGCCTGCAGGTGAAACCACATTCTAATGTGCTGGTGGGTACTGAAATGTATAGCTATACAGGATCATGTGACATCTACAATTAAGAATAGTTACCATTTGATATAGCAATCCTACTTGAAAAAAAATCGACCCTTGAGATACACTTGTACAAGTATAAAATGATATGTGCACATGATTCATTTCACATAATTTGTAGCAGCGATTTTGTACACCAGTAGACTGGGTAAATATACACAACAAAGTGTTTGCCACTCATAAAAGAGTAGTAAAGATCTCCACGCACGAACATGGAACAACCTTGACACCTATTAGTCCATGCATGCAGGACGCATTTTTAAGTTGCAAAAACAAGGTGTAAAACTGTATGTGATATACCTTTTACATAAGATGTGGGAGAGGGAATAAGAATCCCCATACTTATTTGCTTACATTTGCAAAAACTAAAATAAAAAAAGGAAAAAATAAACCAGAGAACAGAAGGGCAGGGAGGCATCTCTGAGTTGGTTTTATGAAGGGAAAACAACTCCCCGAACTGGGATGGAGCTGACTGCTGACCGTGTTGGTCACAGAAGAAGTCTAACAAGTGACTTTAGAGCACAGCACTGTGACTGTATCTTACTGATAACTAGTCTAAGTCAAAAACAACTACAGGGAAATCTTGAACTTTATTAGTTCTGGACCATAGTAATACTAATATTGCTATTCTGAAATGACTTAATGTGTGCTGAAGGTAAAGCTAATATGCAATTATGCTGAAACTGTTAAAGACTAAGACTTTCTATGAGCGACAATAGAAACAAAATCATACAAGTTTAAAATCACAGAAATAGCCATCTGAACTCATGGATTTTAAAAAAATACATATTTCCTATTTCTGTTATTCAAAGGAAAGAATGATATCGCAGTAACTAAAAGCAGCCCTAATGGCCTGTTTGGTCTGGGTACACACTCCCTCATTAACAGAAACCAGAATCTCTGGAGAAATGGCCTATTCCAGACTGCGCACAAAATAAGCCAGGGACACACTGTATCTAAAAGAAAGAAAGCTTTCAAAGACTAATGAAACAATGATATACTGTATATAAACCAACATAAAATAAAATAAAATGCTACTACCCATATCCCAAGAAGTCATCGACTCTCACCATATCTATAGCAAAAAGGCTGCTGTCATCCCAGATGTCTGCTGATATCGCTTCCCCAATAAGAATCAAATCCTCTGCAAGCAATTCCAGAACTCTTATTATCATCTGTCTACTACCTGGGAAAACAACCAGGAGAGAAATCGGAAAAAACAGTGAACTTTCGGATCAACAACTGAATGCCATCGCTCCATCCTCCAGTAAGTCATGCCCATAGTTCCTATTTCTCTTCTAATACTCGTTATGGTTTTAGAGTTGTTGAAAGAGATAAACAGGGACTGTTAAAGACTTCTGTTCTGATCATAATGCTATTTATTTACAACAAATCAAGTGTGCTCCTAAATGGGAAAGACACTCCAGAAGCTAGTAGCAATGTTAACCACAAGTATTATGAGACAATTAAACAAACTTTTCAAGTTCAGAGACCATCCATGTCCCACGTAACATGTGACGAAGCCCCGGTCGGTGAGGAAACACTGCTAAGAATGTCCTGTTAGGGCCTGAAGGCCTGAGCCATCCACACAGGAGCTGCCTGGGAAGCTGAGCCTGGACCGGAGCGACTAAGGTTTAAATGTCCACGCTGGCGTGTGCTGAAGACACTCAGAGAAATCCCATCTGAAACAGGTCTTCAAGCCCACGCTCACTTAAACTCTAAAAGGCTCCAGAAGAGCCCTGGCAGGTTCGGCTCAGCAGTCAGAGCGTCGGCCCGTGGACCAGAGTTGCGGGTTCCATTTCAGTCAAGGGCACGGACCTTGGTTGCAGCTCGATCCCTGGACCTAGCTGGGGTTGTGTAGGAGGCAACCAATCGATGTGTCTCTCACATTGATGTTTCTCTGTCTCTCTCTCCCTCCCTCCCACTCTACCTGAAAATCAATGAAAAAATACCCTCAGGTGAGGATTAACAAAAAAAATTCCAAAAGAAACTGTGCCATCAGTCACAGCCACCAGCATAATGCCACAACCCATAATTCTAAGTGAGGTGACATTCCACCCAGCCTTCCTGTTCACATACCAAAGGTCAATTTCTATGAAGGAAAGTAAAACAAACTACCTGATCATAAGGGTCTGAACTGTTTCACTAGAACAGCTGGAGAAAGTTCCTTTAGAAATCTCTTAAGATACTAAACAATTATAAGTTATGCAATAATTTACCACAAAAGGGCAAGAGAACATTTAGAAAATTTTATGTACTGAGATACAGCTTTATAATGATCAATCTGACTTTTTACAGCAAACTAAGAAAAGGTTAAATGCAAAATCCTTAAATCTAAAACCGTCCCTCTCCATATATGCAGACAAACACACGTACTTTATAATGCCAAGTTCGGATTTTCCTTCACCACATTATTGGTACATGAACTCCCAGAAACAGAGTCACACCGTCAGAAATTATGGGAACAGTTTTCCCAGGATAAATTAAAATTTTAATAACTTTCCAAACAAATAACTACCTCCTGCTTTCCTCCCATTCACCCTCCAGCAGGCAAAAATAGCACAGGACTTAAAAAGCCATTATTTGTGGTAACTGCTGTTTGATTGCCACTGTCGGCCACTCGCCACGCTGCATCGTTCTGAGCACTCGTTACTAACATTACTACATCTCTGTATGTTGCAATACATCTTTGCAACTTTACCTAGACTCTGGAAAGAAAATATGTAATGTTTGGGTTGAGTTTTGTTATTTGTTTGGTTTTTGCAAGAAAAATTACTGTAAAGGTAAGCATCCAGCTGTAGGCTGGTTTCGAACACGTCTTACCGCCTAAGTAACAATCGGGTGGAAAGAATGAACTGAGAGCAAATCAAAGAAGTTCCTCAGGAGCAAACACCAGAGGTTTTTCATTCTGGTCTATTCGTGCTGCTCCAACCCTCCGACTGACCCCAGCTGCGTGGAATTCTTTGTGGTTGCACTTGGAGCAGCCACGCAGAGTGAGGCCGTGCACACGGCCACCGTGGGAAGGGGACCCTCCCTCAGGAGAGTGCTCCCTGGCAGCCACGTCTAACTACGAGATGAGAAAGGCTGCATGCAGCTCCTAGGAACTGACTTCCCAAAGGGTAAATCGATGGGTTAAAGGTGTTGGCATAGACAGAAGGTGAAAAGTAAATAAATAAGAGTCCTAGAAAACAAACAAAACGATCACAGGCTGCACAGAGACCTGTGACTTCGAAACCCCCGAACCTGTTCTCAGGAGCGGCACGGCAGACTCCAGGAGGCAGACACAGAACTGGGGGAGGCTGAGCTGCTGGAACTGCAGCTGCAGCGTGTCCGCGGCCTCCAGCTCCGGCAGGTCGATGTGCGTCGCATCCAGAGGCGAATGGATGGAGACCCTGGAGGCCACGTGCGCATGACTGCTGCTCCCACTGCGAAAGACACAGGACAGCCCCTCAGTATGGAGACAGCCACAGACAGACTGACTGCGTGTCCGAGCCTGGCACACAGGGAGCCTCAGACTGGACACAGCTCAGAGCCTCACATAACATTCTGCTCAGATTTCTAGGAACCCTGACAAATTCATGACACTAAATTCCATCAACATGGCTCAAAACTGTAAATGAAACCAAAAATGCCTTTGTATTTTGCTTTTCCAACTGATGGTCTAGAAATGTGCTGACACCCTCCTAGTAGCAATCAGCAAGAGACTGACAACCAACTCGTTTGTTAAGGGAAGCAAGCGATTCATTGCAAAGTTCTCTGGAATCAACTCATAAAGGCAAAACTAAACTGTTCACACAGTTGCCTAGTGAGCCAATGTTAACAACAGAAGAATGCTAGAAAATGCCAGAAAAAGCATGAGAAATGGATTACTTTATTTAGTAAATTCAACTTCACATCATGATTTTGGAAATACACCAAAAGATGGAACATCCCATCTTGGTTGCTTTCTTCATAAAGAAACTCTGACCTTGTGTGCAAAATGGCGGGGTGGGAGTGAACGTGTGTAGACAGGTGTACACCTACATTTGGAAAGACCCAAAAATTTTGACTTTTGATGTCATCCACAATTGAAGCTGAGTCACAGAGGTACAGTAATGCTACTGGACATACAGAACTCCCAGAATTTAATATGTTTTGTCATTTCTTCAATTTCAGTGTCCCCAGCATCCCAAAATATGGAAATGAGCCAAGCTTCTCCAACTCTGAAAGGGCCCGGAGGAAGCAGGCAGCACTGGATACAGCTCAGAGAGCGGCACAGGGCCGCAGACCACACCGTCCAAAGCCCACCTGCTCTTCTCCAACGGCATGAACCTCTTTCTGTAGGATAATAATGACAACAATACCAACCCTCTCAAAGGACTGTCATGAGGACAACTGGAGGAGATAAAAACCACAGCGGCACCTGGCAGAGCGCCAAGCATACTATGAACACGACTCTGTGTCAGCCGTAGCTGCAGCATCAAAAGAACACAGGCCAACAGACAAGTGTTCACCTTACTGTGCAGTTATTAGAATGACGCCAGAGGAGAGATTCATGTTTTTAAGATACTTTCAGCCTAAGGAGGACATAACAAATACCATGCCAATCCCTTCAGGAAAACTTGATACATATAAAAATCAGTGTTTACACAAACAAGTAAAACACCATACATGGTACACAGTCTTTGTTTTATAGCTTCTCCCATCAGTCTCTTGAATAGTAAACAATGATGTACTTAAATTATGATTACACTTACAAAAATGGGTTTAAAACACTACCAAAATGTATCTATCATTTAAAGCTATAATTTTAAATTAGATCACATTCCATTTTGGGCTGGTATAAACAATTTAGTGTGTCAGAGTCATCATTCTTTTTTAAATGAAATACAGAGAAACAGAAAATGTAGTTCACTGTGTAACACATGGAACCAGAGTACTATTTTGTGAACATTTTTTTTCAGTGAATACACACACACACACACACACACACACACAAAACCAGAGTACTATTTTGTGAACATTTTGTTTCAGTGAATACACACACACACGGGCGTGCACACATGCACATACATACCGAGTACACGTCTGTATGCTGAGTACGGAGTTACAAGGTAATATTTGTTTATTGCTGTGGGTAATGGTCAAAAAGTATGGAAGCTACTGGTCTAACACAAAGCCAATACTTGTGTTGATGTTTCCAAGGAGAAGACAGAAAAACAAGCATCTCCCGAAATGAAAACGCGCGCAGCCAGCAGGCTCTTCCCCGCTCACCTGGAAGACGCTGCGTCCCAGTCCTGGCCGTCGCCCCGGGGTCGCTGGCCTGTGCGTCCGACCACGGAAGGCCGGGGGCTGCTGCTTCTGGGAGAAGCATTCTGGGAATGATGAGCAACTCTCACTTCGTGACAGTAAGACAAAGAAGAATTCTGGGAAACCGCGTCTGGAGGGAAGAAGAACATGACCCCTCAGAGAGAACCGAGAGGCAGCACCTGACAAAGGGCAGCAGGAAGGCGCCACAGGGGTGAGAGCGAAGGTCACCCTGCTGCAAGCACCACTCAGCACCTAGGTCTCCGCCGGCCTGACTACACGGAGCCCCGGCCAACGCTGTTCACCCACAGGGGTGAGAGCGAAGGTCACCCTGCTGCAAGCACCACTCAGCACACCTAGGTCTCCACCGGCCTGACTGCACGGAGCCCCGGCCAACGCTGTTCACCCACAGCGTCAGGCTGCCAGGCGACGCCAGGCCGCGCGCCCGCTGCGGAACACTCCCCAAGACGCCCACACGCAAGAATGAACTCGGATGGACCAACTACCTAAATGAGTTTAAATCATAAGCTAAGAAGGAAATATAGGGATAAATCTTCACGACCTTCGATTTGGCAATGGATTCTTAAATGCCCCAAAAGCACAAACAACGAGAAACATAAACTGGATTTCATCACAACTGTAAACTCCCACGCATCAAAGGACACTGTGAAAAGTGACAGCCTACAGAACGGGAGAAAGTACCTGCGAATCATATATCTGATGAGGATTTAATATCCAGATATGTTTTAAAAACTCCTAAACTCAACAATAAAAAAAAACTAACTTAAAAATTGGCAATGGGCTTTAATGAACAGTTCTCGCAAGAAGACATAGAAGGGCCAAGAAGAGTGACCAGGGAACCCTAGTCATCCATCAGTACTCGCAGGGGAACTGCAAACCAAAACCCCAGCGAGATCCCACCTCACACCTACCAGGATGACTACGATTAACAATGGACAGTGATGCCCTGGCCGGTTTGTCTCAGCGGGTAGAGCGTCGGCCCAGGGACTCGAGACCCCGGTTCGGTTCCCGCTAAGGGCACACTCTCAAAACAAAGGACAACAAGGGCTGGGAGAGGTGGGGACTGGACGCCGCAGACAGCTGGTGGGAATGCAAAGCGGCGCCGCCACTGTGGGGAACAGGGTGGCAGTTCCTAAGAACACGAAACAGAGAGTCAACACAGGTAATATAACTAATGTCACCAAATTGCACATTTAAAAACGGTTATAATGGCATATTTTGTGATGCATATGTAGCCATAATTTTTTAATTTTTTAATTAGGTAAAACAGAGGCATGAGGAAAGGAAAAAAACAAACAACTCTTCAAGAGCTTCCAACTGCACTTCAAAGAAACTACAAAATCCTTACCTAGGTCTGCAAGTGCCCCCTACACCCTGGCCCCGGGTTCCCTCTCTGCTCTCACCTTCCCCCACCCCCCCGCCCTGATGTCTGACCACCCCCCCATGTCACCTCCCCCTAAGGCACTGACCTTCCTGGAACACTCTTCAAGCACACGGCTCCCCTCACCCTCAGACCACCTCCCCGAGCTGCCCGACCCTCCCCCTAGCCCAGTAAGCCACATGCCCCTGGTCACCTGCGTCAATCAGCCTTCCTTATTTCCTTCCCACACTCCTCCTTGTCTAAAACAAGTTTGTTTATTCCTGCCCCGACCTAAAATACAAGCTCGCAGAGGCTAGAACCGTACCCCAGTTTTGTTCAGTGCTGTACCCCCTGAGACCAGCAGATTGACTAGCATATAGTAGGTGAACAATAAGTGTTTACTTAATTCATGGGTAAATCTTCAGAGAGACAGACTATCTTCGTCAACACTGTAGCTGTCTTTCTGAGGAAGCATGGGCTACCCGGCAGCTCACTACCACTGGCCATCTGCAGGAAGCTCTATCTCAGGAATGACGACAAGGAAACCCCGTACCCGCTGAGATCTGTAATAAAGCTAATTTAAGGCATAAATATTCAAGTAGCACAGGGTCAGTGACACTCTCAACAAGGATTAACTGTGAAGCATGATCACCAATCCCTCTTAGGTACATATGACTTCAAGTGCGTATCAGAGAGGCGCACAGAAACTAAGCTGTAAGTGGTTGGACAAGGCCAGCCTGGTACTCTATGATCCACTAGGTGGTGCTTTTTCCATGGAAAGTCAGGCACTAGGATCATACGATGCTCTGACGACATCTCAAGTTGCACAAAATAGTTGTCATAAAATAAAAATCAGCATTTTTCAATCCCATTTATTAATATGATATATAATTTGCTAAAATACCCAAAGAAGGCTAGACTCAGAATCCTAGTTCCTGACTCACAACAACACTCTCTGCAGACCAAAAGGTAAACACCTTGCAAATGTCTCATAAAACAGAGGACTGGCTCGTGAGTGGCCCTGTCATTCCGCTTGCTTTTGAAGGCGATCATTTGATTACGCTGAGGATGAGGAAACGGAGTCTACGTTGTGGCCATTTATACAGTGACCCCTAACGGCGGGTAATGGGGTTCTCGCTCGGAAGAACCTGCAAGCGCCGCACACCTAGCAGACAAGAAGCATAAATACCCTGTTTGCTGCAGGAGAAGCCCGGGTCCCGGTGGAAGTGAAGCCTGCCACGTAGGCACACGCACAGCTGCTGCAGGCAGGACACCGACTGCAGGGCCAGGTGGGGCGTGCCCTCCCCTCCGAAGGCCAGCTTCAGCAGAGAGAGCAGGCTCTGAAAAGACAAGCGTGAGGATGATCATGGGAACCAAGAGCATGTGATTTAGCACAATCAAGACGGCCGCAGAGTAAGATAACGTGAAGAGAACAGTCCGTGTTGCTCACATCTACAACCCGTTAGGGAGAGCCTATTCCGAGAGGACACAGGCGTCTCTCCCCACCCAGACATGAAGTTTCACAGTGCTTCTTAAAATCACAAGGTTTCCGCATCGCAAATGGCTTTAGTAATGAACAGCTTCTCCTCTGCTATCATTTGACAAGGGCCACAGTATGAACAGCGGTCATTCACTGGAGTGATTTTCAGCCCAGTGATTGCTGGACAAGGGTGCTGAGGGATGCCTGGGTCCTCATGATATGCCCAGTCCCAGCCCTGGGTCCCGACGCCTCTCCTGAAAGAGCCTGGGTCCCAGGTGACAGACTAGACTGCAAAGAACCCATCTCCACTGCTCGCTACCATATTTCCATAGCATCCAGCACTGTGCCTTACACATACCAGATAATCAAAGAGACATGTGATTCTTAATGTTAGGACAGTTACTGCTGCCCAACCTCAACTTCCAAAGCCTACTCATCCGTCAGGTGACCCAGGAGCAGAAAATTCAGGGTGGTCAAACTGCACTGCACGTGTTCGAGGAGATTACCTCCTATCAGAAGAACTATCACCATCCAGATAAGTTACAGAAATGGTTTAAATACCAAATGCTTTGTTCTTTAAACATTTCCTTCCTCCCACGTTGCAAAATTGGTTTCACTGGAAAACATTCTCTATTTCAAAGTGTAAAACAATCAAAGAGGATACACACCTGAACAATTTTCGGCCTCTGAAGGAAAATCTCAGCAGGGAAGTCTTGCATGATAACGTCCTTCAATAGTTCACAGGTGTTCCAGATCAAAGTGTGGTTACTACTTCTTAAAGAGCTACAAAGAGTGTTATTTATTTTTAAAAAGTTTACCTGTCCCAGATTCTAAGTAACCAAGAGACAAATGACTCTACTCACATCCTTCAGTCCCAGCTGGGACATCACTCCCCCGGGGAGCCCTCCTCAGTCTCATCCTTAACAATAAACAGCTCCTAGCAGGTGCTTCCCCGTAGCCCTGGACTGCATCTGCTGCTACGGCGACTGTGTGCTGACCTGTGTCCCCACCAGACCCTCCTCAAGACGGCACGCCCACAGACTATCCCAACGCTACACAATGAGATTGAGGAGGTCAAAGGGCACAGAACTCAGTGACATATGTCATATGAATTCAGAAATAAGACAGAAAAAATAACAGTAACTACAGCATTAAAGTCTAGGAACTAGACTCCTTACTGCTCTCCCATTTCTAGGGGAATCACGCTGGGGCGCTCCTCTTATCGCAGACCAAGGACACCCTTCGACTTCTCAGATAACATCTGTCCTCCTAGGGATGCAGCCGTGGTTCCCCTCCCACCCCAAGAAACCAATCCCCCCTCAGCCCAGCTCCACCCCACCATCCTCAGTGTGCACTGGACAGCCTCCCCCAGGGACTGATCAGGCCTGCCGGGCCATGTCCATCCCGCCCCTTCCCCACGTGCACGGACCCCTTCAGTACGGCGTTCCGAGAGAATCTCTGGGCCTCCTGAGTACCCTCATCAAATATCATTAACAGCACCCTCCTGTTTCTGGCCCCAACACTAGCAAGTTGGTCTTCACTTTCCAGATGTGCGCGCACACATACAAACATGCACACATGCACGCACACACACACACACACAACAGATGACTCCTTTGTTGTAGTATGCACAGAAATTAATGTTTCAGCAAAACAATGAAACTAGACATTAAGACACTCTCCCAACTTCTGTATGTCAACTACCTACTTCTGGGGGTAATGACCAATTAACATCATTTCATAAGATCACAGAGCACAAATTTTGAAGTATATTATCTACTAAAAACACTGCATTCATGTTATTTATGTTTAACTTTTCCATTTTCATTAGGCGAAGCACAGCGGTGGCCAGTCGGAGACTCTGGCCAATCAGCGACGGCCGCAGAGCACACACGACCTCAGCGTCATGAGCCTGATGAGGAGCAGACAGGAGCCTTCTGAAACACTGAAATTCACTCATCTATTCCCATCACTCCGTTCGCAGCCGCTCCACCTTCCTTCCCGTGAAAACGCGCGGTGACAACTACCAGACCTAACGGCTGGAGGGGAACCAGCGGGACCAGAAGTGCACCCGACACTCACCTTTCGTTGGAGGAGAGCACGTGTCTGTCGGTTGTGGTCAGAGGCAGCCAAGGAAACGTGGAAAACTTCAAGCACCTCACAGCCTGGGTCGCTGTTGACAGAAGAGCACAACGTAAGCCATGAAGGCCACGTGCCAGCACCCGCACGGGACCGAACGCACGCCGCAGGAGGCCAGTGCTCCCTCTCGGGAGGGGCAGGGCGCTCTTGTCACAACTTGACAGAACTCGGACCAGGAGAAGAAGAGCATGAAACCCAAACCCATATCGAATGACATTCAGTTTCAATTACACGTTCTATTTCACTGGCTCACCAGAACACAGAGCGTAAATGTAATAGAAAAGTAGCTGGCATATGGAGATCTTTAATTACAGAAAATAAAAGTGATAAAACATAATCATATACTGTATTTAATTAGTCATATTTGAATATCCTAAATGGTGTTGGATGTTTAAGCCCCTCTGAAGATGACTGAAGACCAAAAGGTTGAAGATCAAATATCTTCAACCTCCAAGATTAAAAGAAATCCGAGAAACCAACACAATTTTAAACTAATGCTGTTCGAATTATTTTTCGCAGGTGTATTTCCCCAGGTGTGCAAGGTGTACAACATGCCATTGTGCACACAAACACCGCAAAACGACAGCCACAGCAGTGAGCTGACCTCTCACAACTGCCCGTCTGAAGACTGACTCCCGTCGGCGTTTTCACAGGCCCCACACTGTCCACGTGAAGGTGGCAGCGCTGAGAAATGGCAGCTACAGAAGCCCTTCCAAGTGACAAACAGTCCTCCCACCCAATACTTGGAAAAGGGCGCGGAATCGTCCAATTCGGGTAATCATTATCGATTCCCGACCCGAGGACAGTTGCTTCTTTCAGAAGTGCTAACACAGGGCAGAGTCGGCCTTCTCAGGACAAAGCCAGCGGTGGCTGGAGGGAAGGTCAGGCTCACTGCACATTAAGTGTCCAAAACGAGCCGACCGCCAGTCCACAAGCTGTGACTCACCCGCCACAGCACTGCCACCCAAGCGTCCTTACTGCTTTCGACAGCGTCACCCACACCACATCCCAGCCCCGAGACACCCCCGGGGCCCTCACTGCCTCTCCCTCAAGCCGCGCAGCCACAAACACAAAGGACGACCATCTCAAGTCCAAAGCTCCCCACGAGTCCAACAACATTTTTCCAGAAAGGGAAGATAAATTTTTTTTTATCCTCACCCTAGGCCATTTTTGCATTTATCTTCAGATAGAGTGGGAGGGAGAGATGGAGGAAGAGAGAAAGAGAGAAACATCGATGTGAGAGAGACACACCAAGTGGTCACCACCCAGACGACCGCAACCAGGGCCGGGGACAAACTGCAACCCAGCATGTGCCCGTAGTGGGAACCGAACCCGGGACTCTCTGATCTGCAGGCCGATGCTCTAACCGCTGAACCAAACTGGCCAGGGTGGGAAAATAAAATATTTTAAGAGCTAAACACGTTTTCTGTTCTTTCTTATGCTGTTATGCAACCTGAGAGTTTCTAAGGAAACCTTTTAATAACAAGGGACATCCAAACGGAGTGAAATTGAATCCCTGATGTCAGCAGACATCACACCCTCGGACACACATTTTTTTCAACCACACAGACAACAGATTGTGAAGCGCATGTTTACGAAACCATTCCCAATCGCAGGGACATCTAGGACGAGCCTCGGTGTCCTCATCAGCAAAATGGGGTGCTGATCCTGCCAACCCCCTGGGACGCCGTGAGGCCTCACTTCCCACTCAGCAGGCTGGGCCCTAGCGCACGGCTGGCGTCGTTCTGCGCAGGGATAAAGCAGCGTCTGCAGCTGTCACTAAGCTTATGGTGGCAGGAACAAGGAGGAAATGAACATACAACTTCAGGCATGTGTTAGGAAGAAAACAAAACACAGGAAGTGATCCCCGGCTGGAGTCCTCAAGCAGGTCTCCCTGAGGAGGTGGCACGTGACCAGAGACCAGACAGAGCCAGACACGAAAAGCCCTGGATGAGATCTCTGAACAGAACTCTGGAATCAGTGGCTGTCGGGATGAAGACAAATAAGGAAACGAAGATGGTGCTGAGCCTCTGGCTTGAGTGGAGGGCTGGACGGTCCTGCGTGAGCTGGAGACGCAGACGAGGAACGCAAGCACACAGCACACCTGGCGCCGGGGTCGTGCCCTTTGAGCACCAAGTGCTCCGGTCCCATCCCCGCCGCCTGGGCAGCCACACACTACATCCTCACGCAATTCCAAGAAACTACACACTCAGCTTGGAGCTGACACTCAGGTTGGACCACAATGTGTCTTCACAACAATGAGGAAAAGCATATTAATTTCTGATTCACCAGGTCAGTGGGATCTACTCCGCTGCATACACTCACCCACGGGACCTGGAGTCGCTTCCATCTGCTGCAAATGACTGCTGTCTTGAGGAAAATATCCCTTTAAGATTTCGGGCTGTTGTGGCAATTCTGAAAAAAATAATAATATTATTATTATCGATTCATTATTTGCTCAAAAAAGTTATTCTTTCCAAAATTAATGTTTTCTCTTGAGTTTCTGAATCATTTTAAAAACTACAAAAATAATCCAGTTTTTTCTCTGAATAGTCTGTCTTCCTAAAGAGGAAAAATTGTGAATGCTGAGCACATTTCAAATTGAGGGTTTGTTTCCTCCCTTTCCCTTTCTGTTAATATAATTACTTGTTAGACTGCAAACATCCACAACGTACATGAAGAAAGTGTCACAAAGTATTTATTCAAGGACTGTTCAGCTCTGCTTCGGAGTCCATCTCCCTCCGCTCCTTTCCTCCAGTTGTCTAGTCCTAGTCACTGCACTTTTCATTAACATCTTTCTCAAAAGGCTGCCCAAGTCACAGGGCTCAAGCACTGCCTTTCAGTGCCTTTCCTGATCCCATCACGATTCACATTCACCAGTGCACATGCGATGAGAACAAGGCTCAAACTCAGTTTTCTAATTTTCTACTTGAAGTTTTCACACCAGTAGTTCTTATTAATACAGATACCTAAAAATTAGCCCTAGACCACACCTCCCACTCCACCTGTAGGGAACTAGCGTGAAAATTCACAAGTTAAGGTTCTACTTTATTTGCTATGGCTTAGACAGAAATTATAAGTCACATTGTTAAAAATCAGTCATGCAAGAAGCCAATAAATGGCATCTACCACTGTTCTTGTTAACAGTGGTACCAACAGTCACAGCAACAACAGCCCAGCACTGAACAGAGAAAAATATCGTCTAACAGAGTCAGCCAGCAAAACACATTTTCCACTGTTACCGCTCCAGCACATAAATCTCATGAGCCTTTTCTTCCCAAATCAATCCAAATGCCCTCCATACGCAAGGCACTCTGTTAGGCATAAAACAACAAGAGCACAACTAGAGCAGCCGACAACTCTGTGCCTCAGGCTGAGCTCTTTTTTAAGCATCGTCTCATTAACCCTCACAGCGATTTTATAAGATGTTCTTTCTCATCATCCCAATTTGGGGATGAGAAAACTAAAGCCTGCAGGGGTTAAATGCCTTAGCCAGGGCCACGAAACTAATAGCAGAACTGGGACTTAAATCCACGTCTCTTTGACGCTGATTTTACCCACACTACCATGTGTGGCTGATTCTGACTGGCCCCCATAAAAAAATCATGGGCAGATGTCAACATACCCTCACATGAAGAACATCCCCAAAAATGCAAGCACAAAACAGTGAGAACGTCTGGCACGTGGTAATAAATGCTCATGGAAAATTTGTTGTTATTGTCAATATGATCTGTCAAACCGGTCTCACACACACACACACACACAAAAAAGTCACTACATCTTTTAGGCCCCGTCACCAAAAAAGCAATAAATACAAGTGCATCCTCCTCAGAATAACAGTAGAAGAGGGGAAAGGTCATGCTCATGAACGTCAACCCACAAAAAATAAGTTGGGGGGTTACTTTTTTTTTGAAATCTAAGGTCTCCTTCCTTAGAATTAGCACTAGAACCAAAGTATTTACAGTTCAACGGAATGCACCTCAGAATCCCAAAGCCTTACCAATCAGATCGGTCTGGTAAGACGCAGAGCACAGTGCCGGGACCTCTGGGGGAAGGGTGAAAAGTCCGTCCAGAATGCCATCAATTTCAGCCTGTAGATCGGGCTCCACATTAGCGCGAAGTTTAGATAAGAATTCGACTGCGCCGAGGTCAACCAGATGCTGCACTGCTGGGGGATACTGAAAGAGGGGCACCAAGTCACGGTACATATCAGATCTCTAGATTTCATCTTGCAGCACTTCGGTATACCAGACGCTCTTTTTTAAAAAACCAAAATCATTTTTAACATTTTTTTTCTTTATTGATTTGAGAGAGAGAGGGGAAGGAAGAGGGAAAGAGAGAGATAGAAACATCGATGAGAGAGAACGATTGGCCCCCTCCTGCACGCCCCCCACTGGCGATCAGGTCCACAACCTGGGCATGTGCCCTGACTGGGAATCCAACTGGCGACCTCCCGGTGCAGGGGTCGACTCCCAACCACTGACTTGCATTGATATTCCCAAAAGTAAAGAACTTCCCTGAGCCCTGGCCAATTAGGCTCAGCAGTTAGAGCGATGGCCCGCGGACCAAATAGTTGCGGGTTCGATTCTGGCCAAGGGCATAAACCTCAGTTGCGGTTCAGTCCCTGGCCCTGGTCAGGGTCTTGTGGGAGTCATCCAATCAATGGGGTCTCCCTCACATCAATGATTCTCTCCCCCTCCCTCCCTCACACGCTATCTGAAGATAAATGGCAAAATATCCTTGGGTGAGGATTTTTTTTTAAAAAAGAAATTCCTTGAATAGGATAAAGATTTATAGAAACATAAAACATTTAAAAACACCTGTAAGAGAAAAGCCCAGACACTGAACACTAGAAATGCACACTATAATTCCTACTTTTATTTATCAAAAAGACTACTTCTGTCCACTGACATTCACCCTCTCTCTCCTACCTCCCACCAGCAAAGGATGCCAAAGCAACAATCACCCTCGACTGCGCAGCGATTTACGGCTCTGAAAGGTTAAACTTGCGCTTTGACGTCTGACCCTGGCAACTCTTTGCAAGATGCGCTGAGGAACCTACGACCGAAACGGGAAAAGCAATCCAGCAGCCCTTGTGCGATTTATCCATCGTGATCTGTAACCTCATCTTCAAACGTGTCGTTTTCTTTCATACAGACACGTCCAGTTTTTAATATACCAGTAACAGAACACAGGGGCAGACAGGACAACTATGAACCTCCCCAGATGATTCCACAACCCAGAACCTACGGGGACTCCGAAGACCCGTGTCACTTCTGGGCACAGCGGGAGATGAACGTCACAAATCAGAGAGAAGGAAGACGGGCCTCCTATACCCAAGTGAGTTACAATCCAATGTCTCCGGCTGTTTCCCAAAAACTTTTATTTTTTTTTTTTTATCCTCACCCGAGGACATTTTTTGTTCAGACAGAGTAGGAGGGAGAGAGAGAGAGAGAGAGAAACATCGACGTGAAGGGGACACATCGAGCGGCTGCCACCCGCACGACCAACCAGGGCCGGGGACAAACTGCAACCGAGGTACGTGCCCTTAGCGGGAACCGAACCCGGGTCTCTCGGGACCGCAGGCCGACGCCCTAACCGCTGAGCGATCCGGCCAGGGCGCCAAGGGGGTCGTACCTCGACCAGCCTGCTCAACAGGCCGAGAACCTCCGCCTTCAGGGGCACCGACGGGAAGTTGAACCACTGCAGCAGGTGCACGAACAGCAGCCGGTCCTGCGCCAGCTCCGCGCCGCCGACCAGGCTGAGCTCCACCTTGCCGAGCAGCGTCCTGAGCGCGCGCTCCCGGATCTCCGCCAGCGGGTGACCTGCCGACGACACGCCACTCGCAGCGGCCCCGACCCCTCGCGGCCGCCCACCCGGAACCCGCGCCGCGCGTGGGGGAGGGACCCCGGGAACCACACCGCTGTTCCCACCGGCCGCGCCCGCCGGCCTGACACCACGTCCCCCAGCGGGCCCCGGGGCTGCCCGGGACGAGCCGGGCCCGGAGAGGAAACGCGGCGCGGCCGTCCTCAGCAACGGGCCGCTATGGAGGGCGAATCCCGCGAGGGGCGCTCTGACCGTTACCGAGCTTTTTGATGAGCCGGGTCAAGACCATCGCGTCCCGCTCCATCAGCCGCCGCCGGAGAATTAAACCGCCGCGCCACAGCGTCCGGCGACGAGGAGTGTCCCCCCGGAAACTCGGGCAGTGCTGCTGCGGGTTCCGCCACGCCAGGGCGAACCACGGCGGCTGGGAGTCATTCCGCGAGTTGCCCCCGGCCCCTGCGCCCCCAAGAGAAGCTTATAGTTTTTCTATGACGACCACTCAGTCCCCAGACAGCCGTCTCGGAGGTAGAAAGCGGAAAGGGTGCGGAGGCAAGCCGAGGGACCGGCTTTGACCGCCGCGCATGCCGGGAGTTGTAGTCTCGGCCCAGCCGTGCTCCCTTCCCGGGGTTCCGGACGCGCCACCGCGCCAGCTGCCTGGGGTTCCCGCGTCGGAGCGCGGGCTGGGAGCCCAGCCAGGCCCTGCACTGTCGCTCTGCCGGGATTCCTTGTGACCCTGCCAATTTGGATTCTCAGGGCCTAGAACGTCACAATTTACAATGAATGCAGAGTTTGGTTTGGTTTGGTTTGATTTGGATTCCCCCACTTCGTGTTACTAAATGACTTACCCTCTTTAACTGTGTAATGTACTTGCAAAGTCTAGCAGTGTCTTGTGGTAAATAAGCCACAAGAGGAAAGAAAGGGGGGAACGGAAATAAGAGCAGAAAAAAAGGGGGGGAGGGGTTTGAATTAGTATTTGTAGTATTTGCACCAAACTTGACTTTTGCACTGTGACAGAGCTGAACAAACAAGGGGGAGGGGAGCTCTAAGCACTGGAAGGGCACCAGCAAAATTGAATCTGTATAATTATTTGCACTTTAGAGAACATTTTATCTCACTGACTTTTTCAGTCTCCCTGGGAAAGGGATGTCAAGGCAGCTGTTCCCATTCCTATTTTGCAGAAAAAGAAAAGAAATGGGGTAGGGGCTTAAAATCCAAGAAGTGCTTCACCTAACATCACATCAACCAATAAGTGGTGGATTAAGCACCTGACCCTCAATTTCTTTGTAATAAATATTCTCAGGACCTTGCTGCATGTGTAGAGAGTGACCTTTGAGTGAATCTTGAAGGGTAAGCAGGAGTTTATTTGCTGGGCAAAGGAAGGGAATAAGGGGATTCCTGCCGGAGAAAACAGCACATGCAAAGGCAGGTGGTCAGAGGGCGCCTGTCGAAGTAAGGGAAAGTGAGAAACCCTACGTGGCCAAACTCGCTCTGGGAGGAAGAGAAGGGGGTGAAGGGGGCTGCTAGCCCGGTTCTTCTCTATCTAGTTGCCGCACCCCCACCCCCCCAAGCCAACCTCTGTGGTAGGTGACCTGCACCTTCCAGCGGCTTCCTGTCCCTGCAGAAATCAGAGAGTGGGAGGAAAGGGGTGTGGATATTGAATGGAGACTCCACTAAGCCATGCTTAAGCCTGCCAGGCCAAGGTTGTAACAGTGGCTGCCTTCCCCACCCTACAGTGACAGTTCCTGATGGACAGGGGGCCAAATGCACCAACCAGCAGTTACAGCAGCTGAGAAGTTTCTGGAGTTATCCAGGCAGGAAGGTTTTAGTTGTGGATTTGAAGTGTCAGGGTCTAAATACATGTGCCAGTACAGAGGAATAACAGAAATAACTTTTTAGTGATATTTCTTTTTTTTTTTTTTTTGGTATGTGCCCCTAGCGGGAAGTGAACCCGGGACTCTCTGGTCCGCAGGCCGACGCTCCAACCGCTGAGCCAAACCAGCCAGGGCTCAGTGATATTTCTAAGGTGAACAATCTTCGGTGATAAGAAACTGGGAATGTCAGTGGGTAAGGGGTAATGTACTAAGGGAAAAAAATAAATGAAAACAAGTATGTCGCAGGTGAAATGGGGTCAAACTACAAAATAGTCTCATTTATGTTGCTTTTATTTTTTAACTTGTATTGTGATTATTGAGCATATGTTGCTTATAATTACACAAAATCATTAGGTTCTGCTTATTACATTCAAAGTAAAGAAGCTATGATTTTCCTATTAGACTAAATATTATTTGCCAAATTTTTCTCAAATAATCGATCTTTAATTTGTTAGTTCTACTGTTAACACTCACACATATATTCTAATGTATTAGCTCTGCTTTTATTTATTATCAGTTACTTTATCATTCCATTGTTAGGTTTATTTCTAACAGTGGAATGTTTCTTTTTTAACTTCTTGAGCTAAAGGTTTTGTTACTTTATCTTCATTCTTTCTTATTTAGTCATAACAACTTTGAAGTCCATGAATCTGCATCTTAAAAAAAGCTCTTCATCACACAGTGTGAATTTATAATGTTCTATTGTTATTCACAACAATTCTGTAACTGCTATTTTGATACTTTCTATTTCACCCCAGATCTGTATAGGAGAGTCTTTTTTTAATTGCCGAGTCTTTCTTGCATATACCTTAGTTATGAATTTACACTTTTATTATATTCCAGTCAGCAACCGGGGCTTTTCTGATTTTGCCTTTCAAGGTATTTTAAGTGATAGTCAAGTACTTGAAAAAATGGACAGTAGATATCTGTGCGGCTGTGTGGAGAACTCTAGGTGTATCTTTGTAACTTTCTACTTGTGCTTATAATAGTTTTTGCTATATTTATTTGTGCTATCTTGCAATATAAACATGTTGACTTTTATTTGACGGTAAATGATAGTCATTCAACTGGCAATACCTTTATGGATCAGGAAGGGGGTGAAGGGTAGAGATGCCGCACATTGAGGTCTGCCTGTCATCACCAGCCATGCAACACTGTGGAGAACAGCAGGTGGACCCAGAAGCACAGGTCAAACTGTACCAATTGCTGAGCTCCATGTAATTCTCAGTGATTCTTCAGCCTCTTTGTCAGACCCATAAACACTGGCAGCCATTGCCTCAAGCCTGCTGTATCAGACCAGCCAGATTAGCTGAGGATATTGATACCCAAAGTCCCAGGAGATACTCAGTACTCTCTTGAGAACTCATATTATGCTCTGTGGTGACTTGTTCTAAGAGAAAAAGAAATGCTTTGT